ACATAAATTATTCTTAAAAATTCAATTATGTCGATAATAACAAAATTATTCCCGAAAGTTTAATTATTTTAATTGAATTTTTTTAATTTTAATTATTTTTATTTATTTAAAAGCACTTTACAAATAAAACTAAATAATGCAGACTAAAATTTTGTCTACAATTAAATACAAAAATGAGTCTAATTAATACATTAACAGTTTTTTTTATATCAATATTTAACATTTATATTAAGACATGTGCGCAATCTGTGAATAAATTGTGCCAAACTAACACCAAAAAAGTCCAAACTATCACAGTACAAGTTAGATTCGTGACATAGTCTATTTATAATAAAATTTCTTCCGTAATTTGTTCTATGATACTTCACATAAAACAAATAAAAATTTCGCAATCGTCGAGCAGGCAGACAAAACTTAATCATACTCAATCATACAGCATATTTTAATAAAATTATTTGCAAAATTCAATTATTTTCATAAATAACAATATTCATCAAAAGAATTCAATTATTTTTAAAAGTAATAACTTTCTTCTTGGACATTCAATTATTTAAAAAAATTGTAATAAATGGTTCGCAAGAATTCAATTATTTTTACATATAATAAAATACTTTTTAGGAATTCAATTATTTTAAAAAAAATTTAATAAAATTCTTAGCAACTATTCAATTATTTTCATAATAGGATTTCAATTATTTTTAATACAGTTTTACAGGAATTGCTCGAAAAATGTAATTATTCTTTAAAAAATTCCAATTCCTCAAAAAAATCAATTATTTAAAAAAATGTGTTTTTAAAATTCTTTGGAAGAATTTAATTATAAATAATTGAATTTACAAAAATATTAGAATTTTTCACAGGAATTCAAGTATTTTCAAATATGTTAATAAAATTTTTCAAAAAAATCAATTATTTCAAATACAATTTTAATTAAATTTTTGTGAAATAATTCAATTATTCTTTTAGATTTTAATAAAATTCTTCCCAAGAATTCAATTATTTACATAAATAATTCTTCGAAAGAATTCAATTGTATGTAGAAAAATAACAAAACTATTCCAGAAAATTTAATTATTTTGAGGCATTTTAATAAAATTTATTGCAAAAATCAATTATTTTCACAAATAACAAAATTCATGACAAGAATTCAATTATTTTTAAAAGTAATAAATTTCTTCTTGGAAATTCAATTATTTTTAAAAATTCTAATAAAATCGTTGGCAAGAATTCAATTATTTTGGTAAATATAATAAAATGCTTTTTAGGAATTCAATTATTTAAAAAAAAATGTAATAAAATACCTGCCAAGCATTCAATTATTGTCAAAAATTTTAATAGAATTCTGTGTAAAAATTAATTATATTTTTAAAAACTTTTCGCAATTCAATGATTTTCAATATTTACTAATTTCATAGAATTTCCAAACAGAATTCAATTATTTAAAACATTTTTTGTAAAGATCTTATCGTAAGAATTCAATTCTTTTCATGAATAATAAAAATTTCTCAGGAATTGAATTATTTAGATTAGAATTTGCTTATAATTAGTCGAAAGAAATCAATTATTTAAAATTTGTTATAAATTTCTTTGCAAGAATTAAATTATTTCTATAAATATTTAAATTCTTTCATGAATAATAAAATTCGTTGCAGGAATTCAATTTATTAACAGAATGAGAAAGAAGTAAATATTTTTAATGAAAATTAGGGAAAAGTCAGGAGAGCTTCTTTTTTAAAATTAATTATCGAGTGCGAAGACTGCATTGATTTAAGAAATATTATAACTAAAAAATATTAAGTATAATATAAAACTTAATTATTGCTAATAATTATAATATAAGTATTAATATTATCAAATTTTACCTACATATAAAATTCAAGTCAAATAAAAGATGTTATTCATTCAGGAAAACAGAAATGACAACCATAACCTTTTGATTTGTTTTTGCTTTCACTTGCTCATATTTAACGATATAAAGCTGTTTCTACATTTTCAAGAAAAAATATGTGTTATTGTGAACGTAAACGTAAATGCAATTTTAGGGTGCGATCTCGTAGACAGAAGCGTAAAAAAATCATCGAACGAAAGCAGAATTTTATGAGTAAAAGAGAGATAGTCAGTAACACTATCCTTGTCACTCTCGTGAAATTCTGCTTTCGATTTTACGCTTTCTGCTCACATGTGTGGCTGCACCCTAAAAGTCTGGAATACAAACAGCGCCAACTAGTAAGGAAGGGCCTTACTAAACTCCAGGAATCATATCAACCCATAGAGATAGTATAAATAGAGTGGGGATGGTTTGCATGTATGCGTCCGCTTGATAGAAAGAGAAAGAAGATTTAACACCAGTAGGTGTCTCTCTTGCGCTGGAGCTCATTGAAGGATACTGGTGTTAAATCTTCTTTCTCCCTCCAACCCATTCTGTTTATGGCAGGACACTTCCCCCACACGCTGCAGCCTATACCTTCCCCACTCTATTTATAATATTTCTATGTATCAACCCAACTTTCTCCAAGACAAGTGTTGATAGACCTTTTCATCTCGAATAGGAAATGAAGAATGCGCAATCTCAGTCCGCCATGATAGTCGGTCATATTCAAAAATTCACCATGTATTAACATGGGGAATTTGAATATGACCGACCGGAAGTTATTATTATTATTGAGAAAAAATTATTCGAGATGAAAAGGTCTATTGCCTAGGTTTCATCATCTGTTGTCGTCTGTTCAGTGCAAGACGACTAGAAACAGGAGGAGCAACTTCGATATATTCCTGTAGAGTGCGGTGGCAGAAAATGTGAGGGCAATGGAGGTGGTACTTGAAAATGTAGTTCGTGCAATAGGCCAAAATTAGGTTTCTGCGCATATTGAACATTCAAACGATTCAGATTCAAACACGCTCTAAGAGAAATCTTTTTCCACGTGCTGCACATTGTCATTGTGTGATATTGTGTTTACCGCAAAGTTTTTATGAAAACAATTTAAGTTGTTTTTAATTACCTACTACGTATTACAACTAATTTTCCAAGGTTATTTTTTAAAGTTATGAAATAAACGTCCAACTTTTATCAATACAATTATTAATAATTTCTAATATTTTTTCGACATTAGTTTGGGATTGCAATTTATCAAATTTCTTTCAGTTTACTACTTTATTATGACGATGAATTTCAAAGTCAAAGAATCATAATCGTTAAAATAACCTCTTCATAATATAATATATGACATTTCTATGTTTTGACGTCTGCTATTCTCTCTCATCTCTTTCCACTACTTGCGCAGTAACCTATTTTGCGTTTCTGCACCAACTACATTTCTATATTACTACTTCCCCCATTGTCCTCATCTACCAAGCCATCCCCACTACCCGAGTTATCCCTCCTGTCTCTAGTCTTCTTGGTTCAGTGTTCACATGTGTTTTCAAATAAATAAGATATTTTTCAGGGTTGCCACAGGTCAGGGAAATCAGGGAAAAGTCAGGGAAAGTAAAGTTGGTCAGGGAAAAGTCAGGGATTTTTACTAAAAGTACTGGAAAAAATTGAATTTTTAAAATTCATGAGAAAACTCTGAATTTTTTTCCTGTTTGCCTAGTAAATTATGAAATTACCTTGAATTTTAATGTAAAACCTTTAATTTTTTCAATTTCTGACAATAATTTCTTTTTAAATAACTTAATTTTTCAAAAACTATCATAAAATTATGACTTACAAATTATTTTACAAATAATTTTTACAATTTTCATAAATACTAGATTGATAGAAGAATTTCAGTTAAAAATACTAAAAAAAAATTGGATTTTGGAAAAGTTACCAATGATTACAGAAATTCAATTATTTTCAAAAGTTACAAAAATTCTTCGCAAAATTTCAATATTATGTTCAAAAATTAAAAAAAAATTCATATCAAAATTTTCAAGTGCTTTTATAAATAATATAATTCTTCATCGAAATTCAATTACTTATTTTAAAAAATTTTAATAAAATTCTTGTCAAAATTCCACAGGAATTCAATTATTCAATATTTAATAAATTTCTTTGAAATAATTCAAATATTTTCATAAGAAATAAAATTTTCACAGGAATTCAATTATTTAAAATACAAAATTTCATAAAATTTTTCGAAAAATATCAATTATATAAAAAGATTTTTATAAAATATTTTCATGAATTCAATTATTTTTATAAATAATAAAATTCTTCACCGAAATTAAATTACTTTTATAAACTTGAATAAAATTCGTTTGAAGAATTAAATAATTTTCAAAATAATAAAATTCTTCGCAGAAATTTAATTATGTTCAAAAATTAAAAAAGAATTTTAATTCCTACAGAAAAATAATAATGATTAAATATTTATTTAAGAAAGAAGTTATTGATGTTTTTAAATAATTTTACAATTAAAGAAGTTTGTAAATAAATGTAATAGAACATTTTTTTTAGTATCTATTATTTTTTAGAGTGAATAAGAATATTCTTTTTAGGGTCAGGGAAAAAGTGAAATTTTTTCTGGAAATCAGGGAAAAGTCAGGGAAAAATAAAATTAAATATTTGTGGCAACCCTGAAGACGTTCCTGGAATTCGTCTATATTGTTTTTATTATTTAATATTTTTTTATGAAAAATTTCAACAAGTACTCAGAAACATGTACTATTCGACGTTGACAAAAGATTTTGAATAAATATTTTTTATGGTGAAATTTTGAATAAAAAAATTCAAATACAAGACTCAGAATTAATTTAGAAAATGAAAGATAGTATCGGTGTCACAAAGTGTCCATAACAGATTTAAACAGTAGCACATTATTTATTTAAAAATAAAGTGTATTTATTTACTGCCTTGTAATAATTTAATAGTTTAAAAAAATTTTCAAATTTTATATTTTAAAATTAAATACGAAAATGAATTCTAAAGAATTAATAATAATTCAAATAATATTAAATTATTTTTTTTTTATAAATTAAATTGTGTATAAAAATATTATAAATTTAAATAATTATACATATTTCATTTTTACTTGAGTAATTTATTCTTTAAATAATATTAAATTAAATATAATAGTAATGTTTCACTCCAAAGATTTTTTATAAAGAAAGGACACAGCTGAGTTGTACATTACCACAATACTTTTGTTAAATTCGTTGATTTTCCTTAAAGAATTACTCCTCACTCATCAAGACTATCGAATTCCTTTTTGGGGTGATGCACGATTGTGAGAAAAGATTTTCCTGGGATTTAGGTGAACTCAGGAGAATTCAGGATCAAAATATGGGCCTCAATACCCAGAGGATATTTATTTTGTTGCTCTGTTCAACAAACAATAGTCCTCTAACGAAGTGCCATACTATAATATATTGTTAGACAATTTAGAATTTTATATTATATATTTTTTAAATACTTTTTATGTTTTTATATTTACCTGGGCATCAGAGATAAATTTAATTAAGATCGTTAATCTTCTTGAAACAAAACTACCCGAATATGGCACTTCATAAATTTAAACAATAATTATATTTTATATTTTAATAAATTTTGCTTTTGCAAATTATATAATGTTCACAGTATGATTACTTTGAGAATTTTAATTAATACAAGGAAAATCTTTTCTCAAGACCCTCTTCCAAAATTATTCTCTCCCACCCATGCTATTTTAATCGACAAACGTCGTTTTTCCCGACAATAACCGATTGCTCATAATCGCAGATACTTTCAATCTATTCACATGCTATCAAACCACTACATCACCCCCCTTTTAACGGTGATACAATGATTCAAATCATTCTTGAGTCGTTAACAATATTAACAGCCGTATTTATACATCTTTGTCATTTTACTTATTTGATTTCATTTTTATATCGAACTTTATACATATTATTACGCAACATACGATCATCAATTACATTTAACATTAATTTCATTTTATATATTAATTTTTGTATATTACAATGTAACATACAATCGTCATTTACATTTTACATTAATACAATTAACAATTACAATACATACAAATTCATATATTGTTCTCTCTCTCGTAATGATTAGTATTTCATTATTTTTTAAATCCAATTAACATTTCTTCTCAAACATAATTTGTTTAATCACTTTGCGTCTTATATATTTTAAAATCAATTCGATTATATATTCCCTTAATCTCATAAGGATCGTCCCTTTCAATCAGTTCATACGCATTTCGATTAATAACCCTTTTCACCTTAAAAGGACCATGGTAAATGTGAAAAAACTTTGAGATTACTCGATTTTCTTTATCCGATCTGAGAGGAACTTTTAATAATAATAGATCGCCTTCATGGATAGGTGTGTCATTAAATGAACTTTGTTTCTCTCGTCGTTTCTTACATGCTTTTTCGATTTTTTCGCGGGCTATTTCGATTTTCAATTGTTTCTTTTCGAATTTATTTAAACCCTCTATCTCATCAACTTGTTTAACAACTTTATCAATCGCATTAACCCTAACATACGATAACTGTTCTCCAGAGTCATCAAAAAATCCATCTGACAGTATATACTCGAACCGATTTTCCGAATTATCTAAAAACATTGATTCATTCAATTCAGTTGACAAAGCAGCCTCAATTAAATGAATCCCATTATTTACCTGTTCAACAAACAATAGTCCTCTAACGAAGTGCCACACTATAATATATTGTTAGACAATTTAGAATTTTATATTATATATTTTTTAAATACTTTTTATGTTTTTATATTTACCTGGGCCATTTTCCGAGGAGCCTGCGAATTAGCCTGCGAACAGCATACGCGTGCTCTTTTGAACATGGCTCACACCGCAATTCTGGACGATCAATTTTATTTCTTTCCACGTATCCAAGACAGTTAACTCTACTAAAAATTTAAATACTTTTTAAGGGATTAATTGCTAATAATAAACAGTATTATAAAATAGAAATTTTGTTCTTACCCAATTTCCCCCTGAGTACCTAAACATGGATCAATTTGGACAACTTTTTTTAATAACTTTTGAAAACTACTCAATTCTGAAAGATTTTCCATTTCTGGCAAATGAATAGTTTTTCCATTTATGTGAACCTAATATAAAAAATGTTTCATTATTTTCTTGTTTTATTACTACAAGCAAATTTTTAAATTAAGTATACATTGTACTTAAATACAAACAAGAACTTTTGAATCCTTGTGAAGAACAATATTCTTCAATATTCCAGAAAAGTCTTCTTTCCACATATTAAATGAAATCAATTCTGTTTCAGTGTAATTAGTAAACCAAAGATTGCTTCTGAAACTTTTGAAAATGGTGGAATTTTCTTTTAACTTTTTGAATACCTCTTCAAACAAATTGACAATTTTTCTTTCTTTAACGATTGTACAATTTTCCGTTTCATCATTTAATTTTCTTTTTAAAACTTTATCCAGAAAAATTGAAGGTACTGCGTTTGCGGATAAAATAGGCCTTTTCCTAACTTCCTTCAAAACAATTCCATTTTTTTTTAAAATATTCCGCTCTCTCTCAATAACGTTTTCAGAAAAATGCAGTTCACAAAGTTTATAATTATCTTTCCATTCCTTTCGAGTTGTTTTTTCCATTAATATTCTTTTCCATTCTTCCTTTTGCGTTTCCTATAATAAAAAATGTTTACGTTACAATTATGCAGATAATAATATTGAATTTTTGACAGATTATATTCTACTTACGATAGGAGTAAATAACGAAAATCTATTTTTCGTTCGATCCTTATAAGATGTTTTGCATCCTGGGACACAACAAGCCATAATAAAACTGTTCTTTGTACAAGTAAAACTGCGAAAGAAATAAAATTGATTGGAAATAATTCGTCCTATTGTTTAGGCTTCGCACTTATCTACTAAAAACTACTATTTACTACTTTTTTACGTTATTCTATATACTATTTGGATACCCTTTTTAGATTTCACCCACTAAAAGCTACTATTTCTTTTTTTTTTGAGAATTTCCACTACTTTAAATTCGCTAAGTATTTTCAAAAAATATTCAAAATTTAATTATTTTCAATATCTAGTATTTTCATGAAATTTCGCAAAAGAATTCAATTATTTAAAAAAAATTGATAAGATTAATCCAAAATTCAATTATTTTCATCGAAGTTTTCATAATATTTATTATACTTCGAAAAAATTAATTGTTTAAATCAATGTTTATAAAATTCTTATAAAAAATTAAAATATTTTCAAAAATAACAAAATTTTTCTCTGAAATTCAATTCTTTTTAAACATTATAATAAAATTTTTCGCAATAATTCAATTATTTTTATAAATAATAAAATTCTTCTCAAGAATTCAAATTTTTTAGAAAATTTTAATAAAATTCTTAGCATTTATTAAATTATTTTCATGAATAATAAAATTCATAGCAGGATTTCAATTATTTTTAATACAATTTTACAGGAATTGCTTGAAAAATGTAATTATTCTTTAAAATTTAATTTCAATTCTTTGCAAGAATTCAATTATTTACAAAAATATTAGAATTTTTTACAGGAATTCAATTATTTTTCAAATATTTTAATAAAATTGTTCAAAAGAAATCAATTATTTCAAATACAATATTAATTAATTTTTTTGAAATAATTCAATTATTCTTTTAAATTTTAGTAGAATTGTTACGAAGAATTCAATTATTTACATAAATAATTCTTCAAAAAAAATTCAATTATATCGATAATAACAAAATTATTCCCGAAAGTTTAATTATTTTAATTGAATTTTTTTAATTTTAATTATTTTAATAAAATTATTTGCAAAATTCAATTATTTTCATAAATAACAATATTAATCAAAAGAATTCAATTATTTTTAAAAGTAATAAGTTTCTTCTTGGACATTCAATTATTTTTAAAAAAATTGGAATAAAATAGTTCGCAAGAATTCAATTATTTTCATATATAATAAAATGCTTTTTAGGAATTCAATTATTTTCAAAATAATTTAATAAAATTTTTAGCAGCTAAGTATTTAATTATTTTCATAAATAATAAAATTCATCGCAGGATTTCAATTATTTTTAATGCAATAATTTTACAGGAATTGCTCGAAAAATGTAATTTTTCTTAAAAATTTAATTTCAATTCCTCAAAAAAATCGATTATTTAAAAAATGTGTTTTTAAAATTCTTTGGAAGAATTCAATTATTTACAAAAATATTATAATTTTTCACAGGAATTCAAGTATTTTCAAATATGTTAATAAAATTGATCGAAAGAAATCAATTATTTCAAATACAATTTTAATTAATTTTTTTTGAAATAATTCAATTATTCTTTTAGATTTTGAAATTCTTCCCAAGAATTAAATTATTTACAATAAATAATTCTTCGAAAGAATTCAATTGTTTAAGATAAATAAGAAAAATATTCCCGAAAATTCAATTATTTTGAGTCATTTTAATAAAATTTATTGCAAAAATCAATTATTTTCACAAATAACAAAATTCATGACAAGAATTCAATTATTTTTAAAAGTGATAAATGTCTTCTTGGAAATTAAAGTATTTTTAAAAATTCTAATAAAATCGTTGTCAAGAATTCAATTATTTTAATAAATAATAAAATGTTTTTTATGAATTCAATTATTTTCAAAAATATGTAATAAAATACCTGCCAAACATTCAATTATTGTCAAAAATTTTAATAGAATTCTTTGTAAAAATTAATTATTTTTAAAAACTTTTCGCAATTCAATGATTTTCAATATTTACTATTTTCATAAAATTTCCAAACAGAATTCAATTATTTAAAACATTTTTTTTTTAAATCTTATCGTAAGAATTCAATTCTTTTCATGAACAATAAAAATTTCTTTGGAATTGAATTTTTTAAATTAGAATTTGCATAAAATTAGTCGAAAGAAATCAATTATTTAAAATTTGTTATAAATTTCTTTGCAAGAATTAAACTATTTTTATAAAATATATTACATAATAATATATAATATATAATATTTACCTATATATTATAATATAATATATATTATATATAATTCTTTCATGAAAAATAAAATTCGTTGCAGAAATGCAATTTATTAGCAGAATAAGAAAGAAGTAAATATTTTTAATGAAAAAATTAGGGAAAAGTCAGGAAAGCTACTTCTTTAAAATTAATTAACGAGTAGGTACGAAGTTTGTATTGATTTAAGAAATATTATAACTCAAAAATATTAAATATAATATAAAACTAAATTAATGCTAACAATTATAATATAAGTATTAATATTATCAAATTTTACCTACATATAAAATTCAGTTCAAATAAAACATGTTATTCATTCAGGAAAACAGAAATGACAACCATAACCTTTTGATTTGTTTTTGCTTTCACTTGCTCATATTTAACGATATAAAGCTGTTTCTACATTTTCAAGAAAAAATATGTGTTATTGTGAACGTAAACGTAAATGCAATTTTAGGGTGCGATCTCGTAGACAGAAGCGTAAAAAAATCATCGAACGAAAGCAGAATTTTATGAGTAAAAGAGAGATAGTCAGTAACACTATCCTTGTCACTCTCGTGAAATTCTGCTTTCGATTTTACGCTTTCTGCTCACATGTGTGGCTGCACCCTAAAAGTCTGGAATACAAACAGCGCCAACTAGTAAGGAAGGGCCTTACTAAACTCCAGGAATCATATCAACCCATAGAGATAGTATAAATAGAGTGGGGATGGTTTGCATGTATGCGTCCGCTTGATAGAAAGAGAAAGAAGATTTAACACCAGTAGGTGTCTCTCTTGCGCTGGAGCTCATTGAAGGATACTGGTGTTAAATCTTCTTTCTCCCTCCAACCCATTCTGTTTATGGCAGGACACTTCCCCCACACGCTGCAGCCTATACCTTCCCCACTCTATTTATAATATTTCTATGTATCAACCCAACTTTCTCCAAGACAAGTGTTGATAGACCTTTTCATCTCGAATAGGAAATGAAGAATGCGCAATCTCAGTCCGCCATGATAGTCGGTCATATTCAAAAATTCACCATGTATTAACATGGGGAATTTGAATATGACCGACCGGAAGTTATTATTATTATTGAGAAAAAATTATTCGAGATGAAAAGGTCTATTGCCTAGGTTTCATCATCTGTTGTCGTCTGTTCAGTGCAAGACGACTAGAAACAGGAGGAGCAACTTCGATATATTCCTGTAGAGTGCGGTGGCAGAAAATGTGAGGGCAATGGAGGTGGTACTTGAAAATGTAGTTCGTGCAATAGGCCAAAATTAGGTTTCTGCGCATATTGAACATTCAAACGATTCAGATTCAAACACGCTCTAAGAGAAATCTTTTTCCACGTGCTGCACATTGTCATTGTGTGATATTGTGTTTACCGCAAAGTTTTTATGAAAACAATTTAAGTTGTTTTTAATTACCTACTACGTATTACAACTAATTTTCCAAGGTTATTTTTTAAAGTTATGAAATAAACGTCCAACTTTTATCAATACAATTATTAATAATTTCTAATATTTTTTCGACATTAGTTTGGGATTGCAATTTATCAAATTTCTTTCAGTTTACTACTTTATTATGACGATGAATTTCAAAGTCAAAGAATCATAATCGTTAAAATAACCTCTTCATAATATAATATATGACATTTCTATGTTTTGACGTCTGCTATTCTCTCTCATCTCTTTCCACTACTTGCGCAGTAACCTATTTTGCGTTTCTGCACCAACTACATTTCTATATTACTACTTCCCCCATTGTCCTCATCTACCAAGCCATCCCCACTACCCGAGTTATCCCTCCTGTCTCTAGTCTTCTTGGTTCAGTGTTCACATGTGTTTTCAAATAAATAAGATATTTTTCAGGGTTGCCACAGGTCAGGGAAATCAGGGAAAAGTCAGGGAAAGTAAAGTTGGTCAGGGAAAAGTCAGGGATTTTTACTAAAAGTACTGGAAAAAATTGAATTTTTAAAATTCATGAGAAAACTCTGAATTTTTTTCCTGTTTGCCTAGTAAATTATGAAATTACCTTGAATTTTAATGTAAAACCTTTAATTTTTTCAATTTCTGACAATAATTTCTTTTTAAATAACTTAATTTTTCAAAAACTATCATAAAATTATGACTTACAAATTATTTTACAAATAATTTTTACAATTTTCATAAATACTAGATTGATAGAAGAATTTCAGTTAAAAATACTAAAAAAAAATTGGATTTTGGAAAAGTTACCAATGATTACAGAAATTCAATTATTTTCAAAAGTTACAAAAATTCTTCGCAAAATTTCAATATTATGTTCAAAAATTAAAAAAAAATTCATATCAAAATTTTCAAGTGCTTTTATAAATAATATAATTCTTCATCGAAATTCAATTACTTATTTTAAAAAATTTTAATAAAATTCTTGTCAAAATTCCACAGGAATTCAATTATTCAATATTTAATAAATTTCTTTGAAATAATTCAAATATTTTCATAAGAAATAAAATTTTCACAGGAATTCAATTATTTAAAATACAAAATTTCATAAAATTTTTCGAAAAATATCAATTATATAAAAAGATTTTTATAAAATATTTTCATGAATTCAATTATTTTTATAAATAATAAAATTCTTCACCGAAATTAAATTACTTTTATAAACTTGAATAAAATTCGTTTGAAGAATTAAATAATTTTCAAAATAATAAAATTCTTCGCAGAAATTTAATTATGTTCAAAAATTAAAAAAGAATTTTAATTCCTACAGAAAAATAATAATGATTAAATATTTATTTAAGAAAGAAGTTATTGATGTTTTTAAATAATTTTACAATTAAAGAAGTTTGTAAATAAATGTAATAGAACATTTTTTTTAGTATCTATTATTTTTTAGAGTGAATAAGAATATTCTTTTTAGGGTCAGGGAAAAAGTGAAATTTTTTCTGGAAATCAGGGAAAAGTCAGGGAAAAATAAAATTAAATATTTGTGGCAACCCTGAAGACGTTCCTGGAATTCGTCTATATTGTTTTTATTATTTAATATTTTTTTATGAAAAATTTCAACAAGTACTCAGAAACATGTACTATTCGACGTTGACAAAAGATTTTGAATAAATATTTTTTATGGTGAAATTTTGAATAAAAAAATTCAAATACAAGACTCAGAATTAATTTAGAAAATGAAAGATAGTATCGGTGTCACAAAGTGTCCATAACAGATTTAAACAGTAGCACATTATTTATTTAAAAATAAAGTGTATTTATTTACTGCCTTGTAATAATTTAATAGTTTAAAAAATTTTCAAATTTTATATTTTAAAATTAAATACGAAAATGAATTCTAAAGAATTAATAATAATTCAAATAATATTAAATTATTTTTTTTTTATAAATTAAATTGTGTATAAAAATATTATAAATTTAAATAATTATACATATTTCATTTTTACTTGAGTAATTTATTCTTTAAATAATATTAAATTAAATATAATAGTAATGTTTCACTCCAAAGATTTTTTATAAAGAAAGGACACAGCTGAGTTGTACATTACCACAATACTTTTGTTAAATTCGTTGATTTTCCTTAAAGAATTACTCCTCACTCATCAAGACTATCGAATTCCTTTTTGGGGTGATGCACGATTGTGAGAAAAGATTTTCCTGGGATTTAGGTGAACTCAGGAGAATTCAGGATCAAAATATGGGCCTCAATACCCAGAGGATATTTATTTTGTTGCTCTGTTCAACAAACAATAGTCCTCTAACGAAGTGCCATACTATAATATATTGTTAGACAATTTAGAATTTTATATTATATATTTTTTAAATACTTTTTATGTTTTTATATTTACCTGGGCATCAGAGATAAATTTAATTAAGATCGTTAATCTTCTTGAAACAAAACTACCCGAATATGGCACTTCATAAATTTAAACAATAATTATATTTTATATTTTAATAAATTTTGCTTTTGCAAATTATATAATGTTCACAGTATGATTACTTTGAGAATTTTAATTAATACAAGGAAAATCTTTTCTCAAGACCCTCTTCCAAAATTATTCTCTCCCACCCATGCTATTTTAATCGACAAACGTCGTTTTTCCCGACAATAACCGATTGCTCATAATCGCAGATACTTTCAATCTATTCACATGCTATCAAACCACTACATCACCCCCCTTTTAACGGTGATACAATGATTCAAATCATTCTTGAGTCGTTAACAATATTAACAGCCGTATTTATACATCTTTGTCATTTTACTTATTTGATTTCATTTTTATATCGAACTTTATACATATTATTACGCAACATACGATCATCAATTACATTTAACATTAATTTCATTTTATATATTAATTTTTGTATATTACAATGTAACATACAATCGTCATTTACATTTTACATTAATACAATTAACAATTACAATACATACAAATTCATATATTGTTCTCTCTCTCGTAATGATTAGTATTTCATTATTTTTTAAATCCAATTAACATTTCTTCTCAAACATAATTTGTTTAATCACTTTGCGTCTTATATATTTTAAAATCAATTCGATTATATATTCCCTTAATCTCATAAGGATCGTCCCTTTCAATCAGTTCATACGCATTTCGATTAATAACCCTTTTCACCTTAAAAGGACCATGGTAAATGTGAAAAAACTTTGAGATTACTCGATTTTCTTTATCCGATCTGAGAGGAACTTTTAATAATAATAGATCGCCTTCATGGATAGGTGTGTCATTAAATGAACTTTGTTTCTCTCGTCGTTTCTTACATGCTTTTTCGATTTTTTCGCGGGCTATTTCGATTTTCAATTGTTTCTTTTCGAATTTATTTAAACCCTCTATCTCATCAACTTGTTTAACAACTTTATCAATCGCATTAACCCTAACATACGATAACTGTTCTCCAGAGTCATCAAAAAATCCATCTGACAGTATATACTCGAACCGATTTTCCGAATTATCTAAAAACATTGATTCATTCAATTCAGTTGACAAAGCAGCCTCAATTAAATGAATCCCATTATTTACCTGTTCAACAAACAATAGTCCTCTAACGAAGTGCCACACTATAATATATTGTTAGACAATTTAGAATTTTATATTATATATTTTTTAAATACTTTTTATGTTTTTATATTTACCTGGGCCATTTTCCGAGGAGCCTGCGAATTAGCCTGCGAACAGCATACGCGTGCTCTTTTGAACATGGCTCACACCGCAATTCTGGACGATCAATTTTATTTCTTTCCACGTATCCAAGACAGTTAACTCTACTAAAAATTTAAATACTTTTTAAGGGATTAATTGCTAATAATAAACAGTATTATAAAATAGAAATTTTGTTCTTACCCAATTTCCCCCTGAGTACCTAAACATGGATCAATTTGGACAACTTTTTTTAATAACTTTTGAAAACTACTCAATTCTGAAAGATTTTCCATTTCTGGCAAATGAATAGTTTTTCCATTTATGTGAACCTAATATAAAAAATGTTTCATTATTTTCTTGTTTTATTACTACAAGCAAATTTTTAAATTAAGTATACATTGTACTTAAATACAAACAAGAACTTTTGAATCCTTGTGAAGAACAATATTCTTCAATATTCCAGAAAAGTCTTCTTTCCACATATTAAATGAAATCAATTCTGTTTCAGTGTAATTAGTAAACCAAAGATTGCTTCTGAAACTTTTGAAAATGGTGGAATTTTCTTTTAACTTTTTGAATACCTCTTCAAACAAATTGACAATTTTTCTTTCTTTAACGATTGTACAATTTTCCGTTTCATCATTTAATTTTCTTTTTAAAACTTTATCCAGAAAAATTGAAGGTACTGCGTTTGCGGATAAAATAGGCCTTTTCCTAACTTCCTTCAAAACAATTCCATTTTTTTTTAAAATATTCCGCTCTCTCTCAATAACGTTTTCAGAAAAATGCAGTTCACAAAGTTTATAATTATCTTTCCATTCCTTTCGAGTTGTTTTTTCCATTAATATTCTTTTCCATTCTTCCTTTTGCGTTTCCTATAATAAAAATGTTTACGTTACAATTATGCAGATAATAATATTGAATTTTTGACAGATTATATTCTACTTACGATAGGAGTAAATAACGAAAATCTATTTTTCGTTCGATCCTTATAAGATGTTTTGCATCCTGGGACACAACAAGCCATAATAAAACTGTTCTTTGTACAAGTAAAACTGCGAAAGAAATAAAATTGATTGGAAATAATTCGTCCTATTGTTTAGGCTTCGCACTTATCTACTAAAAACTACTATTTACTACTTTTTTACGTTATTCTATATACTATTTGGATACCCTTTTTAGATTTCACCCACTAAAAGCTACTATTTCTTTTTTTTTTGAGAATTTCCACTACTTTAAATTCGCTAAGTATTTTCAAAAAATATTCAAAATTTAATTATTTTCAATATCTAGTATTTTCATGAAATTTCGCAAAAGAATTCAATTATTTAAAAAAAATTGATAAGATTAATCCAAAATTCAATTATTTTCATCGAAGTTTTCATAATATTTATTATACTTCGAAAAAATTAATTGTTTAAATCAATGTTTATAAAATTCTTATAAAAAATTAAAATATTTTCAAAAATAACAAAATTTTTCTCTGAAATTCAATTCTTTTTAAACATTATAATAAAATTTTTCGCAATAATTCAATTATTTTTATAAATAATAAAATTCTTCTCAAGAATTCAAATTTTTTAGAAAATTTTAATAAAATTCTTAGCATTTATTAAATTATTTTCATGAATAATAAAATTCATAGCAGGATTTCAATTATTTTTAATACAATTTTACAGGAATTGCTTGAAAAATGTAATTATTCTTTAAAATTTAATTTCAATTCTTTGCAAGAATTCAATTATTTACAAAAATATTAGAATTTTTTACAGGAATTCAATTATTTTTCAAATATTTTAATAAAATTGTTCAAAAGAAATCAATTATTTCAAATACAATATTAATTAATTTTTTTGAAATAATTCAATTATTCTTTTAAATTTTAGTAGAATTGTTACGAAGAATTCAATTATTTACATAAATAATTCTTCAAAAAAAATTCAATTATATCGATAATAACAAAATTATTCCCGAAAGTTTAATTATTTTAATTGAATTTTTTTAATTTTAATTATTTTAATAAAATTATTTGCAAAATTCAATTATTTTCATAAATAACAATATTAATCAAAAGAATTCAATTATTTTTAAAAGTAATAAGTTTCTTCTTGGACATTCAATTATTTTTAAAAAAATTGGAATAAAATAGTTCGCAAGAATTCAATTATTTTCATATATAATAAAATGCTTTTTAGGAATTCAATTATTTTCAAAATAATTTAATAAAATTTTTAGCAGCTAAGTATTTAATTATTTTCATAAATAATAAAATTCATCGCAGGATTTCAATTATTTTTAATGCAATAATTTTACAGGAATTGCTCGAAAAATGTAATTTTTCTTAAAAATTTAATTTCAATTCCTCAAAAAAATCGATTATTTAAAAAATGTGTTTTTAAAATTCTTTGGAAGAATTCAATTATTTACAAAAATATTATAATTTTTCACAGGAATTCAAGTATTTTCAAATATGTTAATAAAATTGATCGAAAGAAATCAATTATTTCAAATACAATTTTAATTAATTTTTTTTGAAATAATTCAATTATTCTTTTAGATTTTGAAATTCTTCCCAAGAATTAAATTATTTACAATAAATAATTCTTCGAAAGAATTCAATTGTTTAAGATAAATAAGAAAAATATTCCCGAAAATTCAATTATTTTGAGTCATTTTAATAAAATTTATTGCAAAAATCAATTATTTTCACAAATAACAAAATTCATGACAAGAATTCAATTATTTTTAAAAGTGATAAATGTCTTCTTGGAAATTAAAGTATTTTTAAAAATTCTAATAAAATCGTTGTCAAGAATTCAATTATTTTAATAAATAATAAAATGTTTTTTATGAATTCAATTATTTTCAAAAATATGTAATAAAATACCTGCCAAACATTCAATTATTGTCAAAAATTTTAATAGAATTCTTTGTAAAAATTAATTATTTTTAAAAACTTTTCGCAATTCAATGATTTTCAATATTTACTATTTTCATAAAATTTCCAAACAGAATTCAATTATTTAAAACATTTTTTTTTTAAATCTTATCGTAAGAATTCAATTCTTTTCATGAACAATAAAAATTTCTTTGGAATTGAATTTTTTAAATTAGAATTTGCATAAAATTAGTCGAAAGAAATCAATTATTTAAAATTTGTTATAAATTTCTTTGCAAGAATTAAACTATTTTTATAAAATATATTACATAATAATATATAATATATAATATTTACCTATATATTATAATATAATATATATTATATATAATTCTTTCATGAAAAATAAAATTCGTTGCAGAAATGCAATTTATTAGCAGAATAAGAAAGAAGTAAATATTTTTAATGAAAAAATTAGGGAAAAGTCAGGAAAGCTACTTCTTTAAAATTAATTAACGAGTAGGTACGAAGTTTGTATTGATTTAAGAAATATTATAACTCAAAAATATTAAATATAATATAAAACTAAATTAATGCTAACAATTATAATATAAGTATTAATATTATCAAATTTTACCTACATATAAAATTCAGTTCAAATAAAACATGTTATTCATTCAGGAAAACGTGAGGAAAACATAAATGACAACCATTGTTTGTTTGTTTGTTTTGTTTTAATGGCCTCTTCACGAAGTAGTATAAGGAGACTTGACGGGCTGAAAAACATGGCCCCCATGAAGGAGTATAAGGAGACATATCTCCAATGGGAAAATTTCCTGATATTGACTGTACTTCTCTGCAGTAAAATCGACAGGTACGCGAAAAGTAATAGCCTCATGTTCACTGATAACAGCGCCGCCAAACGGGAGAAATAAGTGCAATTTTACATTTTAAGTATTTTTATCTTTGACAGCTGATTGATATTTAAAGTTAGAGGATCCTCTGAGTGTTGTATTGTAAAATAGATGAACAGAATTAAATTGTTTTATACGTTATATAAATAGAAAGGACTTCAAATAAACAACCAAAAATTCTTTGCATTAAATTCATAAATGTCTGTTGGTAAAAGTATAAAAACTTTTACCCTTACAGAATAGTATATTAAATAAACTTATCATTCTCGGTGCTTTGAAAAAACACTTTTTTCAGAAGCATTTTTATTTGCTTTATAACTAGACATGCAATTTTTTATAAAACAATTCATATTACTATTATTTTATTGTTAAAAAAACTACGTAAACAAAACTTTTATCATGGACAGCATGGAGGGTATATATTTTCTCCTGTAGGGGCGCTAATATCAGTGAACAAATTTCCGGTATGCCAATTTTCGTGCATGGCGATTTTACGCAGTCAAGTACAGTCAATAGGGATACATATACATACTTCTCCTTATACTCCTTCATGATGGCCCCAAAACAAGGCGAAGCCTATCTCAAGTTTTCCGGTGTCCGACTGTTCAGCGCGACCTCCTCGGGAAAATTTACAACTAAGTGGTATATGTGGTTCGCCTGCTACCAATTTCAAATTAAAGAGCGCCCGTTAGAAATGTCAAAGATTGACTTTATTTATTCCAATTTTATAAACGAAATAAATTCTTTGTTTCTTGTCATATGATACCACTTATCAGAAGGTAATTGTGATTTATTAAATTTGATCTTACACTCTTCAAATGTAAGTTTTTCCATCGAATATTCCATGATTCTTTGTTTTTCTTTTTAATAATTAATAATATCTAAAAACAAAAATTATTTATGTATTTCCGTGTCTGTGAAAATCAATTACGCATAAATATAACCTAAAACAATAAACGTAAATACAGTCAAAAAAACATGATCTCTTTAAAAAATAATGCTGAATATTATTTGTAAAGAAAGTAAGCTTTCATACGTACTGTCAAATAGTCTTATTTTGCTCCCATAATTAAATAATAAGTAATTATTTAAATTATTATTTATGTCATTCAAATGTAAACACTTCACAGTGCTTTAAAAGCAGACGTCACTATTTAGTTGTAAATTTTCCCGAGGAGGTCGCGCGGAACAGTCGAACACCGGAAAACTTGAGATAGGCTTCGCCTTGTTTTGGGGCCATGTTTTTTTGAACTTTACATGGGCGTTAAGTCTCCTTATACTACTTCGTGGGCCTCTTGTATGAACAAATAGCCAGTTCGAAAATGACAACCATAACCTTTTGATTTGTTTTTGTTTTCACCCTTTTCACCATATTTAACGATATAAAGCTGTTTCTACATTTTCAAGAAAAAATATGTGTTATTGTGAACGTAAACGTAAATGCAATTTTAGGGTGCGATCTCGTTGACAGAAGCGTAAATCATCGAAAGCAGAATTTTATGAGTAAAAGAGAGATAGTCAGTAACACTATCCTTGTCACTCTCATGAAATTGTGCTTTCGATTTTACAGATTTTAAGCTTCCGCTCATATGTGTGGCTGCACCCTAAAAGTCTGGAATACAAACAGCGCCAACTAGTAAGGAAGGGCCTTACTAAACTTCAGGAATCATATCTACCCAACTTTCTCCAAGACAAGTGTTGATTGTCTGCGGGTTTCATCATTTGTTGTCGTCTGTTCAGTGTTCACATGTGTTTTCAAATAAATAAGATATTTTTGTTATATTTAGACATGTTACTTTTTTACGTATCAACATATTAAGAAACGAGAAAAAATTCTCAAGTTATTTAAAAATTTTATAATATACTAATTGTTAATTTTTACAGTAGAATCAATATTATTGAACGAATGATTTTCTTACCAATTGTGCCTCGAATACTTTTAAAAGAACGGATTATCCATCGTACCTTCAAGTTCTTTAAGAGTTTAAAAGGATATAAATTAATGTCAGGAAATAAGGAAAGTTTGCTCCCTGAAGAGCCTAAACAATCTGTTGAAATAAAAACCTTAGCTTGTGATATATCGTTAAAAGTAAGTTTTATCTGATGTATAGACAATTCACGTGCATTCATGAGCCGTTATTAATGAGAACACTTAATTATTCATTATTATTAAACTAAAATAATAATGTTCTGTTCTCATTTTAAAACTAAGTTTTCCTACTTTCATAATATCTAAATATATAGATTTAAAAAAGTTTCCTCATAGTTTAATTGCTATTAATAATAAAAATACTTCCTCTATGAGGAAGTAAAATTGTTCAAAATTTTTTTTTCAGAATAAAATAATTGTAGTTTATAACAATTCATTGATTGTAAATTTTATGCACTGAAATTGGAAGCTTATTTTATCACCTTAAAAATACTTTTTTAAAAATTGTCGTACTATAATTTTTCAAAAAATTATAGTCATTTGCAGAGATTAGAGACAGTCATACCTTTTTACGATTTTTCAATTTCGTCACTTATTTCACCTATTGCGTTAGTTTTACCTATCCTGTAAAGTTTTTAAATATTTTTAATAAAAAGTAATTTCTAAAAATTTTATTTAATTTTCAATTCTATAAATCTTAATTTTAATTTATTAAAACTTCAATCCATTAATTATTAATATCTTCATTGATTCTGAATTGAAATCGTCAAAGTCCTTTATGTTTTAAATTCAATATTTTTAATTAAGGGCAATTGAATTTTACAAAGAATTTTATTAAAATAAAAATAATTTAATTTGCAGGAATAATTTTGTTATTTATCGATACAATTGAATTCTTTCGAAGAATTATTAAATAATAATTAAAAAAATTAAATTATTTCGAAGAATATATAATTGAAATTGGATTGAAAATAATTATTGAATTCCAAAATAGAATTTTATCAAAATTTCTAAAAAAAATAATTGAATTTCTGTGAAACCATTTAGTAAATTTCTTTAAAATAATTTAATTCCTTCAAGTAATTTTATTAAAATTTTATATCTATATAGAAAAGTGTATTAAATTCCATTAAAAAAATTTTATTATTTAAGAAAATAATTGAATATTTATCAGAAATTTTATCAACATTTTTAAAAATAATTGAATTCTTTCCAAGAATTTCAATAAAATGTTTAAAAATAATTTTAAATATTTTTCGAGGAATTCATTTAAAAATTGTATGAAAAATAATTGAAATTCTGCGATGAGTTTTATTATAAAAATAATTCAATTGTTGCAACTAATTTTATTAAATTCTTTTTTAAATAATTGAATTCCTGTAAAAAATTTTATTATTTGTAAATAATAATTCAATTCTTGCAAAGAATTATATTAAACTTTTTGGAAATAATTGAATTCGTTTAAGGAATATTATTTATGAAAAGAGGAATTTTATTATTTGTAAAAACACTCGATTTGTGCGAAGAATTTTATTAATATTTTTAAAAATAATTGAATTGTAAGAATTTTATGTAAATTTATGAAAATAATTGAATTCTTGCGAAGAATTTTTTTAAAAATTATATTCAAAATAATTTAATTCATCTGAAAAATTTTATTGTTTATGAAAATAATTGAATTTCTATAAAAAATTTTATTATTTGCAAATATAATGGAATTCTTGTGAAGAATTTTATTAAAGCTTCTGTAAATAATTGAATTATGTGAACCATATTCTTAAAAATTTAAAAGAATAATTAAATTATTTCGAATAATTTAATTAAAATTGTATTACAAATAATTGGATTCTTGGAATGAATTTAATTGAATTTAATTGTTTGCAAAAAATGTTATTACATTTTTTTAAATTGCATTCTTTTGAGATATTTTATTAAAATAGTAGATATTGAAAATAATTGCTTTTCAGCAAAAAATTTCATTATTTTTGAAAATAATTGAAATCTTGTGAAGAAATTAAAAGAAATTGTTGATAATAAGTGAATTATTTCAAAGAATTTTATTAAAATTTTTTGAAATAGAATTTGAAATTAAAATAGAGTGAATTTGAAATAGAATTCAAAAATTTTAATAAAATTCATTGCAAAATTTCAGTTATTTTCAAAAATTTTTCTTAATTCAATAATTTTTTTGAAAAAAATCAATTGTTAGAAACTTTTTTATAAAATTCTTCGAAATAATTAAATTATTTTCATAAATAATAAAACTCATTGCAGAAATTCAATATTATTTTTAATACAATTTTAATCCAATTTCTCAAAAATGTAATTATTCTTAAAAATTTTATTAAAATTCGTCGGAAGAATTCAATTATTTAAAAATTTGTTGATAAAATTATCCATAAAAATTCAATTTTAAGAAAATTTAATTATTCAATAAGTTATCTATGTTTGTATATAAATAATTGAATTTTCGTAGAATTTTCTAATTAAAATTGATTTAAAAATTAATTTCAGTTAAAGTTTTAGATAATAATTGATTTTTGGAGAAGTTACTAATAATTGCAATTTTTAGAAATAAGTGAATTTTGTAAAGGTTTCAAAATTAAAATCTTTGAAAATCTGAATTTTTCATACTTTTAATTAAAAATTCAGTGGAACTAATTTTCTTCAAAAAATTTAATCAAAATTTTTAAAAGTTATTTAAAGTTTTTATTTTCTAATGTTTATTTAGTGGAAGAATTTCCGAATAATTTAAATTTCACGTAAAATTGAATTGTAAACAAATGGATTTAAAAATATTCGTAGAAGAACTTTTTTTAGAAATTATTAAAAATAATTTATTTAAAGAAGAATTTAATTTAAAAATTCTAGAAAATATTAATTGAATTGAAATGAAGAAAATAATTTTGAAGAGTTACGGTAACTATATTCTTATATTATAATATAAAATAATTATTTTATCACTCGGTCACCTTTAATTCTTATAAAGTATGAATATCTTCATGTTTTGTAATATTTTTATAAGTTATTAAATTTCAAAAGGTTTGAATTAAAAATTTTTGAAAATCTTTTTTCCTATGGAAAAATAATAATAATTAAAACAAAATTGAATTTTTGTGGCAACCTTGTTTAAAAACAATTGATATTGAAGAAACTTTTAGAACAAAAAAATGTAATTTTTTTAATGTAGAAATTATGAAAAAAAGTTTTTTCAACAAATTATTTTGACCATAGGTCAAAATCTTATATTTTTAAGTCAGTTAACTTAAGTACCTATGTTCTTTTTTTTTAAATCTATTATTTAGATATTATGAAAATAGGGAATCTTAGCTTTAAAATAAGAAAGAATTTAATGAATGTAGATTAAAAATATTTTCTTGTAGGTTATTGGTAGTGGAGCACGTGGTGCTCCAGCTAGTGTTTGTCTTTACTCAAATGAGAGCAGATATATTTTCAACTGTGGAGAAAGTACACAAAGAATAAATAATGAACATAGAAATAAATTATGTAAATTATCGAAAATTGGCAATGTTTTCATTACAACGCCAAATTGGAAGAATCTGGGAGGACTTCCTGGATTTCTCCTATGCTTACAATCATATGGTGTTTCAACAGTAAATATTCATGGACCGATAGGAACAATAGACATTTGTGACGTTACAAGAAGATTTGTATATCTCAAAAGATTAACTGTCATTGAAGCAAATATTAATAGGCCTTTTGTTGACAATGTATTGACTGTGAATTACGTTCTTTTAGAGCCACAAAACGCAGATCACAATACTGAAATAACAGAAACCGATAATGTCGATGAAAACGTCAATCACAAAACTGAAATAGATGATAATATAGATTATTATGAACATGAGGTGAATGTGTCTGCGAAAAGAAAACTTAGCATGTACGGAGACAATGTCAAAAGAATTAAGAGGCAATCTGATTCTATAGCGGGACATGTGAGGTCTTCCATGTGTTACATTGGTAAAATTCATCATCGTATTGGAAAATTAAATTTAAATAAATGTGTAGAAAAAGGAATCACACCAGGTCCATTGTTGGGACAATTGAAGAATGGAATGGATGTTACTTTAGAGAATGGGACAATAATAAAAAGTTCTGATGTTGTTGACCCTGCCGAACCTGGACCTGCATTTATAGGTAAAATTAAATTCTGGTATCTGAACAAGAAGTCCAAACCAAAAAATCCAAAGTAAATGAAATCTAAAAAAATTTTTTAAAAAATAGTTTCACTTTGGACTTATTTTTTGGATTTTTTGTCCTAGTCAAAAAGTTCAAAGAAATTAAAAATCCAATGAAAGAAATTGAGATATAAAAATTTAAATGGTTGACTTAAGTGAAATTGTCCTGGTTTTTTAGTAGCTCATTTCGATGACTGTGAATCGAAAATACGTAAACTTAACATTTTAAATCACTATTCATACTTTAAATTTGATTAATTTTACTTATAAATATATTAAATCGAAAAAAAAATATTTTCAAAAAAATCAAAATTTTGAAACTCCATAACTCAAAAAATATTTTATCAAATTCAAAAAAAATTAATATTTACACTTCTACTAATAATAGTAACATTTTAGCAAAGTTTAGAGAAAATTCATTTTTTTACGTGGGCAGTTGAGGAATTTTGCCCAATTATGTTCGTAATTTGTGGTTACGTTTTATTTTTTTATTCCGAATCCCTTTGAGATCCCAAGATCAAACTTACAGGACATGTAAAGCACATTTGCCCTAACATTTGGTAAAATTTTGAAAAAAAATCGAAGATGATGTTTTTTCAAAAACGGATTTTTAATTTTTCAAAATTTCAAAAAAAAAATTTTTTGAATTTTTTTTTATATTAATTTTAACTTAAAATATACTTAAAACCAAAGAAATCCTTGTTTTAAAATCCAAAATCGGTTAATTAGAACCAAAGTTATAGCACTTTAAAAAAAAAAGACAAAAATTTTGAAAATGCCATATTTTTGGTAATTTTTAAAATTTTGAAAAAATATTTGGTGGAGTTGTTTATCACTATAAAAGTAATGAATTTACAAAATTACAGCCAAATCCCAACAAGTCATGAAAATAAGTGTGTTGAACTGACGTGGGATCCACCTTTTGTAAAGAATTTTGTCAAAATTGTTGAAAATAATTTTATTTCTTGCAATAATTGTTTTAAAAATTTTATAGAATAATTGAAATTTGACTAGAAATTTTTTAATTTATAAAAATAATTGAATTTTTGTGAAGAATTTTTTTGTTTATGAAAATAATTGAATTTTTGTGTAGAATTTAATTCTTTATGTAAATAATTAAAATCCTGCGATTTTAACATTAATATTATATTAAATTCAAATAGAATTGTTGCAAAGAACTTTTATTAAAAAATTTGATAATAATAGAATTCCTTCAAAGAATTTTATTATTTAGGAAAATAATTGGAATTCTCGCGAAGAATTTATTTAAAATTTTTGAAAATTCTAATTAAATTCTTTTTGATAAATTTCTTTCAAGTTTTTAAAATAATCGTGTTTGTTAATAATTGAAATTGAATATTTAATTATTCAATTTTATTAAAATTTTAGGAAATAATTGAATTCTTTTGAAAAATTATATAATGAATTAAGAAAAAAATTGAATTCTTTCGTAAAATTTCTTTTGAAATAATTGAATTTTTTCAAAGATTTTACTATTTGAGGCTCCGGATCTTAAAAGGGCACTTTCCGCATAGACTTTACATGGTGAAAGTGCCCTTTTAAGATCCGGAGCCTCATTTAGAAAAATAATTGAATTGTTTCGAAGGCTTTATTAAAATTTTTAAAAATAATTGTATTCGTTCGTGAAATTTTATTAAAATTTTGTTTAAAAGTAATTGAATTTTTGCACAAAATTTTACTATTTTTAAAAATAATTGAATTCTTACGAAGAATGTTGTTATTTATGAAAATAATTGAATTCTTGCGCAGAATTGTATTAAAATTTTTGAAATTAATAAACAAGAATAATACATTATAATAATCGTAAGTTTCCTTTCCGTTAGCAAATTTTCTGCATTCATTTGTTTGTTTTGAAAATTAATTTTTGTGGGTTATTGGCATTTTTTATTTTTTTTAATGTCAAACTTTTTAACGGTTAGGTACCTATGTAGAATTTACAAGACGCATTCCTGTTCTCAATATTTAATTCTATATAGGGGAGGATGGGGCAAGGATAGTTAGGTAAGACCTTTTCGAATCTAGCGGCCAAACTTGAATATGTAACTGCAAATGAGAAGTATTTTTGGAAAGCCTGGTTATTTGGCTATAATTTTGCTATACATTATTTTACTGTAGACTCAAATCCCTACGAGATACGAATAAAAAAGTAAACAAAAATTTTTAACTATCCTTGCCCCAGTACCGGGGCAAGGATAGTTAAAAGAATTCGAATGCCAAAAATGTTATAGAAAATCAGTAAATTTTTGTTTTTTTTATTTTACTGGATTTAGACTATTCAATATTGATATCCCAAGTATTAAAAATATGTATGGAACATTTTCTGAATTGCACTTATTATATTAAAATTCATCTGAACTAGAATTAGAAGTTTAACCAATTTTTTTCAGACGACCACCAATTTCTTGGTCATAAGCTTCGTTTTCCGTATATAATTACGCACCATTATGTATATCAACCTAAAAAGAACAATTAAACACTTTTTTAAAATTTTCAATTGTATTAACACGCTTTTACCGTGCCGTATTATCTCTAACTATCCTTGCCCCATGAGCCCATATTTCAGTTTTTTCCAAATTTTAAGGAACGACGTGAATTAATTTGAATATAAATACGATATTCGTGTTCAGCAGGAAATTCCACTCCGGAAAACATTTTACGTAAAAAATATTCTGAAATTCTAATGTAGAAAATAATATGATAAACACTAAGTTGACATTTTAGCAAAACAGACTTTTTTCAAAAATAATCTCCCAACTTCGCAAATGGTGACAGATTGACTTGCAATTTTTACAATCATCTTTTGGTGTTAAGGATTGTCACAGCGGTGGTGAGGGGCAAGGGGATTGTTCCCATTACTCCCATGTAAAATCTTGCATGTTTGCAACCTCAAAAAAAAATTTCAGTTTCATAATTTTAATCAAAAATCCTATATATTTATTTTATTTAAAGAAAAAAAACATTCAAAAAAGATGTAAAAATTAATGATAAAATTTTTTCAAGACTAAAATATTAAAAAATGTATTTAATTAATTTTTTGAAAAAGTGCTAAAAACCATTACACAACATAGTCAACATATGGTTGGTACGACTGGAATATAGTATATTGTCAGAGGTTAACCTCAAATTTTTTAGTGTTGAGAACACGAAAATTACAATAAACAAATGTAAAATATAATTATGATGCAAAAGAAACATAAAAGTTATTAACTTATATTTAAGGGATATTATTAATTTCAAATGTACAGATCAAATTTGTATTTTTTTGAGGTTGTGTGTTGTTGCGATGTTGCCACATTTTCATGTGTTTTTGTGTTTGATACTTATACAATTATTACTGTTCTGAAAACTAAAACTTTAATAATTATTTATTCATTAAATCTGTGGTAAACTTTTTCTAAAATCTTCCAGTTTAAACTTTTTGACATTGTCTATCCATATACAAAACCACAGATTTTTCTCTCATTTCCTTCACACTTTTTTTCTAAGATTTATCTGAGCTCCCATAAGAGCCTATGTTAAATTGCAAATTTATTTTATTTTTTTAAGAAAAAACTACGTGGTAAAAAATTATGAAAAAAATCATATGTTTCTAAAATAATATAACGATTAAACTGTCAAATTTTTATAATTTTCTCTCATTTCCTTATATTGCCGGTGACAATCCTTAAAACGCGAATATACTATGAATTACGCGATTTTTGAGCAAGCCGTCTAAGCATAACAGCAACTAACTATCCTTGCCCCTTAACTATCCTTGCCCCATCCTCCCCTACAATTTATTATATTGAATTAAATTTTTAATTAACTAAATAATTTTATCATTTAGTCTAAAGGTTGGTGTCCATAATTTAATATTATTTATTATTTTAATATAATATTGTTAAAAGATATTTGATCAAATTTATTTTAATTCATTTTTATTTTTACTTCTAGATTCCCCAAGTATAAAATTATTATTATATTATTATCAGTTATTAATTTTAAATAATTATTTTTATAATTCGTATTTTTTATTCCTGACTTTTCCTAATTTTCATCAAACATATATACTTTTTTCTTATCCTGTTAATAAATTGAATTCCTGCAATTAATTTTAATATTCATGAAAAAATTTAACTATTTATAAAAATAATGTCATTCTTGTGAAGAATTTTATAAAAATTTTTAAATAATTGATTTCTTTCGACTAATTTTACGCAAATTCTAATTTAAGTAATTGAATTCCTGAAAAAATTTTATTATTCATGAAATTTTGTTTAAAATAACTGAATTCTGTTTGGAAATTTTATGAAAATAGTAGATATTGAAAATCATTGAATTGTGAAAAGTTTGTAAAAATTTTATTAAATTTTTTTGAAAATAATTGATTTCCTAAAAAACATTTTATTATTTATGAAAATAATTGAATTCTTGCGAACGATTGTATTAAAATTTTTTTAAATAATGGAATTTCCCTGAAGAAATTTATTACTTTTAAAAATAATTGAATTATTGTGATGAATATTGTTATTTATGAAAATAATTGAATTTTGCAAAGAATTTTATTAAAATACCTCAAAATAAATTAACTTTCGGAAATAATCTTCTTGTTTATCGATATAATTGAATTCTTTTGAAGAATTATTTATAATAATAATTGAATAGTTGCTAAGAATTTTATTAAAATTTTCAAAAATAATTTAATTCCTTTGAGAAATTTTATTATTTTTGAAAATAATTGAATTATTGCGGAAAAGTTTATTAAAATGTTTAAAAAGAATTGGATTTCTGTGCAAAATTTTGTTATTTTGAAAAGTAATTGAATTCTTCATAAGAATTTTATGAACATTGTTTTAAATAATAATTAATTTTTTCGATATATAATAAATATTATGAAAATGTTATTAGTTAAAATAATTGAATTCTTGTGGAAAACTTTATTTGTGAAAATAACTAACAGTTATTTTAGTTTCGAAAGATACGGAATTCTTTGTTTAAAAAGCTAAATAAATAATTATTTTTTTAATTTTTAGAATAATTTAAATGTTCGTAATCAAAATTATTTTTGAAATAAAAGTATAAAATATGTAACAATTTTTGCGAGATTCAATTTTACTACAATATTGTACTACAAGAAAGTAACAAAATTTATCGGATTCACTTGAAATTTATTTCTAATGCGGTAAACATAACATTAAATTTTAGAAATTCAAAATAGAACTTCCATTGTATGACTTTTTTCTAATTTATCGGATTCAGTGATTTCTGGGGTGAATTTGGTAAAGTTTTGAGATAATTAATGTCTATGTTGAATTCGTTATTTTGACTTTACAAAATCTGATGTTAATTTAATTTTTTAATTTAGTGCTTCAATTGATACTTTCGCTATTCTAGAGAAAATTATCGCTGTTTCAAGTAAAAAATTTTTCAGTGTGTTATTATTATTTCTTTAAAAAGTATTTAAATTAAAATGGCTTTATATTGTTTAAAATAAGCAATACAAAAGATAAAATTCGCTCAAAAAATAATTTTTCACCTCCTGATGATTATCGGCTGTGGATATTTTTTTATTATTGTGAATTAAATTCATTTTTATGACCCAGATATTAATTGGAATTGTTTTAGCCATAGTTTAGGTCCAGTAATGTAAATTCTATTTAAATTGAGACCATTGAGGGAAATTATTAGAATTTAAAAAAAATTGGAAGTTCGAATTTGTTAAATTTTTTTTTGTAAACTTTAAAGTTTCTAAACAATATAAAATGAAATTCTCTATAATTGTTAGCTTTTTCCACCTTTAATTAGTTCAAACTTTTTGTTAGGTAATAATAATAATTATTTCTTTACAAATTTTTAAAAATAAAATGCCTTCAAATTGTTTAAAATAAACAGTTCAGTAGAACATTCCCGCGCGCTTGCGCGCGGATAGTTTGGCTAGTTAATTAATAATTAATGAATTTAAAAAAATTAGCCTATTTAAATAATTCGATTCTCGTAGTTAAATTCTAATAAAAATTGATTAAACAAATTTTTAATAAAATTTTAGAAAATAATTTTATATTTCAAGTGTTATAACAGAAATTTTAGGAATTAATTAAATTTTTAAAGATTTTTAAATTAAATTCTTGGAAAATTTAAGAGAAGCAAAAGTATAAAAATATTTAAATTTCTATTTTGAAAAATTATTAATTACATTATTTTTCTTTTTAAAAATTTGTAATGTTTTGAATAATTTTATTCAATAACTCTAAAAAAATTTAATTGAATTTTGGAAGAATTACAGTTGCAATTTTTAGAAATAATTAAATTTTAAATGGTTTTTCATTGATTTTTTTTTAAATTGTCAAATTTCATTGAAATAATTTTTGTCTTTTAATGAATTTTATTTGTTTACTTTGAAAAATTATTTGGAAATGTAGTCGAATTTTTGAAGAATTCTACTTGAAAATTTGGAAAATAATTGATTTTTAAAAACTTTTAGAAGTAAATTAATTACCAGGATTGTTCAGTTGTACTCGAAAGTTCAAATTATTTAATCAAAAATATTTTACATTCAAGTTGTTAGGAATATCTTGGCAAATTCTATACGAGTTGTTCAAATAATATCTTTTTTTTTTAAATTTAAAGAAAAATATGTTCAAAATTATGAAAAATTTTTTTCTTTCATTTTATAAAATTCTTTTAAACTTCTCAGTTTTATTTTTAACTAAAAATTGCGATCGGGTTTATAAAAAAAATTGCCTTTAATTTTTAAATATCTAGAAGATTTTTGCTAAAAAATTGTAGAGAAGAAATAGAAATGCTGCAAATTTTTTTCACTAATTTCTAAAAGAATTATAATTTCGTTAAAAATTGTGATTAAACAACAGAAATTATACAAACTTTTCCTATTATAAAGAAACTAAAAATTTTGTAATCAAAAAATATTATTGACAAATCATCGTTATGAAAATTTCTTACCTTTATTTTATTAAAAACTTTTTTGTTATTTGAATTACTTCTTTTTTGTTTTTTGAATCCTGACTCGGAGTGATCGATTTTTTTCATCATCTTAATAAAATCTTTTAAATTTCTCAATTTTATTTTAAAAATAGTGATTATAAACTCTTGTTAATGAAAATATAAAACTTTCCAGTTGTAGACTGTCCTAGAGAAGAATTATTAGAGTCTTTAATACAAAATCCAATTTTTGCAAACTATCAATCGGGAACTGCTAAGTCGAAGGATATGATTGCTTCTTGTATTGTGCATTTCACGCCAGAATCAATAATAAAAGATGCAAGGTATCAAAAGTGGATGGAAAATTTTGGTTGGTCGACACAGCACATGATAGTCAACGAATCTAACACGTGCTTGGGAACCGAAGCAATTCATAAGTTTCAACATCAACTGCATTTACTTCATGACAGAATATTTCCCTTTTGGGATGAATCGAATATTCCGACTGAAGTATCTGCAACTTCGCAGAAAAGTGGAATTTTTCAGAACCATAGTGTCACGGAAGATGACAAAGAAAGTTCTGTAAGAAAATATTACTATTATTTTGTAGTATTTAATTACTATTATTTTGTTCAAAATTTGTAGGTAATAATTTAACTGTTCGTATAAATAAATCTGATTTAGGTTGAGGCTTCTGATGAATCTGCTCTGGTAACTCGTGCAAAAACGCTTCACTGCTATTCCCTGGTTCCTAAAAAAGGTCTTAATCCATTAAAGGAGTTGAAACTCAATCCTCAAGAATATTTGGATGAAGTTTTTCAAATGACTGGATATTTAGATGCTTTGGCGGAGGTCCAAACAAATGTCAGTTTTATGCAAAGGAAATTAGGTGAAATTCCAGAATATCCGAAACTTGTAATATTAGGAACGAGCTCAACTGCAAATAATAAAATGAGGAACACAAGTGGTATTCTTCTGAGGATTGATAAAGATACAAGTATAGTTTTGGACTGTGGAGAAGGAACGATACATCAAATCTTTAGGATTTATGGAAAGGAAACAGATAATATTCTTTCTTCAATTAAGGTTCTTTAAACATTTGTGTGCAATTTTATTTTCTTAAGTCTGTTTTGCAGTTATTTTTAAAAATACATTAGAAATTTTATTTTTAACATTTGATTACATTTTAATGTTAGAAAGTTGAAGATCTATGATTTAAAATATCTTTCACTGCTGGTCAATGAAAACTAAACTATTTTGTAGAAAAAGATAATAGCAGACTTCGCACTCGATAATTAATATTAAAAAATTAGTAAAAAAATAGCTATTAAAAAATTAAAATTAACTTCATTCTTATTCTGTTAATAAATTGAATTCCTGCAACGAATTTTATTATTCATGAAAGAATTTAAATATTTATAAAAATAATTTAATTCTTGTCAAGAATTTTGTAACATAATTTTCATAATTTCTTTCGATTAATTTTATGAAAATTCTAATTTAAAAAATGAGATCCTGAAAAATTTTTATTATTCATAAAAAGAACAATTCTTGTACGAAGATTTTTACAAAAAAATTTTTAAATAATTGAATTCTGTTTGGAAATTTTATGAAAATAGTAGATATTGAAAATCATTGAATTGCTAAAAGTTTTTAAAAATAATTAAATTTTACAAAGAGTTCTATTAAAACTTTTGACAATAATTGAATTTCTGTGTGGTATGTTATTAAAATTTTTTGAAAATAATTGAATTTCTAAAAAGCATTTTATTATTTATGAATTTAATTGAATTCTTGCGAAAGATTTTATTAGGATTTTTTAAAATAATTGAATTTCCAAGAATAAATTTATTACTTTTAGAAATAATTGAATTCTTGTGATGAATATTGTCATTTATGAAAATAATTAAATTTTGCAAAAAATTTTATTAAAATGTCTCAAAGTAATTGACTGTTTGGGAATAGTTTTGATATAATATTTATCGACAATAATTAAATTCTTTCGAAGAATTATTTACGTAAATAATTGAATTCTTGAGAAGAATTTCATTAAAATCTAAAAGAATAATTGAAATAATTAATTATTATAATAATTGAATTCTTAGGAAGAATTTTATTAAAATTTTATAAAAATCTAAAAGAATAATTGAAATATTTCAAAAGAATTTAATTAAAATTGTAGTTGTTATTTTATTAAAATATTTGAAAATAATTGAATTCCAAAGAAATTTTTATTATTCATGAAAATAATTCAATTCTTACTAAGATATTTCCAAAAAATGTTTTTTAATAATTCAATTCTGTTTGGAAATTTAATAAAAATAGTAGATTTTGAAAATAGTTGAATTCCTAAAAAGCATTTTATTATTTATGAATATAATTAATTTCTTGCGAACGATTTTATTAGAATTTTTAAAAATAATTGAATTTCCAAGAAGAAATTAATTACTTTTAAAAACAATTGAATTCTTGTCATGAATATTGTTATTTACGAAAATAATTGAATTTTGCAAAGAATTTTATTAAAATGCCTGAAAATAATTGAATTTTCAGGAATAATTTTGTTTTTATCGACATAATTGAATTCTTTCAAATAATTATTTATGTAAATATTTGATTTCTTGGGAAGAATTTTAAAAAAACATTTTTTTAAATAATTGATTTTTTCGAGGAATTGAAATTAAATTTTTAAGAATAATTACATTTTTTGAGTAATTCCTGTAAAATTCTATTAAAAATAATTGAAATCCTGAGAAGAATTTTATTATTTATGAAAATAATCGAATTATTGCGAAAAATTGTATTAAAATGTTTTAAAAGAATTGAATTTCTGTGAAAAATTTTGTTATTTTTGAAAATAATTGAAATTCTTCAATGAGTTTTATTATTTATGAAAATAATTGAATTATTTCGAAGAATTTTATAACAAAGTTTTTTTTAAATTCAATTTTCATGACAAATGTTATTTGTGAAAGTAATTAAATTATTGTGAAGAATTGTATACAAATTTTGTTAAATAATTGGTTTTTTGCGAAATATTTTTGAAATTGCTATTCTAAATTAATTGAATTCCTGTGGAAATTTTATTATTTATGAAAATAATTGAATTTTTAATAAATGTTATCAATTTTTTTTTAAGTAATTGAATTCTTTTGCGAAATTTCATGAAAATACTAGATATTGAAAATAATTGAATTTCGAATAGTTTTTGAAAACAATTGAATCGTTTTAAAGAATTTGATTATAATTTTTGAGAATAATTTTTTCATTTCTAGGATTGGCGAATTTAAAGTAGTGGAAATTCTTAAAAAAAAACAGAAATAGTAGCTTTTAGTAGATGAGTGCGAAGCCTGTAATAGATTTTATAGAAAATTTTTCTATCTTTTTCTGCAAAAACAGTTAGAAATTTGAAAAAACAGTTAAAAAAACTATACTCATAAAAAATGTTTAATACAAGTTTATTTGCAGGCTATTTATATTTCTCATCTACATGCTGATCATCAATTAGGATTGATTGGAATTTTACAAGAACGATCGCGCTCTAATCAAGAACCTGTTTATCTCCTCGCTCCAGAAAGAATACGTTCCTGGTTATACTTTTTTGATCTCAGATATCAGAATATTTCACAACTATACACTTTGATTCCACTATCGAAATTACTAATGTCTGAGCACCAAATTCCTTTGGAAACTGAAAAAAGAATTTATGAAAGTCTTAATGTTAAGGAAATTAGTACAGTTAATGTGGACCATTGTGCTTTTTCATACGGAGTTTCTTTTACTCTTGCTAACGACAAAAAAATAGTTTATAGGTAAGTACTACAATTTAATGTAGTACCAGAGAGTAGATTTTGTAAAATCAATCTCTTGATTAATTTTACAAAATCTAATAAAAAATGTCACATTCAGAAGTATTTTATATTTAAAATTTAACTAATTATTTAATTTTCAGCGGTGACACGATGCCTTGTCAAAAACTTGTAGATTTAGGTAAAAATTGTGACTTATTAATTCACGAGGCAACATTTAATGATAAAGAACATGCAAAAGAAAAACTTCATTCAACTGTATCGCAAGCTATTAACATCGGCGAGAAAATGAAAGCAAATTTCACTCTGTTAACGCACTTTAGTCAACGCTTTTCAAAAACATTTTACATGCCAGAAATTGGCCAACGTGCAGACCATAGTAAAATTGGCATGGCTTTCGATAACATGCACATTAGATTAGCCGAACTTCCTATTCTTCCTCTATTTTATCCATGTCTCAAAATAATGTGCTATGAAGAAACAGAAGTGAAAGAGGTAAATGGCAAGAAAGTTTTAGGACTCTTAAAATCACCAATGAAGAGAAAAATAGGAAAAATTGAAGCGAGGAAATCTGATGTTTTGTAAATATTGTGAATAATGAACTGAACGAATGACGATTTTTACTTGATAAATATGTATATACTTCCATTTTTGCAAATGAATATCAATTGTTTATTAATAAAACAGAAATTTTACTTTAAAATATTTTTTTACTTTCTTAATTCGACAGTTTTTAAATTTTCTCATTCTATTATTTTCATAAATAATAAAATTCTTCTCATGAATTCAACTATTTTTAAAAATATTAATAACATTCTTAGCAACTATTTAATTATTTATATAAATAATAAAATTCATCGCAGGATTTAAATTATTTTTTATACAATTATTTACAAAAATATTAGAATTTTTTTACAGCAATTCAATTATTTTCAAATATTTTAATAAAATAATTGTTCTATAAGAATCAATTATTTAAATATGCAATTTTAATTCAATTTTTTTTTAAATAATTCAATTATTCTTTTAGATTTTAATAAAATTCTTCCCAAGAATTCAATTCCAATGAAATCGTTAGCAAGAATTCAATTATTTTCGTAAATAATAAACCTCATCGAAGAATTCCAATAATTTTTACTATTTTAAATTAATTAATCGAAAAATTCAATTATTTTCACAAACAAAGTTTTCCACAAGAATTCAATTATTTAAAATAAAATTTTCATAATATTTATTATATTTCGAATACATTAATTATTTAAAATAATTTTTATAAAATTCTTATGAAGAATTTAATTAGTTTGAAAAATAACAAAATTTCCCGGAGAAATTTAATTCTTTTTAAACATTATTTTAATAAAATTTTTCGCAATAATTCAATTATTTTCATACATAATAAAATTCTTCTCAGGAATTCAATTATTTTTTATAAAATTTTTCAGACATTGCTACAAAAATATAAAATTCTTAAAAATTTAATTTCAATTCTTCGACAAAATTAATTATTTAAAAAAATGGTTTTTTAAAATTCTTTGGAAGAATTCAATTATTTACAAAAATATTAGTATTTTTCACAGGAATTCAATTATTCTTTTAGATTTCTATGAAATTCTTCCCAAGAATTCAATTATTTACATAAAGAATTCTTCGAAACAATTCAATTTTGTCGATAAATAACAAAATTATTCCCAAAATTCAATTATTTTGAGGCCTTTTAATAAAGTCTTTGCAAAATTCAATTGTTTTCATAAATAACAATATTCTTCACAAGAATTCAATTATTTTTAAAAGTAATAAATTTCTTCTTGGAAATTCAATTATTTTAAAAAAATTCTAATAAAATCGTTCGCAAGAATACAATTATTTTCGTAAATAATAAAATTCTTCTCAGAAATTCAATTATTTTAAAAAATTTTTATAAAATTCTTAGCAAACTAAGTATTCAATTATTTTCATGAATAATAAAATTCATCGCAGGATTTCAATTATTTTTAATACATTTTACAGAAATTGCTTGATAAATGTAATTATTCTTAAAAATTTAATTTCAATTTCTCGAAAAAAAAATTATTTAAAAAAATATTTTTTTAAAATTCTTTGGAAGAATTCAATTATTTGCAAAAATGTTAGAATTTTTCACAGGAATCTATTTATTTTTCAAATATTTTAATAAAATTCTTTTGAAATAATTTAATTATTTTTTTAGATTTTAATAAAATTCTTCCCAAGAATTCAATTATTTACAATAAATAATTCTTCGAAAGAAGTCAATTGTTAAAGATAAATAAAAAAAAAGAACTATTCCTGAAAATTCAATTATTTTTAAAAGTAATAAATTTCTTCTAGAAAATTCAATTATGTATTTTAAAAAATTCTAATAAAATCGTTCGCAAGAATTCAATTATTTTCATAAATAATAAAATGCTTTTTATGAATTCAATTATTGCCAAAAATTTGAATAGAATTCTTTGTAAAATGTAATTATTTTTAAAAATTATTTATAATAGTCGACAAGTCTAAAAAAATATAAATTAGTTTATTATTGTAAATTATTTAACGTCCGAGTGTTCTTAATAATAAGACAGAAAAAAACGAAGTCTGAATGTCTTCATTTTTTCTGTCTTATTAATAAATTTGTTTCTTTTTATAGAAATAGACAATTAAATATTTTTACTATTATTTATTAAATTTTATTACACAGTAATAATAATGAAAATAATTATTACCTATTAGGTACTATTATTATTGATTTTATTGTAATAAATGACATCAATCATTACTAAGTGTTTTACGTTGCTATAGAAACTGTTAAAAATGTTTACATCTAATATTCGTGTGATAAACACCTGAAACAAAATTCAGAGATTACCACAAAACAATAACCAAAAAAAAACTACATAATAGACAGTTTTACATAAAAAATTTAAAAATTTTACATAAATTATCGCAGAATGTTGATAGTTGAGGAATTAGAGTTAAGCAAATTTTGTTTGCTTCTAAAAGCAGATGACAAATTTCAAAGAAAAAAAGGACTAGACGAACTTCTGAAAGTTGTCTTTAAAAGAGAAACATGTTTAAAAGACTCTGAATTGCTCGAGATTTGGGAGAATGTACACAAATTATTGGTTCATATTTTAAATGACGAATCGGAAGCATGTCGAGATGCTGCTCTCGATATTATAAAACTCTTTCTAACTTCATTAGCTCCAGCTGATAAGCATGTTATTTATACGATTCCAATTTTGACAAATCGACTGGGTTCCCAAGAATTAATTGAATCGTCAGAAGAAGTTAGACTTAAAAGTGTTACCCTTCTAGCAACTATCATCCCCATTTATAAAGATTTTCTGCCTGCTTACTTTGAAGATTTAGTAGCAATTTTGCGAAAAACTGTTGAAGACCAATATCCAAATATCAAGAAGGAAAGTTGTTCTTGTATATCAATTTTAGCTAAAAGTGCACCAAGATATTTTTATCATCATTCGGAGAGTTTTGTAAAACCGATTCTTAGCAATTTTTCACATCAACATTACAAAGTGAGAGTAATTTCCGTCAAAACCATAGGAGACGTCTTATTGTATGGTAACAGCAAATCTATGGAAGAAGTAGCAACACCTTTGGCTGAAAAACTTTTCGATCAAAGTTCTGCTGTTAGATCAGGTAAATATTTTTTTTATTAACTAAAATTACATATTCGTTTCTAAAGATAATAAAAATGTATATATAATTGAAAATATAGTTTAAACAATTTTTTATATTACAATGAAAATAGTTCGCTTCAAACTTAACTTCATTTCATTAAAATAAGTCCTAAAATGATGTATCGTGTTAATCTTAGTCAATTAATTATAATACTGACAAACTTGAAATTTGAGTTTTATAATTTATACTCACATTTACTTATTATTTTATTTTTTATTATAAGCTGTGGTGGAAGTAGCAGGTTGCTGGATGATAGAACTACGAGATAGATATTCTTGGTGGCATAAAATTCTTCCTTTAATTATGACTGGATTACATGATGAAATTCCCGAAACAAGAGCAAGAGCTGCAGAACTTTGGGAAAGAGCTGGTATACAATACATGCATGAAAATGAATCCGATGATAAATTTAAAAATAAAATGGATTTCTTAACGGAACATCCTGAGCATTATCCTCCAAACAGTAAGAGCATATGAATTTATTACCTTCTACTTATGGCTCTGAGAGGTGTGAATTCTTTATTAAACTCTATTTTCATTAAACATTCATACACGAGCCAGGGTGTCTACTGAAATTATGACTTAAAATTCCAGGACATTTTCAGAACATTCCAGGACAGATTTCTTATTTTTCCAGGACATTTATATGTGTAACAGGGTTGCCACAAGTCAGGGAAGTCAAGGAATTCAGGGAAAAGTCAGGGATTTTAACTAAAAGTACTGGAAAAAATTAAATTTTTAGAATTTATGGGAAAATTCTGAATTTTGGTGTCTTTTTTGTTTGCTGCATAAACTATGAAATTGCCAAGAATTCTAATACAAACCCTTCAATTTTTTCTATTTTTGACAATAATTTTTTTAAAAATAATTTCGCATAAATTCAATTTATGTTCAAAACTTTTTAAAAATTCTCGTCAAAATTTCAATAATCTTTATAATTAATAAAATTCTTCTCCAAAATTCAATTATTTTCAAAAAATTTAATAAAATTCTTGGCAAAATTTCAATTATTTTTAAAAAATTTTTCTCATTTCAATTATTTTTGATATCAGCTACTATTTTAATAAAATTTTCCAAAAGAATTCTATTATTTAAACAAAATTTTAATAAAAATTTAACAGAAATTCAATTATTTAAAATTTTTTAATGAAGTTTCTCGAAAAAATTCAAATATATAAAGAAAATTGAAAAAAAATAGTCTGAGAAATTCAATTATTTCGAAAAATTTAAAAAAAATTCTTCTAATAATTCTGTTATTTAAAAAAATGTTTAAAAAAATTGCTTTGCATGATTTAGTTCATTAAATTGCAATTTTAATAAAATTTTCCTATACAATTCAATTGTTTTCAATACATTTCTTTCTAAGAATTCAATTTTTTTTTAAATAAACATTTTTACAGGAATTTAATTATTTAAAAAAAATGTTTTTAAAATTCTTTGTCAGATTTCAATTATTTTCAATTTTTTAATGAAATTTCCAGATAGAATTTAATTATTTTTAAAAAATTTTTAAAAATTCTGAAAAATTCCATTATTTAAAAAAATTTGAATAAAATTCTTCACAAGAAATTAATTATTTTCATAAATAATAATATTTTTCTTTGGAATTCAATTATTTTTACAAATAAAATTCTTCACATGCGGGAATTCAATTCTTTAAAAAGATTTTTAATAAAATTCGTATAAAGAATTCAATTATTTTCAAAAACAACTAAAACTTATCGCAGAATTTCAATTATTTTTACAAAATTTTGATAAAAAATCAATTTTAAAAACATATAATTACTGAATAAATTATTTATTTTTGTATTTAAATAATTGAATTCTCGGGAAATTTTCTAATAAAAATTGATTAAAAAATGAATTTTACTTAAAATATTTATTATTATATAATATAAAAATATTACAATATTCTTATGAAATAAAATAATGATTTTATTATATATACTAGCAAAAATAACGCGCGCTAAAGCGCGCGTGAAGTTTCTTGTTTCACTTTTAACATATATATATAACAATAATGTAATTTTTACATTACATGTCACATGAAAATTAATGAAAGCGTGAATGCCAATGAGACGATAATGAAAAATATGTTCATTACATTATTTTTGACTTATTAATTATCAAAAATAAATTACATTTAATAAGAATTAATTATTTATTTGTTATTTTGTTTCTAATATAGTTTTCTAGTCAAAATTAATTAATATTATTTTCATGTCATTAACATTCAAAAATTCAATTATTCAGAAGAATTCTACACAAAATCACTATTTTTCTAAATTTATTTAGGGAAATCAGGAAAAAGTCAGAAAATTTTGTCAAAAGTGCTGGAATAATATTCAATTTTAAGAATTCATAAGAAAATTCTGAATGTTATTCTTGAGCATTGAAAAGATTTTATATATTTCAAACTCTTCCTGTCTTTAACAATAATTAGACTTTACAGATTTAAAATTAATTTTCTTAACCCCTTGGCTGTCAACGAGATTTCCACTGTTTGGGCCAAAAGTGTGTTGAAAAAAATTTTAATGGATTTTTATGAAACTTGGTACCCTAAGGTTTCTGGGGTCGCTGATTACGAATCTGACATCAGTTTTTCGAAATTCAAAATGGCGGATCCAAGATGTCGGAAATTTTTTCAAAATTCGTCGAATTTGCTTGAAACTTGTTACTCGGGGGTTTTAAGGGTCGCTGATTACGAATCTAACATTAGTTTTCCAAAATTCAAAATGGCGGATCCAATATGGCGGACAACAAAATAAAAAATTGACCAGATTGGCTTGAAACTGAATACTTGGGGATTTTCAGGGTCGCTGATTACGAATCTGAAATCAGTTTTTCAAAATTCAAAATATCTGGTTCAATATGGCGGAAAATTTTTTAAAATTTATTGAATTTGTTTGAAACTGGTTAATATGACATCAGTATGATAATTTTTGGTGAAATCGAATTTCGATAAATACCCTAAAAAAATAATGACAGATTCGTAATCAGCGACCCTGAAAATCCCCAAGTATTCAGTTTCAACAAATTCGACGAATTTTGAAAAAATTTCCGCCATCTTGGATCCGCCATTTTGAATTTCGAAAAACTGATGTCAGATTCGTAATCAGCGACCCCAGAAACCCCCGAGTACTACGTTTCAAGTCAATCTGATCAATTTTTTATTTTGTTGTCCGCCATATTGGATCCGCCATTTTGAATTTTGGAAAACGAATGTCATATTCGTAATCAGCGACCTCAAAAAACCCCGAGTAACCGGTTTCAGGAACATTTAAGAAGTTTTTAATCACTTTTTTTAGTTGCGCATATATGCGTCATGAAACACTTTTGGCCAGTTTAGTTTTGCGCATATATGCGTCAGCGACAGTCAACGGGTTAAATAATTTAATTTTTAAAAAACTATCGAGAAAAAATTATTTTTTATTAATTATTTTGGAATAATTTTTTATTTAAAAATTAAAAAAATAATTAAATTTTATGAAATTTGTATTTAAAATTTTTTTATAAATAATATAAATAAGTAGTAAATGTCACGCCTGACAAACAAAGTATTTAATTTATTATTATTATTATTATTATTATTATTATTATTATTATTACTCAAAAAAAATTCGATTATCTTTACAAAATTTCAATAAAAAATTCTTCGAAAAATTTATGAAAAATTACAAAAATGTTATCTTTTGAAATTATTACAGGTGACAGTTAAAAAAACGCGCGTGTAGTTTCTCCTAGTATTAATAGATAATTAATAATAATGCCTATTAACAATAAAAACTGGTACTTAATCACTTAACTACTTAATCACAAAAAATAATTAAAAAATTTAAAAAAATTTCGTTAAAAATTGAAATTTACAAAATATATCACTGCTTTGCTAACTTTGCATAAAATTTCATATTTGTGCCTTCAAAAAATGAATTTAAAAATGTTTTGATAAAATTCTTTATCAGACTTAAATTTTAAGAAATTTTAATTATTCAATAAATTATTTATTTTTGCATTCAAATTATTGAATTCTCTAATAAAAATTTATTTCAAAATGAATTTCAGTTAAAGTTCTACATAATAATTGAATATTAAAAGCATTATAGCATGAATTTTAAGAAATAATTAAATTTTAAAATGGTTCCAAATCAAATTCTTTAAAAATTTGTATTTTTCATACTATTATAACTAACAATTCTGTAGAATTAATTATTTTAAAAAAGTTTAATTGAATTTTTTTCTGAAATTATTTGAAGTATTTATTTTTTAATTCGTATTTAGTTGAAGAATTTCTAAATAATTTAAATTTCGTAAACAAATGGATTTTAAAATTCTCAAAGAACTTTTTTCAAAAATTATTAAAAATAATTTATTCCTGTGGGAAAATAATAATGATTAAAATTTATTTAGAAAAGAAGTAATTGATGTTTTTAAATAATTTTAGAATTAAAGAAATTCGTAAATAAATGTAATGGAATATTTTTTGGAGTATCTAATCATTTTTAGAGAGAATCAGAATATTCTTTAGAGTCAAGGAAGAAGTCAAAATTTTGTTAAGTATAATAAAGTTTTTCATATTAAAAAAAAGAAAACATTTTACAGGATTTACATTTGTTAATTTTCTAAAATGTTTGTTACAAAATGCTAATTTTTTAGAATCAAAGGAAATAATGAATAGTATAATAATATTAATAATTTTTTTAGATTAATAAAAATATTTTTGAATTATTTGAGAAATAAAAATAATATTATTAAATCAAAAAAAATAAAAACAAAATAAAAAAATGTAATATTATCTATCAAAACATAAAAAACAAAAGCATAAATTTTGTTAAAAAATCGTTATTTTATATTTTATTTCTATTTTCTATCAAAACGAATAAAAAACAAAAGAATAACCATGACTAACTTCAGGTGTGGACAGACTGGACAGAATGAATACGACGATTATTATAGTTAAATATGAAAAGTCAGGGAAAAACAAACTTAAAATTTTGTGGCAACCCTGTAGTATAATATTATTTCATATTACGATTAAATTAATTTAAATTAACCTACTTGAACAAAAATATTTATTTTATTATAAAAAGAGTTAAAAATCAATATTGTAGATAGTTTCTTTAATCAAACGACAAATTAAAATTATTTTTTGATGGATCAAAAAAATTATTTTTTTAAATTTAAGTAAAATTTTTAAATTAAATTATTGAATATTGAAAAGCAAAATATGGAAAATTCAAGGACAAAAGTTCAAAATCCAGGACATTTAAGGACATTTTTTCAAATTCCAGGACTTTTCCAGGACTTCAAGGACCAGTAGACACACTGAATACATCATTAAAATAATAAAATAATTATGAGATCAATTCTTTTTAATTTGACTTGAACCGAACGTGTCCCTGTGTTTTCTTAGTTCTAAAGTGTTTTTGCTTTTTACTGATATATGTTTATTTGTCGACGTGTTAGCATAAAGCAAAAAGTTATATTTTAGTTATAAATAAATCATGTTTTACAATTTTACATAATGTTTGCAGTTAAAAGGCCAAACTTAGGATGTAGAGTTATTTCGCAACAAAATTTGTGTAAACTAGTTGGAGCCATAGGAAGAGAGCTTGATGACTGGTTAGCGGATATAAGAGTTCGTTCTGCGCAATTACTTTGTGAACTCATTTTACATGTAGAACAGAGTGTTACCCAGCACATTGAGAAACTTCTTCCATCAATGTTTCGGTAATTAACAATAACTATATTAAGAACTAATGACAGTCATCATACAATACTTAAATTCAAATTTATCAAAAGCTGCTTACTACCCAGGATTACCCCTAGATAGTTTGCCTTTCAATTCTTAAATAAGTCATGAACAATCTATTTTTAGAGCGTGCAACGATGAAGACTATAGAGTTGTAGAAAATGTTAAAAAAGCTGCCGAGTATATAGGATTCTTTATTCCACCTGAAGTTTATTGCGAACTTATCATTCAATTTTTTGAAGACAATTTATCTGTAGGTCATCTAAGAGTCTTTGGATCAATTTTGTTAGGCACCAACCGAAAAGAGCTAGTTCCGCATTTGGAAAAACTGGGAAACTTTCTACAACAGAAATACGTTTGTCAAAGCAGAAAAACGAATTATCAAAAAGAATTATTATTTTGCTGTGAGTCTCTGCTTCTGGTTTGTAAGGAGGTATGCATATATTTTATCAATCAACATTACATAAATTATGTTTTTCAGAAATTTTACTATTCAGGGCGTAACCCTCTAACAGAATTTTCTTTTTGTCCAGCTTTTGAGTTTCATAATTTCCGTTTTCTAAATTTTCATATGACCAATTTTTCTATTGACATAAATTATCATTTGATAAAACTCTAAAAATGCCGAAGAATATTGACATTTTAGCATTTTTAGACTTCTGTTAAGTGACAATTTTATTCATAATTTATAATAAAGCAAATAATTAAGAAAATAAAAATTTGTTTTTTAAGGATTGTAGTACGATTTCAAAGAATTTATTCCGAACTATATTTACTATACTGTCTACAACAACAAATAACTTAATAGAAAACGAAGCGAAACAATTATTAGAAGAACTGGCAAAAGTGGATAATTTAGAAAATTTAGATCAGTTATTTTTAAACAATATTGACACAATTTTGATTGATTTAAGAACTGGATGTGAATTTTGGAACATTTATACTCCAGAGTTTAGCATTTTTCGAGGATGTTTTTTATACGCTTCAAAAGCCATCGGACGCTTTTTAAACCTAGTCTGTCCGATCTTTGAAGAAACTATGAACGAAAGTGTAAATGCTGAAGTGAGATTGAAACAATATATTCTACTTTCTGAATATCTTAATAGTCAAAGAGATGGATGTGTAATCTATGAGAATCAGGAAGAATTTACTAATTTTATCGACTTACTTTTTAAAAAAGTAATAGTACCAGGATTAGTTTGGTCTGTCGGACGAACAGCAGAATCAATACGAACAGCATCCGTATGTTGTCTTTCTTCGTTATTGTTTAAAATTTTAAATGATATCCATTTTGAGGAAAGAACTACGAAAAGCAGTAATGAGAAAATTAATATTGGATCTCTACAATTATTTATAACTGATGACTACTTTTCGGAATTATTTAAAAAAATTATACCAATTTTGACTACGCTAATAGATGACAATTCAAAGAAAACAAGGCTATTCTCTCTTGAAGCAGTCTCACTTATGATGCGTTTAGGTTTGAAGCTAGAATATGTTACAGAAGAGCATATTCATGGAGTGTATTTTGTTGTCTTAAAAAGATTGGATGATGGTTGTGATGATGTACGTTGCGCTGCTATAAGAGCTCTTAAAGATGTTTGGAAATCTGTGCCAAAGAATTATGATTTAAATTCTTGCAGAGGTCATGTTGATACGTTGTACACCAGTACTATAATTCATTTAGATGATCCTGAAAAAAAATTTCAAGACTTAGTGCTAGGTATGTGGTAATTTATCATTCTAGATAACTTTTCAGTGGGCACAGGGATGTAGTCCTTAACGTCCTTAAGACATTCCAGTGTGCACTGGGTTGTTATATTTTCAACACTTCTTAAAGAGAACATAAAATTTATGTTTATATATATAATATATTTCAGAAGCTCTAATGGATCTTGGTCACGTTCATCCTGCATTACTTTTAAAGAAGATTGAAAATTGTCGAGCGAATTTTCGAAATCAGGAAGGTTTGGATCAGTTAATGACACTTATGCATGAATATTTAAATAAAGCGTAAAAAGGTATACATATATAATTATAACTAAAATGTTTTGAATTTTGTTGAAATAGTTATTAAAATAAAAAAACGTCTGGCTTGTACTAAATATTTTAATACGAACAACTACAAAACTAAATTTTTAAAAATTAATTACATTAATAATTATACCCGGGCCGAATTTGATTTGCCTAATATGTTACCCAGCTGAGTAGTTATTGGGATTGTTCTGCCTCAATCTTGACTATTAACATAATTACACCTTATGTAATCCTACCACATCAGACTCCTTAAACCCCTAACTAAGGGCTGTACTCCTCACTAGCTTTTCCTGAGTTCGATGGCGTTCTATCTTGCCCAGCCTCTACTCTAGTCTTGTCTTTCCCTGTGCCAAGTGATGCAGCGCCTTGTCCAAAAAGATATAAATGATTATGTTGAGAAAATCCAGTTAAATCAAGCAAAAAATGGAGAATGACAGGATAATTGATTGTTTAATGATAATTACTCACAATTAGGAAATTATTTACCGGAAATTAAAACAAATTTTAAATCACTTTTGAAACACATTTTATTGTTAATTATATATGCCAACATTTCATTTAACTCTTTAGATAAATACAGTAGGATATACATGTAAATTAGAATTTTTTTTACTTTATCCGAAGGCAATTAAAATTTGAGCATAAATTCATATTTGGATTATATTTTGGCTCCCAGAAATCGCATTTTTGAATGGGATTCATGATTGTGTTTTTTGGACAACCAAAAGACTCTCCAAATTCCTTCATATTTTGTAGACTTCCAATAATTCTCATCTCATTTGGTGAATGTAAGATAACAGGCATTGGTGATCGACGAGTTTCACATAATCGCTAAAAAAATATTTAAAAAAAAATTTTTTTAGCTTAATGAGATAAACTGTTTATTCTGTAAGTAATGTAAGTATACATATGCAAAAATAAAAATATTCACATTTGCAAAGGATATAAAAAATATGTTATTATCATTAAAGTAGTTGAAATGTGGCAAGTTATTCTTCCCAACTTCTTCTGGATGATCTCTAAAGTAGCGCAGCATTGCTTTGTATGCTAATTTTATTCCTTGTATATCAGCCATATTTTCAACGAGGGTAGTCGTTGGTACCTATAAGAATTATATTTATAATAGAATGATATAATATTCAATAAAAGATACTTTCGGACCAACCAGGCACTTATGACATATTCAGAGCATGCAATATGTTTATAATTACCCCAAGATTGATGTACTGATCAGATACACATTTCAATTTTTCCTCATATGTATAATTCAGATATGGATTAAATTGAAAAGTATCTGTATAAAGACAAGAAATTTTATAACTTGCAAACCTAGAAATCTTACTTTAAATTCTTTTCTTTTACTAATCTTAACAATTCGTTATTAATAACGAATTAGGTTATACAATACTAACAATCAATATTTTAAAAATTGTTTGAAACGATCATATTAATAAACAAAATATTTTAATATTCATAAATATCTAAATGTATACTTGCACCCAGATTTGGAATCTAAACGATAATGATCAAATGCGTGAGAAATTTCATGGCCTACAAAAACTCCCAGTCTTGCATAATTATAGGCTCTGTGTACAGAATAAATTTGAAATAAAATTATAGATTACTTTTAAAATTTTGCAAATAATAGTTAAAAGTTATAACAACTTACATTGGTGCATTTAAGGAAAACAATGGTGGAAACAACATTACCGGCGAAAATACTAAAATTACAAAATGATTTTAAACAGAGACATCTCTTTATTAATTCTAATCTATTTCAAAAAAATTCTCACTCATTTAATTTACCTATTCGATGTTCACTTGGTTCGTAAAATGCATTCATTATCATACTCCTTTTTCTTCTTCTATAAGAACAATATATAAACCTTTTTACAGAATGACATTTCAAGTTGAAACTAAATTTACTTTATTATTATTCGGAGATTTTTATGTTCGCACTGATTACGAATCAGACTATCTTTTAAAAGTTTAAGAAAGCCGGTATATGATTTTGATTTACTTTATATAGAATTTTAATACCTTTCTGGTTGTGAGTGAATTTGAGACAATGCAAATTTGTATGTCGTCTGAGCCTTTTTAAAATTGATCCAATTTTGCAAAGAAACGTGAGTAACGTTAAACTATAAAATGTCCAGAATTAGGTATTTTATAAAGCTGTCGATTTTGCTTTTAAAAATGTTTATATTTAAGTAGAAATAGAATCTTACACCGTATGAAGTTGTTGATATTTCCTTTCTTAGTGCTGGAAAATTCAGTTTGCTAATATGAAGTGATAAACTTGTTACCACATTTAATGCTTTTTGTTTTGAAAAATCATCCATCCAACTATTTTTGATATCGACTTTTAACTCATATTTTATTCTTTCAACCAGGTCATTGAACTAATTCAATTATAAAATCAATAATAATAATGAATGTAAGTATAAATATTATACATTATATTAAAATGTAATTTTATGAAGAATCGGATGTAATACCTGAAGTGATTTGACACTAGGAAAAATAGAACAATTTGACAATCTACTTATAAATTGATAATTAAAATTCCCAAACAAATGTTATTACATCCGAATTCGTAGTAAAGAAATTATTAAACTTATCTTACAAATTCTTCTCTTTTATAGAATTCCTCACTATCCGCTAATATTTCATAAAATCCAGTAGTTATTGGAATCATGGTGATACATTCCACAGACCTATTGTTGAAAGCATTTTTGTTAATCTATCTCATTGGAAATATAGTAAAAAAAATTATTTTCAAACTAAATTTGTTGTACTTATAGCATATAGAGTAGCACATAAAAAATTTAGTATATTTGTTTAAAAATGTTTTTATATACCTCTGCAAGGGAGTCATTGCATTTCCATTTAAACGGTTCGATTTATCCATATGAAACAACATCTCATCAGATTTTTCAAAGTTAAATTGCAGATATCGCACTGCAAAATATATTATTCATTTAATTAATATTTTGACATTTAGGAATGTTTATTACAGTGTTAAATTATCCATAAACGCTATTACCGATTACATCGTCTTGTGTTTCACTTAATAATGCACATAATCCTATTAGATATTGAAAATCGACTTCTAATTGAAAGGAAGAATTTAAATCAATATCATAAAGTTTTTGAAGAAGTCTAAGCCAATCAATCTAGAAAATATAAATAAATTTGTAATTTTCATGAACAGAAGAATGAAATATTTTAATTTAAAGATAATCTGAAGCAAATAAACAAGTGCGCAAATATTTTCTCAATAATAATCAGTGGTGGATCCAGGGGGGGCACGGGTGCTTGCCCCCCCAAGAGTCAAATATTCCTATAAGATAGAAAGAGATAACATTATATTGATTTATTTTTTTTGAATAGATGGCCACCTAAAAACCTTGTCTGGATCCGCCACTGATAATAATAGATGTAATTCAATCTTAACGTACTGCTATATCGACTTTACTGCTTTAGCAAAAATTATCTGAAAGAAAAAACGATAAAAAGTACCCGTGATACAGATGAACCAAATGAAGCAGGACAATTGTTATCATATTTTTTTTGTAACTCGTCAATACTAACTGTCTCTAACAGTTGGCGATATTTAAAGAGCTGTAAATTTAATTTTATACATTAATTTTAATTAATAAATATATTTATATTTATAAAATTAATAAATAAATTAATTAATAATTAATTAATTAATTAATTAATTAATTAATTAATTATTTAATTTAATTTTATTTATTTATATTTATTTTTATTTTATATTTTTTATTTATTTTAATTAATTTTAATTGCTTAAAACAAAATATGGAGTTTCACTAATTATACTTTGAAATGTTATTATAATTTTACCTCTTTTAAACCAGATAAAAAATTGTCGAATTGTTCATCAAAATTCCAATTGGATTCTTGATGCCCGCCATGATAAATTAGAAAATGTTTCTTACTTTTCAAATAGTTAAGCAATACATTTCTGTTTAGTTCTCTCCTTAATAATTTGTTTACTGGTGTATTATATGGTTTAGTAATCTAAGGATGTGTTCATTTTTTTAATTTGTTGTTTATTAAGAAAAAAATAATTACGTTAAACATAATTGTTCTCATCGTACTGTACAAAGTAAAGTATGATTTCATTGTATGCCTTTCGGCCTTTACAATCTCCTCAACATCATTACTATAAACTTTTCTATAACAGTCACAAACTCTTTGGGGTCCCTACTTTTGCGGCTGCAGCCGACTTATAGGTTGGGAGTACTTGCATTTGCCTGGACATTCGGCCAGGGTAGAAGAAAACTGCAGAAAACCTACACCCGAGTACAACCAGTTTATTGACGTCGAGTGATCATCATAATGTACATTTGGATAGCCATCACAAATGCACAAACATAGCCCCGGCGTCAAACCTCCCGTTTGATATATCTCGATTAGCGAAAAATACCCAGGCTAGTGTAGCGTTCCACAGAGGGTCGCCCATCCAAGTACTATAAACGCACTCAAATGCGCTTAATCTCCGCGATCGCAAGTCACGGGATTTCGCCAACCGAGCTATACCATCCGTCTCATCGTACTGTACGATTTATTATAATTAAAGAAATATAATTCTAAGGTTTTTAAAATATTAATGTAAAATTAAAAAAATACTTCTGGTTCAGGTATATTAAAGAATTAAAATAAAATATTATCATCATACCAGTAATTGGTTTTCCTTATTTAGTGTAATATGAAATAGTGAAATTTCACCAATTTTACTAGCATAATATTCAGCAACATTTTGCCAATGTGGCCTTGCTTTTTCACTTTCTGATATTATTTGTCTAAACAATAATCTCCCTTCCATTACCGATATACCTGCAATCATTTTTATGTAATATTATGAATAAATTGAAATTTTATTTTAAGAAAATTGGCTTACACATTATGGAACGTTCTTTGAAATTTTTACTAAAATAACATGTTTTTGTTTCAAATTTAATAAATTTTCAATAATTTACACTATATAGGGGAGATTCTTACTTGCATCCATGCACGAATCATAAAATTGTTTTTCCTTATACAGATGAAAATTGTTGTGGTCAACATCTGGATTTTCTAATACTTCTATAAATGAAAAGAAGTTATTGAAAAGATTGAAATATAGTAAAACATTTATGTTAATAAGAAGTTCACCTCTAATTTTAGTAATTAAGTATTCCATAGTTAATTCATCAGGACCCCATGTTGGATAATAATCAGGTCTCGGGAAATTATTTGCCCAATTATCACAAGCATACTTATAGAAATCTTCACAAGGATGTACAACATCGCTCATTCCAAGAGCCATCATTTTAGCTATGAATGAACAAATTATTAGTATCTTAAAATATCTAGCGAATAACTTAATTTGGGAAGTAATGTCCACTTTAGCTATTCAGGTCACACAATATATATACGTACATAAATCATTCAAAGTAAAACTGAAACTGTTAACCACTGCCAGTGCAGATCTAGAAACGAATGAATTTCATATTTTTGTATTAATTACGGAAACAATTTTTAAACATTATATATTCAGAAACATTCCACGTCAACCGATGAATCATTAGGTTGGCCAGAATTCTATGCTCCGATCTCAAAACTTAATGTCTTAAAATGATCGTGAAAATACGTCCTTGTATCAAAAACAATCTGGCTTTTTGAAAAATCCAATAGGATTGAATAAATATAGCGCAGTATTATAATATAAAATTTCAAAAACTGTTTTAAAAAGATCCTATTGTTTTTGAAAATTAAACACGCGTTTATCATAAAATGAAATTTTTAAATTCGGTAGTATAAAGTTAACAAAATTAAACATAAAGTAGGGGAACATAGTCTAGGTCGGCCACCTTTTTGACTTTTGTTTATAACTTTTTTTTAAAAATGAATTTGGACAATTGAAGTATATGGTTGGAAAGTCCTGTTTAATAGGAACATTTTTTCTGTACAAAGTAAATTGATAGGTTTAAAAATGAAAAAGTTATAAAGATTTAAAAAAAAAAAAATTTGTAGTCCAGGTTGGCCATTACAGTCAAGGTCGGCCATGTTTAAAATTCAAAGGGCATTAATCTTTAAAAAATAAAATAACATGTTTGGAGTTACGGAAAATTGATTCTTTATTGTTTACAGCTTGTAACTTAATGAAATAACAAAATAATAAAAATAAACAATATAAAAAAATAAATATAAATAAAAAAAAATTTTGCACTAAAATATTAATAAAATAAAATAAAAATATTAATAAGATGATCAATTATATTATGAGTTATACAGAATTGCAGTTTTTGCAAATGAAGTAGCTCGTCCTCATCTTTGCGCATTTTAAACACATAGTGGCCAACCTTGACAGTAAGTAACATTACCGAATTGTTGTAACAATAAAGAAATACGTTTCGGGATTCGATTTTTTACTTTGTTTTTCTTTCAACCATGAGTCCCACAAATTTTCTGCATACTTGCCTTGACGATTCAATTTGTTTTTTATCTTTTATTAATGGTTTTTCACATTATGCACAAAACTTTTTTTGAGCTTTTTTTGTACCGACGTCACAGAAAACACAATTTTTGATTTTCCGAAAATGTAATTGAACAAAAAGTTAGGTTTCACTAAGACAAGCTTTGACAAATATGCGCGTAGGTGGCGCTAGTCAACTTGACAAAAAAACGCGAGTGGCCTACCTAGACAGTAGACCAACCTTGACTACATTCCCCTAAGATATACTTACAGCATTTGCAGTAAATAGTGAACATTTCTCCAAATCATTTTAAAAAACTTTATTTTCAAAAGTTTTTGTTTTAATTTTCAAAAGTTTTAAACTACAAATCAGGCACAAAAACATTATTTTTTTTAAAAACGCAACTTGTATTTATATCTTCTAAAAACTGTCCTTGACGTTAAAGATATTTATGACATAAAATTGAAGTATATGCGTTCAAAAAACGTGGCTACTGTTTTCATATTGATAATGTTTTTCAATATTATAAGCGAATATGTGAAAAATCATATTTTTACGATTTTAAAATATTCTATTTTCTTGACAATTTTTTTGTATGAAATTAAAAAAATTTGTAAAATTACTTCTTTCTCTTTCAAAGAAAGTAATATAAAAATGTCTTTATCTTAAAATCTATCACTTGAAATACAGCAAACAATTTAATGCTAATATTTCTTCATCCATCTCTCTGTACATTATTAAGAATATCTTTCTCTAAAAATCTTAGTTCTTTACATTAATTTTCCATAAAATTTACGTATAATTATTATCTCCCTTCAATTTTAATAATGTTTAATAAATTCAAAAAAAAGGAAAAAGACATTGATTTTTCATATAAATTTATTAGAACTTTAATGACAGTCATAATATTTAAATATTTTTATAAAAAATAAAATTTTAGTTTAAATATAAAAAAGAAATACAAAAACATAAAGAGTGATTGAATTTTTAATTCAAAACAGTGTTAACTAAAAATATAAAGTCGATAATCATTCTTTTAAACCGAACTAGAACTAATTGTATTCATTATAATACATCACATTTTTTTTAACAATATTTTTAAACTTATAAGTTACTGAAACAGTAAACGGGGATATAAAATAAGAAAGTAATAATTGAATTTTAAATTAAAAAAAAAGAAAAACTAGAAGATTTCTTTTAAAGAAATAAAAATGGAGCCATTTTTTCAATACGGATTAAATGCTGTTGTTTTCAGACAATGAAACTGTGTCTTCAATTTTAATGTCTTCAGAGTCATCAACAACGCGTAATAATTTCTTTATTACCTTTTCCTTTTTGTTTAAATTAATAGAAACCTGATCAAGTTCTGTTTGCAGTTTCGTTACCTCATTAACTGATAAATTTAATTGTTGCCGCAAGTCCTCGTTTTCGTTTTCAAGATACGAAATGCGTTTGATTATATACGATTGAGAAGAATTAATTTTATCGTTCTTTTTGGCAATTTTTCCTTCTTCTCCATTTGGATCAAAATTTTCCTTATCGATAGACTTTGAACAGTTTTTACCATTTTCAGTTTTCGATTTTTTATTCTTCCTTCCTTCCTCCTCTTCACCGCGTTCGACAATAGCTGCAAATGAACGTTTCGATGACGATGGAGCTGGAGTATTTGTTTGGTTGATTTCACCTTCTGACGAACAAACAGATTTTTGAAGTTCTTTTTTTCCCTTTGACTGTAAAATAATAAAGTAGTCTTCATTTTCAATTGAGGATAATGTACTGAATGGTGCTTTTATTTGTCCCTCGTAAATAAATTCAAACTTCGCTGTTGAAAGCAAGAGAAATTGTAGTGTTTGACAAAAAATCGAACTTTTATCAAATCGCAAAATGACGGGACAATTAAACTCACTCCACTGATTTCGTTTTTCAGAATTACACTCATCGACGATTTTCACGTAGAACAAAATGTCCGGTTTCCGATAATTTTCATCTAGCATATAATCATCGTAAGATTTTGACAAATATTCAACAATTAATTCTTTTTCCTCTGAATGACAATCTTGACAAAGAGAAGTCTCCAAATTGTCCTGATTTTTAGTTGCAGTAATGACAATTTTTAACATTTTTATCTGCGGATTGAGATGCAAGAGAAATTCCCAATAATTCTTTTTTGTAATTGCATGTTCATAGGAAAAGGCATCGATGTGAATTAACAATCCTTCTGAAATTGTGTTGTGTATTTTTTGAAAAGCGTTATTAATTTTTGAAGCCACGTCCATAAAGCTAATGAGTTCCAATTTTAATAATCTCAACTGTAAACATGTTTCATTCATGTCTTCTACTCGATATGTAAGTGTAAGTTTGTCTATATCAGTTTGATTTACTTTTTCTTCTGTAATACACGGAAAAGTAGGAGAGAGAAATTCCAAGTCGATATTTAATTCCTCTGCTGCGTGAAGAATTTTGAAATATTGATTCATCACTTTGCAATTCTTACTGTGAATTTCATCTCGAGGATGCTTTTTACAAAAACTTGCCACTGGACAATGGGGACAATTGATTAAATCTTCATCTTGTGTATTGGAACAAACGTAACAGTTTCGCGGACGATTAAACATTAATTTTTCTAATAGACTCATATTTCGTTTCAATTTCTTTAATATTTCTCGGTAGATTTCATTTACTTTCGTTTTCCAAGGGTCCCCACATATATCTATGAGCTCTTCATAAATATGTGATACTTTTTTCTCTTTTAATAATTTCTTAATTACTTTGCAAAAACTTTCGTGAACTAGTAAATGTTGTAATCTATGATCCTCAGAACAATAAGAAATCATGTTGCATTCACATCTTTTTAAATTGTCCCTCGATTTACAAATGTAGCACTCATTTGGCAGAAATCTTTCCATCTTGGAAGAATTCATATTTTACAATTTCTCCGAAATTTGCAGGAACCTGTAAATAGAAATTTGTTTCTTATCAAATTTTAGCGAAAAACAATGTATTATGGAAAATCAATAAAAGTTACAAACAAAAATTGTGACCCTCTCCCAAAACACAGGTTACGTTTATGCCTTAGATTTATTTTGATTAAAAGTTTCTTTTCAAAATATGTAAATTTAAAATCAGTTCTTATTGAATATTTTCGATGTAATGAAGACTTAAACATCAATATTTTGTAATAGTAATTTATTTTCTTTCTGTATTTTTCTTTAAAATTTATAAACATAACCTAAAATATTTTTCCTTTTAGCCTTTTTAGGTATTCCTTTCGTGGGAATGTCACAATTATTTGAAAAATGAAAGTAATCTATTTCTGCACTGTAAGAAATGCTTATTGAATTTTCAATCTAAAGTGTAGTTGAACGTCTGAATTCTATTGCAAAAGTACTTTTGAATTTTCCATGGAATTTCCTATTCTCAATTTGTTTAAATTAATAAATTTCATTTATAAATTTTTTATTGACAAACCTTTGAGTTTTTAAGAATTTTCTTACATTTAGCAATTGTTAATATTTTATTGATGACAATTAAAAAACCTCACTTGACACTTGACACCGTCTGACAGTATTTTTACAACATAGAATAGAAAAATAATAGATCTACAACTATATATTTCTAATTTTGTGTTTACATGCAATGTAATGTTATCTAGGGTCCAAGGACCCCAAAGGAAAATTAGAATCGTTAGAATTTCTTTATTGTATAAATACAGGACAATTATGGAGCGTTTATGCAGGTTCCACACTAGATGCCCGGCACGTGAAACGTGCCCCCTCTCCAATGCTAACTTCTCCTACGTAAGGAGGGGAAAGCATTTGGTAGATGAGGCAGAGGGGGCACGCGCGTTGTGTCGGGTGTCCGGGATGCAGGTCTGTTCCCCAAAATGAAAAGAGCGAATAATTATTAAGTCGAATTCACAATTGACAATTTGCAATTTAGAATAATTTCTGCTGAAACGAATTGTAAATTAAACGAAATTCAATGCTTTCGAATTGTCATTTAACCTTATAGGAATGTAAACAAATAATATTTTAATCGAATTCACACACTTTATACTTTCTTATTGTCACAATTTTTATCTGTCTGAAATTTCATGTAAAATAATTTAAAGAAAAAAGAATTTAAATGTTTTATAAAGATGATACAAAAGAAATTAGGTTTGAAATAAAAGAAGTCTCAAATAATTAATATTTATAGTAAAAATTATTATCAGACGTTGAATTTTTCCTGAAAAGTCAAATGGTAGAAAGGACAATTGTCAGAAAAGCAAAATGTAGAATCCTAAACAATTAGAAGAGTCAACATCTCGAAAAGCTATTTGCAATAGACCCGCAATTCTATTGTGAAAAAAGGGCTACGCACAAATTTCAAGTTTTAACGGTACTTTACATTTACCGGCTATATTTCGGTGAGGGGCTGTAAATAAAAAAAAAGATTTCAATGCTCAATAATCAGAATCCATAAACATCAGGATTTAACAGGAGCATAAAAAATCCTTTAGTCAGAATTAACCAAAAGCTTCAGGAATCATCAAAGTAGTCACAAAACATCAAAATTTCTGACGTTCTCTCTTTATTTCTGATTTTATTTTTAGCAGGGTTAATACATTTTTTAACAAGAATTCATGAATTCTTAATAATAATAATTAATAATAATAATAATAATAATTAATAATTATTATTTAATAATAATAATAATAATAATAATAATATTAATAATAATTAATAATTATTATTTAATAATACAGTAGAACCCGGTTAATACGATTTCGTATGGACCGCGCAAAAAATTCGTCTTATGCGGGAAAACGTATTAAGCGGGAAATAAAATATATGTCTTTAATTTTAGGGACCACCATAAATGAGCGTCTTAAGCGGAAAATCGTATTAAATGGGATCGTATTAACCGGGTTCTACTGTAATAATAATAATTTAATAATTGCAATTATTTAAAAAAATTTTGAATACAACTCTTTCCAATAATTCAATTATTTACATAAATAATTCAATTCTTTTCAGAAATTCAATTATTTTTTAAAATTTTAATAAACTTCTTCATAAAAATTTAATTTTAAGAAGCAATCAATTATTTAAAAAATTATTTATTTTTGTATTTAAATAAGGGGCCGTTCAAAAAATACTTTCATTCTAGAAAATAATTGTATATTGAAAGAGTTACTGTAAAAATTTTCTAGAAATATAATTAGTAATTTTTAAAAATTTGAATTCTTAAAAACATTGATTAAAAGTTCTAAAGAACTTATTTCTTGGAATAATTTTAGTTTAATTCTTTTTAAATTAGTTGATGAATTTTTTAATGTTATTTAATTAGAAACTTTCGAAAAATAAAAATTTCGTAAATTTATTCAATTGAAAAGAACAGTATTTCAGACTTATTTTAAATTAATTTTTTTTGAAATAATTAAACTCTTAAAGAATTTTCGGATTTAAAGTCAATGAAAGGGCTGAAAAAGATAAAAGCATTGATTTTTCATATAAATTTATTACAATTCATAATGATAATTGCATTATTTAAACACTTTTTTAAAATTACAGTTGCAGTTTTTAAATACAAAAAGGAAATACAAAAACATTCACGAATTATTGAATTTTAAATTCAAAAATATGTAGGAATTTTTTTTTTTAACCAAAAAAGAGAAATCTAATTCTTATTTTTTTAAAAAGAAATAATATTAATTGTATTAATTTATAATACGTAGACATTTACATTTTTTAACGAAATATTTTCAAAATTACGAATCATTGAAAATGTAAAAGAGGAAGTAAAAAAGAAATTAGTATTTGAATTTCAAATTCAAAAAATAAAAACAAAAAATTGTCTTCTAAAGACAAAAAATAAAAGAGTTTTTTCGTAACGGATTTAAATTTTGTTCGCTTCACACACTGAATCAGTGTCTTCAAAGTTGACAATAACGCGTAATAAATTCTTTATTACCTTTTCCTTTTTGTTCAATTGAAAACAAACGTGATCGAATTTTGTTTGTAGTTTCGTTATTTCTTTGAATGCCAAATTTAATTGTTGTCGCAAATCTTCGTTTTCATTTTCAAGATATGAACCATGTCCTATTACATCGGACTGAGAAGAATTATCCGTTTTCTTTTCGAAACTTTCCGAATTGACGAGAATTTTTTGATCATTTTTCTTTTCTTTGCGCTCTTCTATATTCTTCTTCTCCATATTGTCCTCTTCCGTATTTTTTCGCCCTTTACCATTTGGAACGAGAAATTTATTGGCGACAGACTTTAAATATTTTCCATTTTCTTCTGTTTCTGAGTTTTTAAAAATTTTTTCTTCCTCCTCTTCTCCGGGTTCCGAAATAATGACAAATGAACGTACAGATGATGATGGAGAAAGTGTCACACGATCTACGGTTTTTTCTTCCTTATTCGATTCTTTAATTTCCGTCTTTTCCTTATCACAATTTTTCTCCTCCTCGGTTTCGTTTGTGTTTGTATTTTCTTTTTCAATTACTATAATCTTGTTTGAATCGATGTAAGAAGTGGAAGCAGATTGATTATCGTTTTTTTCCAACTTTGAATTTTCGTTATTGTCAGAATTGTTTTTTGATTCTGACGGAGTACTTTTCGAATCATCTTTTGAATTACTTTCGACGCATTTAAGAATTTCTAAATCAATATCTTCAACATCTGAGAGATTTTTAGTAGTGTTTGTAGCGATTTTGTCCTCGGTAATTTCGCCTGTTACTGCATCAAAAGATTTTTGAAGAACTTTGTTCTCCTTTGTTTGCAAAATTATAAAATAGTCTTTGTTTTCAAGTGACGACAATGTAGCGAATGGTGTTTTAAATTGTCCCTCGTAAATAAATTCAAACTTCGCTGTTGAAAGCGAGAGAAATTGTAATGTTTGACAAAAGATCGAATTTGTGTCAAATCGCAAAATGACGGGACAGTTAAGTTCACTCCACTTATTTCGTTTTTCAGAATTACACTCATCGACGATTTTCACGTAAACCAGAATATCTGGTTCTTGATAATTTTCATCCAGCATGTAATCGTCGTAAGTTTTTGACGAATATTCAACAATTAATTCTTTTCCCTCTGAATGACAATTTTGACAAAGAGACGTCTCTAAATTGGACCAATTTTTGGTTGCAATTGTAACAATTTTTAACTTTTTTATATGTGGATTGAGATGCAAAAGAAATTCCCAATAATTTTCTTTTGTAATTGCGTGTTCGTAGGAAAGGGCATCGATATGAATTGTCAATTCGTCTGGAATCGTTTCGTGTACTTTTTGTAAAGCACTATTAATTTTCGAAGCTGCATCCATAAAGTTAATAAGGTCCATTTTCAATAATCTCGATTTTAAACATCTTTCCTTCATGTCAATTACATGGAATGTCCGTGTAAGTTCGCCAAAAATTCTGTTTCCCTTATTTCTAATACATGGAAAAGTAGGAGAGAGAAATTCCAAGTCAATGTTTAATTCCTCTGCTGTGTTCAAAATGTTTAAATATTGATTCATCACTTTGCAATTCATACTGTGAATTTCATCTTGAGGATGATTTTTACAAAAACTTGCCACTGGACAATCAGGACAATTTGTTAAATCTTCTTGTCTTGCTTGACGGCAAACGAAACATATTCGCGGACGTTTAAACATTGAATGTTCTAAAGGACTCATGGTTCTTCCTAATTTTTGTTTTATTTCATTTAATATTTGCAATTTTTTTGTTTTCCAAGCGTCTCCGCTTAGAATTTTAAGCTCTTCATAAATGTGTGACACTTTTTTCTCTTTTAATAATTCCTTAATTACTTTGCAAAAACTTTCATGAAATGGCAAATGTTCTAATCGATGATTCTCAGAGCAATAGTAAATCATGTTGCATTCACATCTTTTTAATTTGTCTCTGGATTTACAAACATAACACTCATTCGCCAAAAATCTTCCCATCTTGAAAGAATTCATATTTTAAAATTTCCGTCTTCGCAGAGTGTATAATTATCAAAATTTGCGAAAACCTGCAAATTAAAAATATTTTTCTTATCAAATTTTAGAGAAAAACGATGTATCATCGAAAATTAATAAAGTTATAAAAAAAGGTTTATTGGGAAAGGAAAAAAATCTATTTCCATACTTTAAGTAACGTGCATATGGAATTTTCAATACAAATTGTAAATATAATTCAACTTCTGCATTTTATTACAAAAAAACTTTGAATTTTCAGGAACTTTAAGTTAGCACCGACGCTGAGCGTCGAATACAATTTTTTTTGCGCAATCAAAAAGAAACAAACAATGGTTTTAAAAATTTTAAATAAAAAAATTGACCTGAACGTTTTTTTAATTCTCTCTAGACGAATAAAAAAAGTGAAATAATTAGTCATTTTCATCTCTAAAAATTCCGAATAATAGTTTTCGACGCTGAGAGTCGACGCTAACTTTTCAGGGTCATGAAATTTTCTATTTACAACTTCTTAAATTAATAATAAATTAAATTTATGAATTTTCGATTTTGAGAAACATTAGAATTTTAAAAATACCCAAGAAAAGTGAAAATATGTGACGCGTTCAGAAGAAAGAGACGTAATAAGAAGCCAAAGGTTTCAGATTGTTTCCAATTTTTTAAATGAAAATCTATATACAATGCGGATCATGATTCTCAGTGTAAACCATATTAATGTTCAAGTCTTCATAACATACAAAATATTTAATATGAACTGATTTAACTTTAAAACAATAAATAATTAAGAAAAAACCGTATAATTAAAGTAAAACCGCACGGTAAAATCAGTAAAATTAATACAAACATAACCTTAAAATGATATGTATCTACAATTTCTTAGGTATTCTTTAGAAAGGGGTTAAATATAATTGCATATAATGCAAAAAGATTTACTGATATTTTACTTACAGGTTTACACGCACGTTATAATTCTTACAATTAACCCAATTAACAATTGTTAACATTAACAATTGAAAAAATCGGACTTGACTCTGTCAGCTGTCTCTGAATTTTACAACATGGAATAGTAAACTGATAGAACTACAACTATATTAGCAATTTTGTTGTTACATGCGAATGTAATCTTATCTAGGGTCCAGGGACCCCATAAACCGGAATCGTTCTCGCAATCTCGTAATCGCAAACGAAAGAATAAAAGTTAGAAAAGGATAAGGTGTATATTTTTATCCTTCTCTAACTTATTCTTTCGTTTGCAACAGCGATTTCGCGGTTACGTTTCTATTCTGATTTGGCCAATATGCAGAAAAAAAATTTAATTTTATTGATAAATATTTATCAAAATATATTTTTTTACTTTTTCTAGTTTTTCATGAATATATATTGACAATAAGAGAGAGTTGCCTCGTAAATTATAGGAAATCATAAAATGTTATCCAAAGTAGCTTAGAGTAAAAATATCAAGTTTCTAATTCAAAACTAAAATTCTAATTTTTGGTGTCGGGAGAAAATAGTATAGTTTTGTGAATTTCTTCTCATTTAAAAAGAATTTCGGAATTTTGTATAATTTTTATAAATAACAGCTTTGTTAACACATTATTCGGGAAAAGTGTTTTCGGAAATTACTTAATTCGGTATATGGAGTCAAAAGTTTCCCCAGTAAGAAACGAAAAATTGAAAAGTATTAAAAAGATTCTATTCTGTTGAATGCCATTTCTGTCCAATACTTTTCTATCCAGTGAGAGCCCTGTTTAAAAAATTTGATAGAAATGGAAAGAAAAAAATTTCTTTCCATTTCAATCCTGTTTCTGAATCAAAAATTTTCAACAATTACAATCAGTTTCTATCACATAATTTTAATAGAAAGTCTATCCAAATCAATACTTTGTCTATCCGAAAATTGTCCCATGCGTTGTCCCACTGATTTCGAAGAAAGTCCTATCAAATTCAATCAAAATTGATTATTAAAAATTGTTTCCAATCCAATAAGATTTTTTGATTTAAATTCTATCAAATCCTATATCGAAAAATAACAAAAAGTTCTTTCCCATTGTATCCAATTGAAAACATAGTTTTAAAAAAAAAATTTGTGGAAAAAATAATAAAAGATTCTTATGACCATTGTCCATTAGTAACATTATATTCTTAGCACACTCCAAACATACAAACATTCTAAATTAAACTGGAGGAATTAAATTAAAACTTGTACCCTATGGGAATCGAACCCCGCACCTATGACCTATCTATCTAAACGCTTAACGACCGCGGCTATCGAATCGACGTGAGAAATATTTTTCAACCTGTCTATATAAACTGCAACTTTGAAAAACGTAAGTTTATGTAAAATATTATAATTTTTGTAAGTACCCATAAAAATACAAGCAGAATTTAAAATATTTATATAGATTTGCAATATATGCTATTATGTTAAAAGTATTAATTAAATATTTAATACATTTTTGCTCAAATGTCATTTGACCGCTTTGTAATTTTTTGCAAATATTTGCAAAAAATAACATTAGGCGAAATAAAAAACAGAAAATTCGTAAAAATTAAAATTCACAAAATGACTGGGTCAGACCAGCTCAACTGTGTTAAAAAAATTTCAATGATTTTCTAAAATATTAAAACTTTTATGAAACTCTGTAGTTGACAACAAAACAATAAAACACTTTTAATCGTTTTTTGAAATTTTTGTTATTTTTTTTCATTGACAAAATATTACAAAATTTAAAAAAAATTAATAACTCAAAAGTCATTTACCATAAATTAATAAAACTTACACTGATTACACAAAATTGTTCACTCTTTTAAAACAGGCCCGTAGCCAGAAATTTATTTCGGGGGGGTCCAAGTTTGAAATCAAAATTTTTTTCGAGGGATAGTCTATGGTTAAAATAAAAATATAAATATCAATATAAAAATTTCTGGGGGGGCCAGGGCCCCCTGGCCCCCCCCCTCTGTCTACGTGCCTGTTTTAAAAGAAAATATTTGCATGATTGTAAATTTAAAAATTCCCTATTTTTAATAACAATTTTATAAACAATTTGAATTATTTTTGTGTTCTCTAATCTCTACCCCTCCAAATGCAATAAAACTCATAGGAAGTATACTCAGTAGTCTTTTCTTGAAGCTCCTAATAAAAAATTTTTGTATTTTCAATTTGGAATGTACCTAACGAATTTTTTATTAAAAACGCGCGTCCACTCCACAATGGGAAAAATTTGATTGTCGTGGAAAATTCAGTCTAGAAGTTACAAATATTATTTGTTTTTAATAATTTTTTTTTAAATGAAAGTTTATAAAATTGTGCACCAATCAGATTAAATCTGATATCTTAACTTTAAAAAATATTATTGCTACGCATTTGTTAACTAATATTTTGGAAATTTTTTCCTCTTTTGTTCATATATGTTGTTAAATAAAAAATATTTGTTAACAGTTTTCAAAATTCTACCGCCACAGATCAGTGCGAAATTTTACAAACTTTCATTTAAAAAAAAATTATTAAAAACAAATAATATTTGTAACCTCTATAGACTGAATTTTCCACAACAATAAACTTTTTCCCACTATATGGAGTTGGCGCGCGTTTTTAATAAAAAAATTCGTTATGTACACGAAGAGAAATATCTGGGCTTTTTAGCATGAAAGTTCTTCATACTACGATTGCAAGAGACCTATGCGATTTCGGTAAAAGTTTTCTGCAATGTGATTGGTCGGCCCAGGCTCTGGGCGTGGCCTAATAGCCAGTTGCAAGAGTCTAATACCGAAAAAGCATAGGATTCTTGCAATCGCAGTATACTGTCTTGCAGTCATAGTATACTAATATTTCATACTTTTAAAATACAAAGCATTTATGCTATAAAATATAAAATGCTATAAAACATCACAAATGATGTCACGTTTTTGGGGGGAGGGGGGGTCTCCACTAAACGTGACACAATGAATTTTTACATGTGAAATTGCATGAAATTGAGAAAATTTTTTAACACAGTTTAGCCGGTCTGACCCTACTATTGGCAAAATTACAAATAGCAACTGTAACAAATTCATAAAAATATCAATTCCAGAAATGCAAATTCGCAAAAATAAAATGTGCAAAACAACAATTATAAATTAGCAGAAATAATGATTCATAACAGAGCAGTTTTGCAAAAAAGAAAAAATAACAATTAGCAAAAGTATCTATAACAATTTGTAAAACTGTCCATTGCGAAGAATGCAAGTTTGCAAAAATAACAAATTTGAAAAATAACAGTAAACTAAAATAAATATTTGTAAAATGTAAATTTGCAATAATAATTTTTTGCAAAAATAACTATTGGCGAAAATGACAATTTTATGAATTCCAATTCGCGATTAATCAAACTCTTTAAATTTAAACTTTAAATTCCAAATAGAATGCATCCCCGAATCAAATTAAACCAAGATGACATTAATCCTTCACTGAGCTATATATAAATTTGGAGTTGGAAATTCCAAACTCAAGCTTGTTGATTTTTAATTTGACATGACAAGTGAAATTTCATGTGGAAGGAATTTAATAGGTGTTCCATCAAAACTCATAGATACACTGAAAAAAATACATGAGACATTTTCAACTACATCCCCTTAGTAGAGTAAAAAGTAATAAAACGAACTACTTTTTAGTTAGTCTGGCTACTTTTGATACTTATTTTAACTGTTTTATGTTGTTAAAAATTATTAATTAAATTAATGTAATTTTTATAGTTAACTTTGTAACTGCAGGTATGTTACAGAAATGACTACAGAAAGTAGTAGATTCTACTACTTAAAGTAGTTCGATAGACTAATTTTGTAGTAGTTTTTACTTCTTCTAGGAGTTGAATTATTTAAATCAACTGTGAAAAGTTGTAAATGCAACTACTTTAAGTAGTAAAATTAACTACAGTTATCAGTTGAACTGTGTCAGGAATGCCTTTAAGTATTAAGCAACTCATCGTAGCGGGCGAGCGTGGTTAGGTGGTTAGGTTATCGGTTTACGAATGTTAGGGTCGAGCGTTCAACTCCCGACGTTTAGAGATTTTTCTCCGTTAGGTATATAGACATTAAATAAATAAGGTATAGGTAAACAAAAGTGGGTAGGGGGAAATATAAAAAAATACAACTCGATAATATTTATAATAAATTATAAATAATTGTATTTTACCATTTTCAGTAGTTGTCTTTATTACTGAGTTATCTTAGTAACTTTAACTACATATCAGCAGTTAATTCTACTGCAAAACTGTCATTGGTTCCTATTTAACTAAGAAAAGTAGTTAATGCAACTGTATTATCACTTCATTCAACTAAATATCTGATAATTAATGTAAGTTCAAAATTATCTTTGGGGACTTATTGAACTAAGGAAAGTAGTTAAAAAGTAGTCAAATCTACTAAGAATTTTTTTCAGTGTGGTGCCGGCCCGGTATTTAACCGGTGAATAGGGCGGTTATTATTATTTATAATTACTATTTTTATTTATTTATTTTTAATAATTTAAATTGAATTAAAATAAATTAGAAAATACAAATACTGGCCCGGTACCGCACCGGTTGAATATTAGTGCCGGCCCGGTACTGCTGCCGGGCGGAATGTCGGTTGGACTTTATAAGATCACTTTGCATTTGCTTGCAATATGCAGGTTTAGGTTAGCTGATGTGGTGTCGACTTTGCAGCCTCAGGGTCCGGAGTTCAATGCCTCGAGTCTTCAGATTTTTCTATAATTGTTTATGTTTCTCTGTTTCAGCATTTAATATATTTACTGTTTCCAATTTAAAATTAATAATAACATTGATAATAATAATAATAATTAAACAATTAATAATCAGACTGAAATATAATTTTTTTAACCGGCCCGGTACCACACCGGTTGTTTTTTAGTGCCGGCCCGGTACTGCGTCAGATATTTATTAGTGCCGGCCCGGTACGGTTGCCGGATACCTACCGAAGTTATCATCCGGCAATTTACCGGTACTGCGCCGGTGGAATGAACAGACTTATGCCGGTACTGGACCAGTACCTAGCCGGTTGTGGAGCCGGTAATAAACCGGCACCAAATGCCTTCCAACAATAACCGGTCCAGTACCGCCCCGATGGATTATTCGGTACCGGCCCGGTACGTATGCCGGATACCTGCCGCAGTTATCATCCGGCAATTTGCCGGTACCAAGACGGTGAAAATTGCGGTCTTATGCCGGTACCGCCCCGGCACTTATAATCCGCCGTTTGTACCGGACATACAGATGACGATGATTAAATTCCACAAAAAATTTAAATTGTATAAAAAAGAATTTTGATAAAATTCTTTATAGGAATTAAATTATATAAAATAGAATTTCTATAAAATATTCTTCTCAAGTAATTTAATTATTTTTTTTTGAAATTTTAATGAAATTCTTCACAATTCAATAACTTTCTCAAATAATAAAAAATAATATCAATCAATTATTTTTTTTTTAATTTTAACGAAATTCTTCATAAGAATTAAATTATTTTTCCACTTAATAAATTTTTTCACTAGAATTCAATTATTTAAAAAAATTTGAATACAACTCTTTCCAACTATTCAATTATTTACATAAATAATTAAATTCTTTTCAGAAATTCAATTATTTTTTTAAATTTTAATCAAATTCTTCATGAAAATTAAATTTTAAGAAGTAATCAATTATTCGAAAAATTATTCATTTTTGTATTTAAATAAGGGGTCATTAAAAAAATGCGTACATTCTAGAAAATAATTGTATATTGAAAGAGTTAATGTAAAAATTTTTAGAAATAATTAGATTTCAAAAGTTTCAAATTTGAAAAACACTGATGAAAAATTCTAAAGAACTTATTTCTTGGAATATCTAATTTTAGCTTGAATCCTTTTTAAATTAGTTGATGAATTTTTGAATATTATTTTTTTAAATAATTGATTTCGATGTTTTTTTTGTATTTTGAATCGATTAAAACGATATTCTTTCAGACTTAAAGTCAATAAAAGGGCTGAAAAAGATAAAAGCATTTATTTTTCATATAAATTTATTACAATTCATAATGACAATCGCATTATTTAAACACTTTTTTAAAATTACAGTTGCAGTTTTTAAATACAAAAAGGAAATATAAAAACATTCACGAATAATTGAATTTCAAATTCAAAATTAGATGTAGGAATTTTTTAACCAAAAAATACTAGAAAAATACGTATTCTTTCAAAAAGAAATAACATTAATTGTATTAATTTATAATATATAGACATTTACATTTTTTAACGAAATATTTTTCAAATTACGAATCATTAAAAATGTAAAAGAGGAAGTAAAAAAGAAATTAGTATTTGAATTTCAAATTCAAAAACAAAAATAAAAGATTTTTTTTAAAAAATAAGAAAATAGAGGATTTAAATTTTGTTCTCTTCACACACTGAATCAGTGTCTTCAAAGTTGACAATAACGCGTAATAAATTCTTTATTACCTTTTCCTTTTTGTTTAATTCATAACAAACCTGATCAAATTTTGTCTGTAGTTTCGTTATTTCTTTTAAAGCCAAATCTAATTGTTGTCGTAAACCTTCGCTTTCATTTTCAAGATACGAACCATGTCCGATTACATAGGACTGGGAAAAATGAACTGTTCTGTTGTTTTCGAAACTCTCCGAATTGACGAGAATTTTTTTATCATTTTCCTTCTCTTTGCGCTCTTCTATATTCTTCTTTTCCATATTGTCCTCTTCCGCATTTTTTCGCTCTTTTCCAATTGGATCGAGAAATTCTTTTTTTTCTTCCTCCTTTTCTCCGGGTCTCGAAATAATAACAAATGAACGTACAGATGACGATGGTGAATGAGTTACACGATCTTCGGATTTCTCTTCCTTATTCGATTCTTTAGTTTCCGTTTTTTCCTTATTACAATTTTTCTCCTCCTCGGTTTCGTTTGTGTCTATATTTTCCTTTTCAATTACTATAATCTTGTTTGAATCGATGTAAGAAGTAGAAGCAGATTGATTTTCGTTTATTCTCAATTTTGAATTTTCGTTATTGTCAGAGTTATCTTTTGATTCTGAATCATCTTTTGAATTACTTTCGACGCATTTAAGAGTTTCTAAATCAATATCTTCAACATCTGAGAGATTTTTAGTCGTGCTGGTAGCGATTTTGTCCTCGGTAATTTCGCCTGTTACTGCATCTAAAGATTTTTCAAGAACTTTGTTAACTTTGTTCTCCTTTGTTTGCAAAATTATAAAATAGTCTTTATTTTCAATAGAGGATAATGTACTGAATGGTGCTTTTATTTGTCCCTCGTAAATAAATTCAAACTTCGCTGTTGAAAGCGAGAGAAATTGTAATGTTTGACAAAAGATCGAATTTGTGTCAAATCGCAAAATGACGGGACAGTTAAGTTCACTCCACTTATTTCGTTTTTCAGAATTACACTCATCGACGATTTTCATGTAAAACAAAATATCCGGTTTCCGATAATTTTCATCTAGCATATAATCATCGTAAGATTTTGACAAATATTCAACAATTAATTCTTTTCCCTTTGAATGACACTTTTTGCAAAGAGACTTAGAATTGTTCCGGTTTTCAGTTTGAGTGATGACAATTTTTAACTTTTTTATCTGCGGATTGAGATGCAAGAGAAACTCCCAATAATTTTCTTTTGTAATGGCGTGTTCGTAGGAAAGGGCATCGATATGAATTGTCAATTCTCCTGGAATCGTTTCGTGTACTTTTTGTAAAGCACTATTAATTTTCGAAGCTGCATCCTTAAAGTTAATAAGGTCCATTTTCAATAATCTCGATTTTAAACAACTTTCCTCCATGTCAATTACATGGAATGTCCGTGTAAGTTTGCCCAAAATTCCGTTTCCCTTAACTGTAATACATGGAAAAGTAGAAGAGAGAAATTCCAAGTCAATGTTTAATTCCTCGGCTGTGTTCAAAATTTTTAAATATTGATTGATCACTTTGCAATTCATACTGTGAAGTTCATTTCGAGGATGCTTTTTACAAAAGCTTGCCACTGGACAATGGGGACAATTGTTTAAATCTTCTTGTCTTGTTTGACGGCAAACCAAACATATTCGCGGACGATTAAACATTAAATGTTCTAAAGGACTCATAGATCTTCCTAATTTTTGTTTTATTTCATTCAATATTTGCAACCTTTTTGTTACCCAAGCGTCTTCGCATAAAATTTGAAGCTCTTCATGAATATGTGGCACTTTTTTTTCTTTTAATAATTCCTTAATTACTTTGCAAAAACTTCCATGAACTGGCAAATGTTGTAATCGATGATCCTCAGAACAATAGGAAATCATGTTGCATTCACATATTTTTAATTTGTCTCTGGATTTACAAACATAACACTCATTCGGCAAAAATCTTTCCATCTTGGAAGAATTCATATTTCAAAATTCTAGTCTTTGTAGAGTGTAAACAACCAAGGTTTACAAAAACCTGCAAATAAAAAATGTTTTTATTATCAAATTTTAGAGAAAAACGATGTATCATCGAAAATTAATTAAGTTATAAAAAAAGGTTTATTGGGAAAGGAATGAAATCTATTTCCATACTTTAAGTAACGTGCATATGGAATTTTCAATACAAATTGTAAATATAATTCAACTTCTGCATTTTATTACAAAAATACTTTGAATTTTCAGGAACTTTAAGTTAGCACCGACGCTGAGCGTCGAATACAATTTTTTTTGCGCAATCAAAAAGAAACAAACAATGGTTTTAAAAATTTTAAATAAAAAAATTGACCTAAACGTTTTTTTAATTCTCTTCTCGATGAATAAAAGAAGTGAAATAATTTAGTCAATTTTCATCTCTAAAAATTCCGAATAATAGTTTTCAACGCTGAGAGTTGACGCTAACTTTTCAGGGTCATCAAATTTTCTATTTACAGCTTGATAAATTAATAATAAATTAAATTTATGAATTTTTGATTTTGAGAAACATTAGAATTTTAAAAATACCCAAGAAAAGTGAAAATATGTGACGTGTTCAGAAGAAAGAGACGTAATAAGAAGGCAAATGTTTCAGGTTGTTTTTAATTTGTAAATGAAAATACGAAGTTGAAGTCCACAACGTTTATCAACGAAAAAAATTTATTTAATGCATTCAAGTATTATTTTTAATTTAATATTTAATTGTAAAATAATTATTATCAAAATATGAAAATCAATCTTTTTTTCTAAATATTTTTGTTTCAATATTGCTGCGTCATTTTTAATTAATTTAATAAGTGAACAATTTTTTTTTCGTTGCTCAACGTTGTGGACTTCAACTTAGTATGAAAATCATGAAAATATATATACAATGCGGATCATAATTCTCAGTGTAAAGTGTAAACCATATTAATGTTCAAGTCTTCATAACATACAAAATAGTTAATATGAACTGATTTAACTTTAAAACAATAAATAATTAAGAAAAAACCGTATAATTATTAAAGTAAAAACCGCAGTAAAATTAATACAAACATAACCTTAAAATGATATGTATTTACAATTTCTTAGATCTTCTTTAGAAAGGGGTTAAATATAATTACATATAATACAAAAAGATTTACTGATATTTTACTTACAGGCCTACACGTTATAATTCTTACAATTAACAATTGTTAACAATTGAAAAAATCGGACTTGACTCTGTCAGCTGTCTCTGAATTTTACAACATGGAATAGTAAACTGATAGAACTACAACTATATTAGCAATTTTGTTGTTACATGCGAATGTAATCTTATCTAGGGTCCAGGGACCCCATAAACCGGAATCGTTCTCGCAATCTCGTAATCGCAAACGAAAGAATAAAAGTTAGAAAAGGATAAGGTGTATATTTTTATCCTTCTCTAACTTATTCTTTCGTTTGCAACAGCGATTTCGCGGTTACGTTTCTATTCTGATTTGGCCAATATGCAGAAAAAAAATTTAATTTTATTGATAAATATTTATCAAAATATATTTTTTTACTTTTTCTAGTTTTTCATGAATATATATTGACAATAAGAGAGAGTTGCCTCGTAAATTATAGGAAATCAGAAAATGTTATCCAAAGTAGCTTAGAGTAAAAATATCAAATTTCTATTCACCAAAAATTCTAATTTTTGGTGTCGCTTTTGAAAATTGTATTGAAACCTTAAAGGCATCCGGGAGAAAATAGTAGTTTCCTGAATTTCTTCTCATTTAAAAAGAAAGGAATATTTTGGGTTGAAATTTTATGGAAATAATAGAAGAAGGTATCCTGCCGTGGGCTTTTCTCAGAATTTTGTCTAAAATGACTATTCGCAAAAGTGCAGTTCGGTAAAATGACATTTCGGAAAAATGACATTTGGGGAATAATCATGCGTCCCTGAATTCCAAACAAAATTCATAAGAATCATTTTCACCTAAATCTATATATATAGATTTATTAGAACCGTAATGAGTCATATAATATTGAAATATTTTTATAAAAATACAATTTTAGTATAAGGGCAAAAAAACATTAATTTTTCATATAAATTTTTTAGAACATTAATAATGACCTTATATTTTAAATACTTTTGTAAGAATACATTTCTAGTTTAAATGTAAAAAAGAAATACAAAAACAGTATAAGGAGTTATTGAATTTTTAATTCAAAACATTGTTAACTAAAAATATAATTCGAAAATCATTCTTTTAAACCGAAGTAGAACTAATTGTATTTATAATACATCACATTTTTTTTAAAAATATTTTTCAATTTATTAATTACTGAAACAGTAAAAGGAGATATAAAATAAGAAAGTAATAATTGAATTTTAAATTCAAAAAAAAAAAAAAGGAAAAGCTAGAAAATTTCTTTTAAAGAAATAAAAATGGAGGCATTTTTTTAACACTATTTAAATGTTGTTTTCACTCAATGAATCTGTGTATTCAATTTTAATGTCTGCAAAGTCGACAATATCGCATAATATTTTCTTTATAAACTCATCCTTTTTGTGTGAATCTAAAGAAACTTTTTCAAGCTTTGTTTGCAAATTCGTTACCTCATTGACAGATAAATTTAATTGTTGTCGTAGGCCTTCGATTTCGTTTCTAAGATACGAAATATGTTCGAGTAGATACGACGACTGAGAAAACCTAAAATCATTGTTCTCGAAACTTTTACAACTGAGGCTAATTTTTTTATTTCCCTCTTTTTCTTCGTTCCGCTCTTCTATATTCTTCTTTTGCGTATTATCGCCTTCCGCATTTTTTCCTCCATCTTCATTTGGAGCAAGAAATTCGTTGTCGACCGATTTTGAAAACTTTTCATTTTCTTCAGTTTTGGAATTTTCAGTAATTTTTTCTTCCTTCTCTTCTCCGGGTTCTGAAATAATCACAAATGAACATACAGATGACGATGGAGATATTGTTCTCTGATCCTCGGATTTTTGTTCCTTTATTTCTTCAGCATTCGGCGTATGAACTGCGGGTTCTGCTAAATTATTCGAACTTTTGTTTTCCATTTTTTCGTTAGTGGAATTTTTCTCCAATTCGGTTTCGTCTGTGTTTGTATTTTCGTTTTCAATTATAATCTTGTTTGACTCGATGAAGGAATTGGAAGCTGATTGATGTTCGTTTGGTAGAAATTTTGTACTGTCTTTTGATTCTGACTGAGTAGTTTTGGCAGCATCTGTGATTATATTTTCAGCACAGTTTAGATTTTCTGAATCAATATCCTTAACTACTAAAAGAGATTGAGTCGTGTTTTTAGCAATTGTTTCCTCGCAGATTTCATCTGTAATTGTATCACAAGAGTTTTCAAGTACCTTGTTCTCCTTTGATTGCAAAATTATAAAATAATCTTCATGTTCAATTGAGGATAATGTACTGAATGGTGCTTTTATTTGTCCTTCGTAAATAGAACGAAACTTTTCTGTTTTAAACAAGAGAAAATGTTGTATTTTAAAAAAATTCAAATTTGTATCAAATCGCAAAATGACGGGACAATTAAATTCACTCCAATTGTTTAATCTTTCGGAATTACATTCATCATTAATTTGAACATAAAACAGAATATCCGGTTTCAGATAATTTTCATCCAGCATGTAATCGTCGTAAGATTTTGACGAATATTCAATAATCAATTCTTTACCCTCTGAATGACAATTTTTGCAAAGACACTTAGAATCGTTCCGATTTTCAGTTTGAGTGATGGCAATTTTTAAATGTTTTATCTGCGGATTGAGGTGCAAGAGAAACTCCCAATAATCTTTTTTTATAATTGCGTGTTCAGAGGAAAGGGCATCGATGTGAATTGTCAGTTTTTCTGGAATTGTGTCGTGAATTTTATTTAAAGCACTATTAATTTTTGAAGCTGCATCCATAAAGTTAATAAGGTCCTTTTTCAATAATCTTGATTTTGAACATCTTTCCTCCATATTATTTGGTTTATATGTGAGAGTAAGTACATCAATTCCTCGAAACAATATACCCACTCCAGTAAATGGAAAAGCAGACGATAGAAAATCTAAATCAATATTTAATTCTTCGGCCGTTGTTAATACTTTTAAATAAGTATTCATTAATTTACAATTTTCATCATGAAATTCATCGTGTTTATGTTCCTTGCAAAAAGTCGCTATTGGACAATGTGGACAATTATTTAAATCCGCTTGTTTTGTTTCGTGACAAACGAAACAAATACGAGGCCGACTCCACATTGCTAATTCCAGTGGACTTAAAGTTCTTCCCAGTTTCTTTATGATTTCCTTCCGGATTTCTTGTTTTCTTGTACTCCATTCGGGACCAAATATATAAATAAGCTCTTCATGAATATGTGTTATTCCTTTTAGTTTCAACAATTCTTTTACTACTTTGCAAAAATCTTTGTGTATTGATAGGTGTTGTTGTCGATGATCTTCGGAACAGTAGGATATCATTTTGCATTCGCATCTTATTAAATTTTCTCTCGATCTGCAAATGTAGCATTCGTTCGGAAAGCATCTGGCACTCTTTGAATAAATATCGCTCATTTTTGTGTCAATCAAACGGTATCAACTGGTTTATCGAAGCTGAAAATAAATACAAAACAGTAAAAAGAGAGAAAAAATCTTTTTCCCTATTTTATAGTATTGATAAATGCGCTAAAATAACATATAAATATTAGTCAAAAGAGTACAATTTTCAAACATACCTAAGAAAATAACATATAGCAAAAGCCTTGCATTATAATATTGAAATTAGAAAGTATTTTAATGGAAAACGCTTTCCGGAGAAAGACAAGAGGGAAATAATTTTCAGGTTATGTTTGTAATATTTTTATCTGTTATCTTATTAATATTAAAAGTTTCTGTTTAATTAAATAAAACAAAAATTTGTTTTTATTAATTATTTTTGATGTAATGAAGACTTAAACATAAGGAATTTATATTGAAAGATGATCTACTTTGTGTATATTTTCATATTCAAAAAATTGTAAACATAACCTAACATATTTTTTGCTAACCCTTTTCCTTTTTTTAAATTATTTTTTATGTTCCGAGAACCGCATTAAATTAACATACTGCTCGATATCAGATAATTATTTGATTCAATAAAATTTATTCAACATTTGGAATATTTTGGGAAACAATTATAAACAAGTGTAAACTGTACGTACACTGTAAATAGTATATTGTGCAACGAGTGGAGAAAAAGGGCGATTTCTCGCGAGCTGAAGTTTGCTGCTCGAGCGTAGCGAGTGCAGCAATCAAGCGAGCGAAAATCGTTTTTCTCCACGAATTGTACACGATACTTTGTCCAACAACTGCAAAACTTATTTTATTTAACTCAATTTTTATTTATAAGATTTTTGTGGTTATAACAATGTTTATAATTAATATTTAAAAATGTGTAACTCACTAATGTATTACATTTTTAATAATTCAAAGCGAAAAAACTCTTTATGATTTGGTTATTGTTACGTAAGAACATAATTTACGTAAGAATACAACTTACGTATTTTACATAAGAACATAACTCACGTAATTTACGCAAGAACATAACTCACGTAATTTACGCAAGAACATAACTTACGTATTTTACGTAAGAACATAACTTACGTATTTGGGTATGTTACGTTACTTACGTATTTGGGTATGTTACGTTACTTACGTAAATTGCGTACCTTGCGTAAACTATGTAAGTCATACCCTTAGTTTAGTTACGTAAGTTACATTAATATTAACAATTTAAAAGGAAAACACAAATAATTCTATTTTTCTTCCAGTCATTAAACTCATTTCTCCACTGGCCAAACCACCAGTGGAGGAAAGTAGTACTTTCCTCCACTGGCCAACCACCAGTGGAGAAAAGTAGCACTTTCCTCCACTGGTGCCTAGCGTACAATAGTTCAATTCCACTGCAGGCGTTGGACAAAAAAATTTTCTGTAGATTTACAGTTTTGTTTAGAATTTTATAAAAACTTGTAAAATAACTTCTTTAAAAGTAGTGAATTTAAAATCCCTTCTGTAAAATTAATACTTTTAATGTGTCAATTTTACAATTTTCTGTAAATTTACTACTCTGAATGTAGGTAATAAAAAGACAAAAATATTACCTACATTCAGAGTAGTAAATTTACAGAAAATTGTAAAATTGACACATTAAAAGTATTAATTTTACAGAAGGGATTTTAAATTCACTACTTTTAAAGAAGTTATTTTACAAGTTTTTATAAAATTCTAAACAAAACTGTAAATCTACAGAAATTTTTTTTTACAGTGTATTTTTAATTAAAATGGGTTTTTCTTTAAAAAAATATAACTTTATTCTTATTCTCATTTTCTTTCTCAAGTTGACTTGGAAATCTCGTTAAACAAAGAGCATTTATTTATTTTTATGAAATTAAAATATATTCTTTAAAATTCATAATTATTTTCATGATGAGAGTTCCATTTTCTATTATTGTAAATTTTTTCTCAATTGTGCTTGAAACATATTCAATATACGGAGTCTAAAAAAGTATGCAAATTTAAAATGTCAAAAATAGTTCAATTAAGTTATATATATTTTACTTACGCAGTTTAATTTTATCAATTTTATTGAGATACTGATACTGCAAACGAAAGTAATTTTATTGTATAAATAATATCCAAGCTTGACACCGTCAGACAGACGGTCAACAGTATTTGCAACATAGAATAGAAAAAGAATAGATCTGCAACTATATTTGTAATTTTGTTTTTACATTCAAATCTAATATTCACTAGGGTCCAAGGACCCCCAAGGAAAGTTAGAATCGTTAAGGCGCTCGCACAGCTTTACTACCTGCATGAGAGTAAGTGAGAAAAAACATTAAATTTTAATTTTCTGACTTATTTGCTCTCATGTGTTACCATGTCAACTGTGCAAATTTATTTTTCGCTAAACCTTTTTGATTTTAATTTTTATGAATATTGACAATAAGAACGGAGTAGACGCCATGGAGTAGGAAAATGTTGAAATAACCTTAAATTGTCAAATTATTTTGACTTTCCATCTTAAAAAGTACTTAATCTGACTTACTACTTTTAATAAGATTCCACAAAAAATTTAAATTGTACAAAAAAGAATTTTGATAAAATATTTCAAAATTCAATTATTTTTTCAAATAATAAAAAATGAAATTTGCGACGAAAATTCAATTAATTAAAAAGAATTCAATTTTTATAAATAATAAAATTTTCCTCAGGAATTCAATTATTTTTTAAAAATTTTTATAAAAAATTCTTCACATGAATTCAATTATTCACAAAAGTTGAATAAAATTCTTCTGAAGGATTCAATTATTTTTAATAAAATTCTTCAAAATTCAATAATTTTTCCAAATAATAAAAAAAAAAAATTATGACGAGAATTTTATTATTTAAAAAAATTGAATAAAATTCTTCGCAAAAATTCAATTTTCATAAATAATAAAATTCTTCTCAGGAATTTAATTATTTTTTAAATTTTTATAAAATTCTTCACATGAATTCAATTATTTAGAAAAAAAATTAAATGAAATTCAACGCAAGAATTCAATTATTTTCATAAATAATAAAATTCTCCACAAAAATTCAAATATTTTATTTTTTAAAATTTTATTGAACTTCTTTACAAAAATTAAATTTTGAGAAGTATTCAATAAATTATTTATTTTTGTCTTTAAATAAGGGGTCATTCAAAAAATACGTATATTCTAGAAAATAATTGCATATTAAAAGAGTTACTGTAAAAATTTTAAGAAATATTTAGATTTCTAAAGGCTCGAAATTGAAATTTTTAAAAATTTGAATTTTCGAATAATTGAAATTGCCTAAATTTATTCAATTGAAAAGAACAGTATTTCACACTTATTTTAAGTTAATTTTTTTTAAATAATTAAACTCTCGAAGAGTTGTCAAATTTTTTTTCTAATTTTTTAAAATAATTGATTTAGAGTAGAATTTTAGTTAAAAATTCTAAAAAGTAATTAAATTTTTGAGAAGTTCAGCAATAGAAATGTTTAGAAATAATTCAATTTCTATTTTTTCTGTATTTTGAATCGATTAAAACGACATTCTCTCGGCCAATTAGAGGTCAACCAATCAGAGGGCTAAAAAAGATGAAAGCATTGATTTTTCATAAAAATTTATTACAATTCATAACGGCAATCACTACTTATACCTATTTAAACACTTTTTTTAAATTACAGTTGCAGTTTTGAAATACAAAAAGGAAATACAAAAACATTGACGAATGATTGAATTTTAAATTCAAAAATATAGATGTAGGGTTTTTTTAATCAAAAAATGCTAGAAAAATACGTATTCTTTAAAAAAGAAATAATATTAATTGTATTAATTTATAATACGTAGACATTCACATTTTTTAACGAAATATTTTCCAAATTACGAATCATTGAAAATGTAAAAGCAGAGAAAGTAAAAAAGAAATTAGCATTTGAATTTCAAATTCAAAAAATAAAAATAAAAAATTTTCTTTTAAAGACAAAAAATAGACGAGTTTTTCCGTAACGAATTTAAATTTTGTTCTCTTCACACATTGAATCAGTGTCTTCAAAGTTGACGATAACGCGTAATAAATTCTTTATTACCTTTTCCTTTTTGTTTAATTCAAAACAAACCTGATCAAATTTTGTTTTTAGTTTTGTTGTTTCTTTGAGTGCCAAATTTAATGTTTGTCGTAAACCTTCATTTTCGTTTTTAAGGTACGAAACCGTCTCATTGCTTTCGAAACTTTCTGAGTCGACAAGAAATTTTTTATGTTTGTCTTCTTTTTCATTTCTCTTTTCTATATTCTTCTTTTCCTTCTTATTCTCTTTCGTATTTTTTCCTTCTTCGCCATTTGGATCAAAATTTTCCTTATCGATAGACTTTGAAATGTTTTTACAACTTTCAGTTTTGGCTTTTTTATTCTTCTCTCCTTCCTCCTCTTCTCCTGGTTCGGAAATAGATGCAAACGAACGTTTCGATGACGATGGAGAAAGTGCCACACGATCTACGGATTTTTCTTCCTTATTCGATTCTTTAACTTCCATTTTTTCGTTATTGCAAGTTTTCTCTTCTTCGCTTTCGTTTGTATTTATATTTTCCTTTTCAATTACAATCATGTTTGAATCGGTGTAAGAAGTAGAAGTAGATTGATTTTCGTTTGATTCCAATTTTGAATTCTCGTTATTGTCAGAAGTGTATATTAAATCTGGTGGAGTAACCTTTGAAGCATCTTCTATACCATTTGCACTACTATTTTCACCACATTGATGAGTTATTGTAGCTGTAATTTTATCACAACAGTTTTCATGTACTTTGTTTTCCATTGATTGCAAAATTATAAAATAGTCTTCATTTTCAATTGAGGATAATATGCCGAATGCTGCTTTTATTTTTCCTGCGAAAATAAATCGAAATTTTGCTTTTAAAAGGGAGAGAAAATGATGTACTTTAAAAAAATTTAGTTTTGAATCAAATCGCAAAATGATGGGACAATTAAATTCGCTCCACTTGTTTAATCTTTCGGAATTACATTCATCATTAATTTGAACATAAAACAGAATGTCCGGTTTTTGATAATTTTCATCCAGCATGTAATCGTCGTAAGATTTTGACAAGATTTCTAGGTTCAAATTCTTTCCCTCTGAATGACAATTTTGACAAAGAAACGTCTCCAAATTGCCCAAATTTTTAGTTGCAGTGATGACAATTTTTAACATTTTTATCTGCGGATTGAGATGCAAGAGAAATTCCCAATAATTCTTTTTTGTAATTGCATGTTCATAGGAAAAGGCATCGATGTGAATTAACAATCCTTCTGAAATTGTGTTGTGTATTTTTTGAAAAGCGTTATTAATTTTTGAAGCCACGTCCATAAAGCTAATGAGTTCCAATTTTAATAATCTCAATTGTAAACATGTTTCATTCATGTCTTCTACTCGATATGTAAGTGTAAGTTCGTCTATATCAGTTTGATTTACTTTTTCTTCTGTAATACACGGAAAAGTAGGAGAGAGAAATTCCAAGTCGATATTTAATTCCTCTGCTGTGTTCAGAATATTTAAATATTGATTCATCACTTTGCAATTCTTACTGTGAAGTTCATCTCGAGGATGCTTTTTACAAAAACTTGCCACTGGACAATGGGGACAATTGATTAAATCTTCATCTTGTGTATTAGAACAAACGAAACAGTTTCGCGGACGATCAAACATAAAATTTTCTAATGGACTCAAATTTCTTTCCAATTTCTTTTTTATTTCTCGATAAATTTCATTTTCTTTCGTTCCCCAAGGGTCCCCATATATATCTATGAGCTCTTCATAAATATGTGACACTTTTTTCTCTTTTAATAATTCCTTAATTACTTTGCAAAAACTTTCGTGAACTAATAAATGTTGTAATCTATGATCCTCAGAACAATAAGAAATCATGTTGCATTCACATCTTTTTAAATTGTCCCTCGATTTACAAATGTAGCACTCGTTTGGCAGAAATCTTTCCATCCTTGACGACTTCATATTTTAGAATTTCTTTCTTATTACTCCGAAATTTGCGACAACCTGTAAATGAAAATTAACTTTTTAAATATTTTTAATTTTAAAATTTATGTCATAAGAATCATTGAATTCTTGCGAAGAATTTTATCAGAATTTAAAAAAAAATTATATTTAATTGATTGTTTGTAACAATAATTGTATTCTTTCGAGAAATTTTACTAAAATTGAATTAATAATAATTGAATTTCTCCGAAGAATTTTATTATTAATGAAAATAATTGAATTCCTCTGAAGAATTTTATTATTTATGAAAATAATTTAATTCCTTCAAGGAATTTTATTAAAATACAAGAAATTAATTTAATTCTTTCGAAGAATAGATACATCAAAGGTTTTGACAATAATTGAATTCTTTCATAAAATTTCTATAATTTATTAAATACAATCGGTTTTGTTAATAAAATTTAAAAAATATAGTTTTTGAATAATTTTAATTGGAAATTTTGAAAATAATTGAATTAAACAAAGAGTTTTTTTTTCAATTTTTGGAACTAATCGTGTCTTTTAAAAATTACAATTAAATATTTCATTAATAAAGTTTATTAAAATATTATTGAAAATAATTGAATTCCTGTTAATAATTCTATTCTTTATAGAAATAATTTAATTCATTTAATTCTTCCGAAGAATTTTACTGTATTTTTAAAAATAATTCAATTTTTTCTAAGAATTGATTAGATAGAAAATTATTGAATTTTTTAATTTTAATTACCAATAAAATTATTGAAAAATTTAAATTTGCAAATAAAAAATTTTGTAATTTCAGGTAATTTGTATAATAATAATAATAATAAACTGAATATCAAGTTCCGCGCGTAATATTTTTTAAAAAGAATTTTATCAACAAATTTAAAAATAATTAAATACCAACTTTCGACGAATTATAATCAAATTTTTAAGAATAATCATATTTTTCGATGAATTCGATTAAAATAAATTGTATTAAAAATGATAAAAATTTTGCGATGAGTTTTATTCTTTATGAAAAGAATTGAATTTTTGCAATCATTTGTAACTTCTTCAAAATCCATTTTTAGTGTTTTTAACTAAAATTCAAATGAGATACAGGTTATGCTTGTCTTAGATTTATTTTGATTAAAAGTTCTTTTCAATATATATGTAAATTTAAAATCACTTCTTATTGAATATTTTCGATGTAATAAAGACTTAAACATCAAGAATTTGTAATTTAGTAATTGATTTTCTTTATGTATTTTTACTTTAAAATTTATAAACATAATCTAACATTTTTTGCTTTTTAGCCTTTTTAGGTTTCGTGGGAGCGCGTCACAATTATTTGGAAAATGAAAGAAATCTATTTCTGCACTTTAAGAAATGCTTATTAAATTTTCAATCTAAAATTTAGTTGAACGTCCGAATTTTATTGCAAAAGTACTTTTGAATTTCCTATTTACAATTTGTTCAAATTAATAAATTTCATTTATAAATTTTCGATTGACAAACCATGGAATTTTGAAGAAACCTAAGAAAAGTGAAAATATAATGGAGAAAAGTTTACTGCTAATAATATACTTACAGGCTTATTTACGTTATAATTCTTACATTTAACAATTGTTAATATTTTGTTTTGACAATTAAAAATCCTGACTTCATCTGACACTGACACATCTGACAGTATGTTTACAACATAGAATAGAAAAAGAATAGATGTACAACTATATTTGTAATTTTGTGTTTACATGCAAATGCAATGTTATCAAGGGTCCAAAGACCCCAAAGAAAAATTAGAATCGTTAGAATTTCTTTTTGTATAAATACAGGACAACTATGTTTAAAATAATTTCAAAATTTATTTCTCGCTAAACTTTTCGTTTTAATTTTTATGAATATTGAGAATAAGAACTGAGTTGCCGCGTAGGAAAATATTGAAAACCTTAAATTGTCCATTTATTTTCACTTTCCATCTTAAAAACTATATATAATCTGACTTTCTATTTTTAATAAAATTGCACAAAAAATTTGAATTGTACAAAAAAGAATTTTGACAAAATTCTTCAAAATTCAATTATTTTTCCAAATAATAAAAAATAAAATATCCCAAGTGCGAAATGCCAAGACTGCAAAAACGGCCCATCATTGGTGCAGTAATGTCTGCCGAGAATTGGCAGTAGTTACTGGGCCATTATTGGTAACCAAAACGTCCCATTACTGGGCCAATGATGGTGCCGATGGTCAGAATTTCAAATTTTTTAAGACTGGGCCAGCTCTCGGCCCAATAACGGCACATTCATGGCAAAGTTTATCAATGTTTAACGTCAAAAGACAATTGCCAGTGATGTGCCGACCATCGGCCCAGTAATGGCTCATTATTGGCACTTTAATGGCAAAAAATTTGTATCGTTCATGGCAAATTATAATTACCAGTATTGGGGAGTAGCTTGGCTCAGTAACGGCATAATATTGGCAAAGTTGATCAATCTTTAATGGCAAAATTCAATTGCCAGTGATGTCACGAAGATCGGCCCATTAATGGCACATTAGTGGCACTTTAATGGCAAACATTTTGTATCTTTGATGGCAAATTATAATTGCCAGTATTGGGGCGTAGCTTGGCCCAATAACGGCACGTTATTGTCAAAGTTGATCAATCTTTAATAGGAAAATTCAATTGCCAGTGATGTGACGAAGATCGGCCCATTAAAGGCACATTAATGCCATTTTAATTTGGTATAATTTTTTATAAGAATTGAAATTTAAGAAACATTCAGGTATTCAATAAATTATTTATTTTGTATTTAAATAATTGAATAAGCTTGAAAAGGATTCAAATTAAAATATTTGAAACTTTGAATTTTCTATATTTTTAACTGTCAATTTTAAAGAATTAATTTTTTTGAAAAAGTTTAATTAAGTATTAATTTAAAAAAGAAGTTATTAATGTTTTCATATAATTTTACAATTAAAGAAATTCGTAAATAAATGTTACAGAAACCTTTTTTTGAGTAAAATTTTTCCTTTATTATCTAAAAATTAAGAAATTTTCAATTTCACTTTCAATTAATATTTGCAATTGACAAATAGAATTTATAAACATTTTTTTCCTTCATTTTTTAAAAATCTTTGAATTTTTCTTAAAGCAATTGTAATTAAGAAATAGAAATGATGCAAATTATTTCCTTAAGAAAATTTATTGAATAAATGAATGTTTTTTAAAATTTAATTCTCATAATTCAATTTTAAGAAACATTTAGTTATTCAATAAATTATTTATTTTTGCATTTAAATAATTAAATTCTCGTAGAATTTTGTAGTAAAAATTGATTTCAAAATGGATTCTAGTCAAATTTTCAGATAATAATTAAATATTAAAAATATACCATGAATTATGATATTAAAATTTTTTTAAATTCAATCGCCAATGATGTGACAAAGATTGGCCCATTAAAGGCACATTAATGGCACTTTAATGGCAAAAATTTTGTATCTTTAATGGCAAAATATAATTGCCAGAATTGGGGCGTTGCTTGGCCCAATAATGGCACATTCACGACAAAGTTGATCAATCTTTAATGGTAAAAGACAACTGCCAGTGTTGTGACGAAGATCGGCTCATTATTGGCACTTTAATGGCAAAAAATTTGTATCTTTCATGGCAAATTATAATTGCCAGAATTGGGGCGTTGCTTGGCCCAATAATGATACATTCACGACAAAGTTGATCAATCTTTAATGGTAAAAGACAACTGCCAGTGTTGTGACGAAGATCGGCTCATTATTGGCACTTTAATGGCAAAAAATTTGTATCTTTCATGGCAAATTATAATTGACAGTATTGGGGCGTAGCTTGTCCCAATAACGGCACATTCACGGCAAAGTTGATCAATCTTTAATGGCAAAATTCAATTGCCAGTGATGTGACGAAGATCGGTCCATTAATGGCTCATTGTTGGCACTTTAATGGCAAACATTTTGTATCTTTGATGGCAAAATATAATTGCCAGAATTGGGATGTAGCTTGGCCCAAGAATGGCACATTAATGTCTATCATTTTGTATCTATGATGGCAAATTATAATTGCCAATATTGGGACGTAGCTCGGCCGAATAATGGCACAGTATTGGCCAGTGTAGTGTAGCTTATAAGAACCCTTTTGCTTCCTCGACTTCAAGTCAGAGTAGCAGAGTGGTCAGAGTGTTAGGCTGTGGAGCGTCAGGTTCAGGTATCGATCCCCGCGAGAGGTAAGAATTTTTCAAATATTTGTAAGTTTGCGTTTAAATTAGGGAAATAAGCCGTATAAATGTTATAAATTAATTAGTTAATTGAATAAAAAAAAATTATTTTTATTTTTTTCTAATTTTGTCAACACTGGGGGAGTAATGGCAGCCAATATTGGGCCATTAATGTCTGCTGAGATCTGGCTGCCAATAATGGGCCATTAATGTCTGCCGAGATTTGGTGCCAATATTGGGACAGTAATGTCTGCCGAGATCTGGCTGCCGACGTCCAACCGCGGTTAACACCACAAGAGTCGGCGCAAAGTCGGGCCAATATTGTCTGCCAAGTCTCGATGCCAGCTTTGCCAATACTGGGCCAGTGTTGGGCCGCGTTGGTTTTCGCACTTGGGATATCTATGACAAGAATTCAATTATTTAAAAAAATTAAATAAAATTCTTTGCTAGAATTCAATTTCGATAAATAATAAAATTCTTCTCAGGAATTTAATTATTTGTTTTAAATTAAAAAAAAAAAATTCACATAAATTCAATTATTTACCAAAGTTGAATAAAATTTTTTGCAAGAATTCAATTATTTTTATAAATAATAAAATTCTTCTGAAGGATTCAATTATTTTTTAAAATTTTTGACAAATTCTTCACAAGAATAAATTCAATTATTTTTCCACTTAAAAAATTTTTTCACGAAAATTCAATTATTTAAAAAAATTGAAGAAAATTTTTCGCATGAATTCAATTTTTATAAATAATAAAATTCTTCTCAGGTATTCAATTATTTTTTAAAATTTTTATTAAATTCTTCGCACATGAATTCAATTATTTACAAAACAATTAAATGAAATTCTTCGCAAGAATTCAATTATTTTCATAAAGAATAAAATTTTTCACAAAAATAAATTCAATTGATTTTTCACAAAAATTTAAATGTCAAAAGGCTCGAAATTGAAATTTAAAAAATTTAAATTTTGAGTATTATTGATTAAAGATTCTAAAGAACTTATTTCTTTGAATAATTTTGGTATAAATCCTTTTCAAAACGACATTTTCTTATAGCCTTAAAGTCAATCAATGGGCTGAAAAAGATAAAATCAATTGATTTTTCATAAAAAATTTATTACAATTAATAATGACAATATCTATATTTAAACACTTTTTTAAAATTACAGGTACAGTTTTTTAACACAAAAAGAAAATTCAAAAACATTCACGAATGATTGAATTTTACATTCAAAAATAGATGTAGGAATTTCATTCAACCAAAAAACAGAAATTTAATACGTATCAGGGTGGCCACAAGTTTCAATTTATCAATTTCACTGACATTTCCCTGACAATTTACTGATATTAAAATTACTTTCCCTGACAAAATTCTTTTTACAGGAAAGTATGAATGTTTACGGAAAATGGGTAAAATTTATTAATTTGAATAATTTCTAAAAATTACAATTATAACCTTTCCTGAATTCAATTATTTTTTACAATTTTCAACTAAACTTCATCTCTGAATCAATTGATTTAAATAATTTTCCAAAAGTTCATCTAGAATTCACTTATTTAAATACAAAAACTCAATTTTTTTATGATAATTGTATTTATATAAATATAAAAGTTTTTCAATTTTGAATAATTTACAAACAATTAAAATTTGGTAAAATCTTTTAAAAATAATTTAATTTTTGAAAAATATAAATAAAAATAATCAAATTTTTGAAGAATTTTAATTTTAAACAGGACCATGATTTCTCAAAAATTTTTGTTAGCGAATAGTCATCAAGTGTGAACGAATATTAAAATAAGTACGAATATTTCCGAAAATATACGAAATAGGCGCGCGATTGATTGAAGGTATGATTAGAAATTTAGTACGAAACTGTAAGCGAATGAATAAGTACGAAGTGCGAGACCGAGTGCGAAATTAACAATGTAATAATCGAAGAATCAGTTATTAATCTATTGTGAGATTAATCACGTATTCACTTTACTTTTCTTATATTAAATTTTTATATTTTCTTAATTAATTGAGTTATTTTATTTAATCATACTGAAAAGCTTCACCACGTGTTCCTTACAATAATCCGCTATTATTTTAATAACTCCAAAAAGTAAATTTTCATAAACTTTTATTCACATTGTTCGAAGATAATTAAATCTTAAAAAATTATTTTAAAACAATTCTAATAATTAGTTTTTAAAAATATTTTAATGTAATTTTACGAAAATAATTGAATTTCTTAAAAAAAATTTGGTATAATTTAAAAAACTAATTAATTTTTCTTTAAATTTTAATTAAAAAATTTGAGCTTGATTGTATCCTCCAAAATGTTAAAAATAATTCTAAAATGTTATTATTTTTATATGTATTTGAATTTTTGGAAATATGTAATTGAAAATACTGAAAACATTGAATTTTTAACAATTAGAACCTAATATTTCAATTATTTTCAAAATTTGCAATTAAAATTATTCAAAAATTGATTTTTAAAAATTGTAAATAAATACTTGAAATGTTTGGAAGAAAAGTCGAAAAAGTCGCAATTTTTTAAAATAAGTCGAAACAATTCTCAATTTTCTTAATTTCCCTGACAAAAATTTTTTTCCTGACATTTCCCTGACTTTACTGACAAAAAATTTGTTCCCTGACATTTCCCTGACTTTACTGACATGTGGCCACCCTGCGTATTCTTTTAAAGAGAAATAATATTAATTGCATTAATTTATAATATATACGTAGATATTAACATTTTTTAACGTAATATTTTTCAAATTACTAATCATTGAAAATGTAAAAGAGCAAGTAAAAAAGAAATTAGTATTTGAATTTCAAATTAAAAAAAAAAAGACAAAAAATAGAAGAGTTTTTTCGTAATGGATTTAAATTTTGTTCTCTTCACACACTGCATCAGTGTTTTCAAAGTTGACAAATACGCGTAATAAATCCTGTATTACCTTTTCCTTTTTCTTTAATTCAAAACAAACCTGATCAAATTTGGTTTGTAATTTCGTTATTTCTTTGAGTGCCAAATTTAATTGTTGTCGTAAATCTTCATTTTCGTTTTTCAGGTCCGAAACATGTCCGATTACAAATGATTGAAAAACATTAACCGTCTCATGATTTTTAAAACATTCTGAGTTGACAAGAAATTTTTTATGTTTGTCTTCTTTTTCATTTCTCTTTTCTATATTCTTCTTTTCCACATTATTCTCTTTCGTATTTTTTCCTTCTTCGCTATTTGGATCACAATTTTCCTTATCGATAGACTTTGAAATGTTTTTACAACTTTCAGTTTTGGCTTTTTTATTCTTCTCTCCTTCCTCCTCTTCTCCTGGTTCGGAAATAGTTGCAAACGAACGTTTCGATGACGATGGAGAAAGTGTCACACGAACTTCGGATTTTTCTTCCTTATTGGATTCCCTATTTTCCGAAGTAGATTGATTTTCGTTTGTTTCCAATTTTGAATTTTCGTTATTGTCAGAATTGTCTTTTAAATCTGATGGAATAACTTTAGAAGCATCTTCTACATCATTTTCACTACTATTTTCACCACATTGATGAGTTACTGTAGTTGTAATTTTATCACATTTTTCATGTACTTTGTTTTCCATTGATTGCAAAATTATAAAATAGTCTTCATTTTCAATTGAGGATAATATACCGAATGCTGCTTTTATTTTTCCTTCGTAAATAAATCGAAACTTTGCTTTTAAAAGCGAGAGAAAATAATGTACTTTACAAAAATTCATTTTTGAATCAAATCGCAAAATGACGGGACAATTAAATTCACTCCACTTATTAAATCTTTCGGAATTACATTCATCGTCGACTTTCACGTAAAAGAGTATATCGGGTTTTTGATAATTTTCATCCAGCATGTAGTCTTCGTAAGATTTTGTCGAATATTCAATAATCAATTCTTTTCCCTTTGAATGACACTTTTTGCAAAGAGACTTAGAATCGTTCCGATTTTCAGTTTGAGTGACGAGAATTTTTAACTTTTTTATCTGCGGATTGAGATGCAAGAGAAACTCCCAATAATTTTCTTTCGTGATTGCGTGCTCATAGGAAAGGGCATCGATGTGAATTGTCAATTCTTCTGGAATCGTTTCGTGTACTTTTTGTAAAGCACTATTAATTTTCGAAGCTGCGTCCATAAAGTTAATAAGGTCCATTTTCAATAATCTTGATTTTAAACATCTTTCCTCCATATTATTTGCTTTATATGTGAGAGTAAGTGAGTCCATAACATGATTTACTTTTTCTCCTTTGATACACGGAAAATTAGGAGACAGAAATTTCAAGTCGATATTTAATTCCTCGGCTGTGTTCAAAATTTTTAAATATTGATTCATCACTTTGCAATTCATACTGTGAATTTCATCTCGAGGATGCTTTTTACAAAAACTTGCCACTGGACAATCAGGACAATTTGATAAATCTTCTTGTCTGGTTTGATTACAAACGTGACACAGTCGCGGATGTACCCACATTGCATTTTCGAATAAACTCATAGGTCTTCCTAATTTCTTTGTTACTTCATTGGTGATTTTTTCTTTTTTTTCTCTCCAAGCGTCTCCGCCTAACATTTGAAGCTCTTCATAAATATGTGCCACTTTTTTTTCTTTTAATAATTCCTTAATTATTTTGCAAAAACTTCCATGAACTGGTAAATGTTTTAATCGATGATGCTCAGAGCAATAGGAAATCATGTTGCATTTACATCTTTTTAAATTGTCCCTCGATTTACAAACATAACACTCATTCGGAAAAAACCTTTGCATCTTGGAAGAATTCATATTTTAATATTTCCGTCTTTGTAGAGTGTATACAATCAAAATTTGCGAAAACCTGCAAATGAAAAATATTTTTATCAAATTTTAAAGATAAACGATGTACTATCGAAAATTAATAGTTACAAAAAAGGTGTATTGGAAAAGTAAAGAAATCTATTTCCATACTTTAAGTAATATGCTTATGGAATTTTCAATACAAATTGTAAATTCAGGGTGGCCACTTTTTTCATAAAAAAAACTTCACGGTCATTTCCCGGTCTATTCCTGTTCATAAATTATTTTTCCCAGTCATAAAAAATAACTCTAAAAATAAATTATTCCATGAAATATTGAAAGAATTTTCTGACTTTTAGACAAAACTTTGACTTTTTCCCAAACCCTAAAAATATTTTAGTTTACTCTAAAAATAATTGAAACTCCAAAATATGTTTATAATACATTTTTTTTGAATATTTTTAATACTAAAAATAATTTTGAACTTAAATAGATTTTTGAAACAAATATTTAATTATTATCCATTATTTTTCCATATAGGTATTCAAATTTTAAAAAAAAATTAAAATTTCAAATCCTTTAAATTTGAGTAATTTTTAAGAATTGCTACTGTAACTTATTAAAAATTATTTTCAAAATTTCAATTTACATATTTTCTAGAAATTTTAACTAAAATATTTCTAAAATCCACTTGTTTACAAGACAATTTCATGAAATTTTGAATAATTTGAAATTTTTTCAATTAAATATTATATATTTAAAAACATAACTAATTTGAAAAAATGTGAATAAAAATATATCAAAAAACTAACTTATTCAGAATTTTTAATTAAAATCTTTTAAAATTCAACTTTTCTAAAACTTCAATTTGAAACTTTTTAAAATTCAATCTATAATAATATTAATTTAACATTCTAAAATATAGAAAAATAATTGTAAAAGAAAAACTAATTGATATTAATGCAAAATACGGTTTTTTAAAAAATTATTTTCTAAGAAAATAAATTTTATTTAGTTTTATTAACTTTATTTATTATTTAAAAATTAATTTTTGTAAATTTCGTATCACTTTTGTTCTAATTAGTTCAAATTTTTAATAATTCAAATTTGTTTTGTTATAATATTATTGCAAAAAAAATTTTTAAATTGATTTATTTTTCACTATTTTATAGGATGTGAAATTTTTTCTCTTTAAAATTTTTTTGACAAATTTAATTAAAATTATATTTTGTTTAATTATTGTTAAAAATAGAAAGAATTTAAAATAAAATTTAATATTTTCTTTTTCTAAGTCTGTTACGTTGGACAGCAAAATTCATAATTTTCTTATAAATTCTAGAAATTGAATATTTTTATAGTACTTTTCACAAAGTTCCCTGACAAAATAAATAATTATAATAAATAAGTCCTAAAATAAATAGGTACCTATTTCTATATTTTCTCACAAAATAATGTGTGTTTTTAAAAAAAAAATTCCAAAATCCCGGTCAAGATTAAAATTCACTGTCATTTCCCGGTTTCCCGGTCCAGCGGCCACCCTGTAAATATAATATTTCAACTTTTGCATTTTATCACAAAAGTACTTTAAATTTTCAGGTCCTTGAAATTAGAACCGACGCTGAGCGTCGATCACAATTTTTTTCGAGAAATTGAAAACAATTGTTTTAAAAATTTTAAATAACAAAAATTGACCTCTGAAGAAGAAATAATAAGAAGCTAAATGTTTCAGGTTGATTTTAATTTTTTAAATGAAAATCATGAAAATGTATACATATATAGTAAGAAAAGCTATCAGTCAGTCATAGGAAAGTATGGAAATCGCATAAGTCTGTCTCACTCCCACTCATGGGATATGACTGACGTGGTAGGTTTTCTTACTGTATAATAATGCGGATGATAATTCTCAGTGTAAATACTATATTAATGTTCAAGTTTTCATAACATACAAAATATTTAATATGAATTGATTTAACTTTAAAACAATAAATAATTAAGAAAAAACCGTATAATTAAAGCAATTAAAGTAAAATCGCAGTAAAATTAATACAAACATAACCTTAAAATGATATGTATCTACAATTTCTTAGATCTTCTTTAGAAAGGGGTTAAATATAATTGCATATAATGCAAAAGACTTTACTGATATTCAACTTACAGGCTTACACGTTATAATTCTTACAATAAACAATTGTTAACAATTGAAAAAATCGGACTTGACTCTGTCAGCTGTCTCAGAATTTTACAACATAGAATAGTAAACTGATAGAACTACAACTATATTAGCAATTTTGTTGTTACATGCAAATGTAACATTATCTAGGGTCCAGAGACCCCCAAAACCGGAATCGTTCTCGCAATCGCAAAGACGCAAACGGAACAATTAATTAAAAAAGGAAAAGGATAGGTATATTCTTTAATTATCCTTCTCTAACTTTCTTATGCAGAAAAATTTAGTTTTATTGTTAAATATTTGTCAAAATATATTTTTGACTTATACTTTTTTTTACATTTTTATGAATTATATATAATATGTTGACAAAAAGAGAGTTGCAGCGTAAGTTAGGAAAATCAGAAAATTATATCCAGAGTAGAGTAAAATTATCAAATTTCAGTTCAAAAAAATTTCTAATTGTTGGTATCGCTTTTGAAAATACAGAAAACCGTAAGTCAATCAATTATTTTTTTTGCCTTAAAAAGTAGTGAAAACCAACAGAAAGTAGTAAAATCCTTAAATGTTTACTCAGAAACGCCATGAGTAAATATTTTTAGAAATTAGAAGAAATATGTCTTCAAGAAAGTTATAATCATTACTTTATCATATGGACATTTATTAGAAAATTCTTAACAAACACAGTCTTTAAATTAATATATTTATAACGTTACAAATGCAGTACAAAAAATAATACAATTTATGTAATCTTTGAATTTTAAATTCAAAAATAAAGGAATTTTTCTAAACTAAAAAATAGAATTCAGATATAAGCCTACTTTTAAATCTTAATAGTAATCATAATAATACAAATATTTACATTTATTATTGAAACATTTTTTCCAATGAAAAAATACTGAAAATGTAGGTAAATTTTTTTACATTTTAAATTTTGTTCTTTTAGCACACTGAAGTCTCTCCAAGAATCGAGAATCCCACATTAAATTTTGTTTAAATCGAAAGAAACTTGATCGAGTTTTGTTAACCGGGATATAAAATAAGAAAATAATATTTGAATTTTAAATTCAAAAAAATATAAAAACTAGAAGATTCCTTTTAAAGAAATAAACATGGAGGCATTTTTTCAATACAGATTAAATGTTGTTTTCTGATGAATCTGTGTCTTCAATTTTAATGTCTTCATTGTCAACAATAACACATAATAATTTCTTTATTACCTTTTCCTTTTTGTTTAAATTAAAAGAAAGCTGATCAAGTTTTGTTTGCAGTTTCGTTACCTCATTAACTGATAAATTTAATTGTTGTCGCAAGTCTTCGATTTCGTTTTCAAGATACGAAATGCGTTTGATTAGATACGATTGAGAAGAATTAACTTTATCGTTTTTTTTTTTAATTTTTCCTTCTTCGCCTTTTGGATCAGAATTTTCCTTATCGTTAGACTTTGAACAATTTTTACAATTTTTACAATTTTCAGTTTTTGATTTTTTATTCTTCTCTCCTTTCTCCTCTTCACCGGGTCCGGAAATAGCCGCAAATGAACGCTTCGATGACGATGCAGAAGGTTTCACATAATCTACGGATTTTCGTTCCTTATTCGATTCTTTATTTTTGTTTCTATCTGCAAGAATTTCAGTCGTATTCGTACCAATTTTTCCCTCGCAGATTCCGCCTGTTACTGAATCAGAAGATTTTTGAAGCACATTGTTTTCCTTTGATTGGAAAATTATAAAATAGTCTTTGTTTTCAATGGAGGATAATGTACCGAAAGGTGTTTTCAATTGTCCTTCGTGAATAAATCGAAACTTTGCTCTAGAAGACGAGAGAATATGTTGCGCTTGACAAAAATTGGAGTTTGAATCGAATTGCAGAATAATGGGACAATTTAATTCTCTCCACTTATTAAACCCTTGAGACATCTTTTTAATATTGATCTGAACATAAAACAGTATGTCCGGTTCTTGATAATTTTCATCCAGCATGTAATCTTCGTAAGATTTTGCTGAAGCTTCAAGAATGAAATTTCTTCCCTCTAAATGACAATTTTTACAAAGAGATTTTTTAAATCGAGATGGATCTCGAGATGTAGTCATGACAATTTTTAATTTCTTAATCCGTGGATTAAGATGCAACAGAAATTCCCAATAATTAACTATTGCTACTGCAAAATCATAGGTAAGCTCATCGATGTGAATTGTCAATTCCTCTGGAATCGTGTCGTGTATTTTTTGTAAAGCGTTATTCAGTTTTGAAGCAAAGTCAATAAAATTAATGAGAAAAATTTTATCTGATTTTGACATCGGTCCGAATATGATCGTTCTACTTGTTTTGTATGTCATTGTAAGATCATCTATAGCATCAGCTTTTTCTCCAGTAAATGGAAAAGCAGACGATAGAAAATCTAAATCAATATTTAATTTCTCGGCCGTTGTCAATACATTTAAATATGTATTCATTACTTTACAATATTCTTCATGAATTTTATCATTTTCGTGTTCTTTGCAAAAACTCGCTATTGGACAATGTGGACAATTAATTAAATCCTCTTGTTTTGTTTCGTGACAATCGAAACAAATTCTTGGAGAATAAAACATAAAATTTTCCAGTGGACTTAAAGCTCCTTCCAGACCTCTCAGTTTCATTATGATTTCCTTACGGATTTCTTTTCTTTTTGTATTCCACTCGGGACCATATATATCATTAAGCTCTTGATAAATGTGAGTGATTCCTTTTTTTTCCAACAATGCTTTTATTGCTCTGCAAAAATCTTCGTGAATTGATAGGTGTTGTTGTCGATGATCCTCTGAACAGTAGGAAATCATGTTGCATTTGCATCTTATTAAATTTTCTCTCGATTTGCAAGTGTAGCATTCATTCGGAAAGCATCTGGCACTCTTTAAATAAATAGGCATCTTTATTGGATTAAACCAGTTAAACGGTAGTCAACTGGTTTTTCGAAATCTGAAAATAAAAAACAAAAAATTGAAGAAAAAAATTTTTCTTAAATTATTATTTTTTAGAATTTTTAATTAAAATTCTTCTTTAAATCAATTATTTACAATAATTTTTTAAAAATTTTGAGAATTTTCAAATGTATTTGTTTACAATTTCAATTTTACGAAATTTCATCAATTATTCGGAAATTCTTCAATTAAATATAATTATATTTGAAAATGAAAACTTCGAATAATTTGAATTAAACAAAACTTAATTCTACAGAATTATTAGTTAAAAATATGAAAAATTCAGATTTTCAAAGATTTGAATTTGAAACTTTTTCAAAATTCAATTATTTCTAAGAATTCACGCTATAATGCTTTTAATATTCAATTATTATGTAAAATTTTAATTAAAATTCACTTAAATCAATTTGTATTAGAAAATTATACGAGAATTTAATTATTTAAATACAAAAATAAATAATTTATATTGAATAATTGAATGTTTCTTAATATTAAATTCTCATAAAGAATTTTTTCGAATTTTATCAACAAATTTTTAAATAATTCAATTCTTTGGAGGAATTTTAATAATATTTTTAAAAATAATTACATTTTTCGAGGAATTTTGATTAAAATGTAGCATTAAAAATAATTGAAATTCTGCAATGAGTTTGATTATTTATGAAAATAATGAAATTATTGCGAAGAAATTTATAAAAAAATTTGTAAATAATAGAATTCTTGTGAAATTATTTTATTATTTACGAAAATAATTAAACGTTTGCGTAGAATTTTAATAAGAATTTTTTTAAATAATTGAATTCTTTTGGAAAATTTTATTAAAATAGTAGATAATGAATATCATTGAATTTAGGAAAATTTTTGCAATTAATTGAAATTTTGCCAAGAATTTTATTAAATTTTTTAAAAATAATTTTTCTGCAAAGAATTTTATTATTTTTGAAAATATTTGATTTTTTGCAATTATTTGAAACTTCTCCAAAATACAAATTTTTAAAATTATTTTTAACTAAAATTCCTCGATAAATTCATTATTTTTAATAAATAATTAAATATATATATATATATTAAAGAATTTAGCTAATTTCAGAATACATATTTAAATTTCGAAAATTTTTGCAAAAAATTTAAGTTCTTTTGAATTTTTGATGAAATTCATTCAAAATTGAAATTTTATAAAATTTGAAATTTAAATCTTTTTAAGTTCATCTACTTATGAAAAATGTAAACGATACTATTTTAAAATTCAATTAATTTTGAAATGTATGAATAAAATTATTCATTAAATAATTTCTAAGCAATAATTTTATGATATAGTTCTTCAAGAATTAAGTTATTTAAAAAGAAATTATTGTCAGAAATGGAAAAAATTGAAGGTTTTGTATTAAAATTTTCTTTTTTCAAGAAAAAAACTATTAATAATAATATTTTAATTATTGGAATGTTAATTAATTATTTTTCTAAAGGTCTGCATTCTGTTGAATATGAAACCACCTTATAATTTATAAAATTCCTTACGATATCTATATTATTTAAATCATTAACGACATATTTATATTATGTTGTGGTGTTAATAATCTAAATCAGAAATAAAACGCACTGAATTCTATAACATTGAGTCTAAATTTTATGATTACATTTTGAAAAAGATTTCAATAAAAGAAAAATAATCCATTTGTGACGCGCTCCTAAAAAACTAGCTAAAAAACTTTTTTTAAAAAAAATAAAAAAAGTTACCTCTTTTTTTCCCTTAATATTTTCTTTTCTCAAGTTGACGTAAAAATCTCCTTAATTTGGACAATCAAATTAAGTTTTGTACATATTTTACTCACATTTTAACAATTTATTAACAACAACACAACAATTAGAATATTATTAAAGTTGAACCTTTTTCGTCATGGAATAATGAATTAACACAGAATCACAAAACATATTGGGAACCGCAGAGCTGCGTAGGCCCTCTGGTGTCGACCCACTTGCGGTAGTTGTCTTTTCATTTCGTCTCTCTCTAACATATGTAAAAAAAAGAGATAAAAAACCAAGATGTCGGACGCAAGTGGGTACAGGGGTGGGTCAGTTTCACATGATTTCGGATCCCAATAACTGCAATATATGAATGTCACTGACATTTAGGAGAGGGAGCATTTACACCATTGGTAAAACTTTCTAGAACGGGTTTACATTGGAGTAACGTAGACTTGAGACCCTTGAGGCTGCGGTTACACCTCTGCAGGCAGCCTGCCTGCCTGCAGGTTGTCATGGTAACGTACAAGAGTAAGAGAGTCAGTGACTTCAAACTTCTCCCTTACTCTCGTTGCTCCTGCCTGCGCAGGCAGGCAGCCTGCAGAGGTGTAACCGCAGCTTGAGAGTGTAATGGAAAATTATAGAGTTGTTTTTTATTTTCACTTGTTTATATTATTATTAATAGTTAAATGGTTTAATAATTAATTTATAATGTAAATTATATCGAAATTATCGAAAAATTTTCAACTCTTGCACAAGGGGTCCAAGGACCCTTTATTTTTGAACTTTACGTGTAAGTGTGACAACCAAATGGCAGCTATATTTGCGTTTCTGTATTAAGTCATTATTCCATGTTGAAAGGTCTACTCTCAATATTGACAGTTACTTTCGTTACTTTATTACACTTTATTAATACAGTTCTAGTAATTATTGTTAATAAATAATAAACAGTAAGTAACATACGAACATAAAACTTAATTTGATTGTTTAATATATTTTGAAACAAAAAATAATTGTACAGAAAAATTAAAGAATTTTATTATTTAGGAAAATAATTGATTTCTTTCATGAAGTTTTATCAAAATTGTATAAAAAATAATTTGATTTTTGCAAATATAATTGAATTTTTTTGAAGAATTTATTAAAATTTTAGAAAATAATTGAATTCTTTTGAAAAATTTTATAACGAATTAAAAAAAAAATTGAATTCTTTTGTGAAATTGTTTTGATTACCTATAATTTAATTGTTGCAAAGAATTTGACTATTTATAAAAATATTTTAATTCTTACGAAGAATGTTATTATTTATGAAAATAATTGAATTCATGCGAAGAATTTTATTAAAATTCTTGAAATTAATAAACAAGAATAATGAATTAGTAAATTAATTAAAAATTAAATTTTTTAAAAGTTTTAATCTAAAATTATTTAAAAATTGATATTTGAAAATAAAAAATTTTGTAATTTGCATAATAAAGTTCTATAATAAAGAACTTTGACAATGGAATAGGAAAAAAGACTTCTACTTTTTAAATTTACTATTATTTTTTTACAGAGTTCGAAAAACTGTTTGATATACACGTACCGTTTGACACAAAAGATGAGCGATACTTATTTAAAGAATGGCAGATGTTTTCCAAATGAATGCTACATTTGCAAATCGAGAGAAAATTTAATAAGATGCGAGTGCAAAATGATTTCCTACTGTTCAGAGGATCATCGACAACAACACCTATCAATACACAAAAATTTTTGCAAAGTAGTAAAAGAATTGTTGAAAGAAAAAGGAATCACTCACATTTATCAAGAGCTTATTTATATATTAGATTGGCCCGAATGGGATACAAAAAGAGAAAAAATCCGGAATGAAATCATAAAGAAACTGAGAGGACTGGGAAGAGCTTTAAGTCCGCTGGAAAATTTTATATTTTATTTTCCAAGAATTTGTTTCGATTGTCGCAAAACAAAACAAGAGGACTTATTCGATTGTCCACATTGTCCAATAGCAAGCTTTTGCTTAAACTGTAAAAATAATAAAACTCATGGTGTTTATTGTAAAGTAATAAATACTTATTTAAAAGTCTTAACTACCGCCGAGGAATTAAATATTGATTTAAAATTTCTATCGTCTGGTTTTTTATTTACTGGAGAAAAAGGTGATGTTATAGATGATCTTATAATAACATATGCAACAGAAGATATGGAAATTACTTGCAAAGAATCGAAATTATCTAAAATTGATCTAATTGATTTTATTGACGTTGCTTCGAAAATTAATAACGTTTTACTAAAAACACACGACACGATTCCAGAGGAATTGACAATTCATATCGATGCCCTTACCTATGAACACGCAATCACAAAAGAAAATTATTGGGAATTTCTCTTGCACCTCAATCCGCAGATAAAACAGTTAAAAATAGTCTTCACTTCAACTGAAAATGAGTCGAATTTAAAGACTTTTCTTTGTAAAAATTGTTATTCAGAGGGAAAGAATTTAAACCTGGAAATTTTGTCAAAATCTTACGACGATTACATGCTGGATGAAAGTTATCAAAAACCAGATATTCTGTTTTACGTGAAAATCGTCGATGAATGTAATTCTGAAAAATTGAATAAGTGGAGTGAGTTTAGTTTTCCAGTTGTTTTGCGGTTTGAATCAAATTCAAGATTTTGTAAAACACTACAATTTCTGTCGCTTTCAACAGCAAAGTTTGAATTTATTTACGAGGGACAATTTAAAACACCATTCGCTACATTGTCGTCACTTGAAAACAAAGACTACTTTATAATTTTACAATCAAAGGAAAACAAAGTCCTTCCTAATTATTGTGTTTCAGTCACAGGCGAAATCTGCGAGGAAAAAAGGAGGACAAACACAATTGAAACTGTTTTAGTTAAAAATATTGATTCCGAAATTCCGAAATGTGAGAATATTGCAGATGCTTCTAAAGTTACTGAGTCAGAACCAAAGGACAAGTGTCATTTTATTTCGACGGCCGTTACCATTTCTTCCACTGAGTCAAACAAGAATAAAAATGAAAATATACAAATTAAAACCAAGAAAAATCCCTCTAACGAAGAAGAGGAAAATAAAAGTACAGCAAATGCTGAACAAATAAAGGGACAAAAATCCGAAGATCGTAGAACACATTCTCCATCGTCATCTGTGTGTTCATTTGTAATTATTTCAGAACCCGGAGAAGAGGAGGGAGAAAAAATCACTGAAACTTCCAAAACTGAAGAAAATGAAAAATTTTCAAAATCTGTCGACAACAAATTTCTTGATTCAAATGAAGATGGAGGAAAAAATGTGGAAGGCGATAATACGCAAAAGAAGAATATAAAAGAGCGGAAAGAAGAGGAAGGAGAAAAAGAAGAAGATACAAAAAATCTGGCCAGTTGTAAAAGTTTCAACAAGGACATCAGTTTTTCTCAGTCGTATCTACTCGAACATATTTCGTATCTTAGAAACGAAATCGAAGGCTTACGACAACAATTAAATCTGTCTTTCAATGAGGTGACGAAACTGAATACAAAACTTGAAAAAGTTTCTTTAGATTCGCACAAAAAGGATGAGTTTATAAAGAAAATGTTACGCGATATTGTGGGGGTCGATTTTGATGACATTAAAATTGAATACACAGATTCATTGGGTGAAAACAACATTTAAATAGTGTTGAAGAAATGCCTCCATTTTTATTTCTTTAAAAGAAATCTTCTAGCTATTCTTTTTTTTTTGAATTTAAAATTCAATTATTACTTTCTTATTTTATATCTCCGTTTACTGTTTCAGTAATTTATAAATTGAAAAATATTTTTAAAAAAATGTGATGTATTATAAATACAATTAGTTCTACTTCGGTTTAAAAGAATGATTTTCGAATTTATATTTTTAGTTATAACAGAAAAATCGAACCACTGTTTTGAATTAAAAAAAATTAATTAATTAATTAATTAATTAATCAATTAATGTTTTTCTCGAAATAAATTTTCTTATTGAAATCTTACCATCTTTACAATTTTCTTTCAAGGTTTCTATATAGCGTTTCTAGTGAATGAAAATTTAAGTATTTCCTATAATTTTAATTTTTTATAATTATAGTATTTTCTGTATTATTTGAATATTGATTAGATTTGACTTTTAGTGGACGACTTTAGCGACTATAATTCAAATTTGAAGAGTATTTTTTACTTTAATTTGTGACGCGCTTCTAAAGAAAAGGTATCTAAGATAGCAATAGCAAATTATAGGTTATGATTGCGTTAGATTTTTCTTGATTAAAAGTTCCTTTTTGGTTATTTAAATTTGAAACGAGTTTTTATTCACTATTTTATATATAAAAAAGACTTGAATAACTATAATTTGTAATAATAATTGATTGTCTTTTTGTATTTTTACTCCAAAAATTATAAACATAACCTAGAATTTATTGCTTATTAGCCTTCTATGGAAACGCGTCACATTTATTTATATTAATTGTTATAATTGGTCAAATAATTAATTTCTATAATCTGAATTATTTCATTTTAACAATTATTTTTATTATCAATAACGTCAATAATGAAAAATTTCCCGGAAGAAGAATATTCTCGAAAATATTACCAAAATTTAATCACAAAATTTGCAACATGACAATAAACATTTTTTTCTATAAACATTGCTTCTTTAATTTTATTTATCAAAAATAATGGCAGTTTAGTACAATATTAAATTAGAAGTAATGCCAATTTACAACATTGTATTCGAATATAATATAATAACAATTACATTGTTTCAACATTTTTTAAAATTATAAAATCGCAGTTAAGAAATATTAATATGGAAAATCATTGAATTTTTAAATTCAAGATAAACGAATTTGTGAATATTGTTTTAAATAGAAATAATATAAAAGAGTATTTATTTTTTTAGTGATTTTAAGACTTAATCTTAAGTACTGAATCAATATCAGCAGTTGTATTGACAATATCACATAACACTTTTCTCATTAATTTATTCTCTTCGATTAAAGTCGAAAAGGATTGTTCATATTTTGTTTGTTGTTTTGACACTTCCTCGATAGATGCATTTAATCGTTTTCGTAACTCATCGATTTCTTTATTAAGATATGAAATGTGATCGATTAGAAACAATTGAGAAAAATTAGTTTGAGAATTGTCGAAATTTCCCATCTTAACACGAAAGTCTTTATCATTTTTTTGTTCTTCTTCTTCCTCCCTGCGCTTTTCTATTAGTTGAGTATTATTTTTTTCGTCTTCTTCTGTGTCTGAAGATTTATCGTTCTCGATTGATTTCGAACAATTATCATTTTCCTCAGGTTTGGAATTCTCAATCACAGTATTTTTTTCGACTTCCTCTTCTTTTTTTTCCTTCTCCTCTTCTTTGGATTTTGAAATAATTACAAAAGAACAAACTGATGATGATGACGATGGAGAAAGTGTTTTGTCCTCGGATTTTTGTTCCTTTATTTGTTCATCATTCGACGTATGAACTGCGGGCTCTGCTAAAATATTCAAATTTTTATTTTCCATTTTTTCGTTGTTAGAATTTTCCTCAACTTCGGTTTCGTTTGTTTTTGTATTTTCGTTCATGAATGCCTTGAGAAGAAAAGCAGCGGCTGATTGATTTCCGTTTGTTTCCAATTTTGATTTTTCGTTATTGTCAGAATTGTCTTTTAATTCTGACGGAGTAATTTTAGAAGTATCCGCAATAGCATCTGTACTATTATTTTTATATTGAAGATTTTCAAAACCAATTTTCTTAACTTCCAAAGGAATTTCAGTCCTGTTTGTATCAATTGTTTCCTCGCAGATTTTATCTGTAACTGTACCGCAAGATTTTTGAAGTACTTTCTTCTCCTTTGATTGTAAAATTATAAAATAATCTCTATTTTCAATTGACGATAATGTAGCGAATGGTGTTGTCAATTGTCCTTCGTAAATGAATTTAAACTTCGCTGTCGAAAACGAGAGAAAATGTTGTGTTTTGCAAAAATTGGAATTTATATCAAATCGCAAAACAATGGGAAAATCAAGTTCACTCCACTTGTTTAATCTTTCGGAATTACATTCATCATTGATTTTCACGTAAAAGAGAATATCCGGTTTCTGATAATTTTCATCTAGCATGTAATCGTCGTAGGATTTTGCTAAAATTGTAACAGTCAATTTTTTTCCTTTTGAACTACAACTTTCGCAAAGTGAACAATTTTCTAAATTGTTGTTCAATATCTCATTTACAACAATGACAATTTTTAATTCCCTTATCATTGGATTGAGATGGAAGAGAAATTCCCAATAATTTTCTCTTCTGATTGCATGTTTATAAGAGAGTGCATCAATATGAATGACAATTTCTTCTGGAATCCGGCCGTAAATTTTTTGCAAAGCATTCTGAAGTTTCGAAAATATGTTCATTAAGTTAATGAGACTTACTTTTAATAATCTGGAATTGGTACAGTTAAGCCGCATATCAGCTACTATGAATGTCTTTGTAAGTTCGCCCATAGTTCCGGTTTCCTTTCCATCTGTAATACATGGAAAATTATCAGAGAGAAATTCCAAGTCAATGTTCAATTCCTCTGCTGTGTTTAAAACGTTTAAATAACGTTTCATTATTTTACAATTTATAGTGTGAATTTTATCGTGAGGATGATTTTCACAAAAACTTGCCACTGGGCAATCAGGACAATTTGTTAGATTCTCTTGTTCTGTTGTATAGCAAACAAAACATATTCGAGGACGTTGAAACATTACATATTCCAAAGGACTTACTTTTCTTCCTAATTTATTTTTTATTTCTTCAAAAATTTCAGTTTGTTTTGTTGTCCATTCGGACCCACGTAAATTTGTAAGTTCTTCATAAATGTGCGATAATTCCTTTTCTATCATTAATTTTTTAATTAGTTTGCAAAATTTTTCATGAATTGGCAAATGATTCAATCGATGTGCTTCGGAGCAATAGGAGATCAAGTTGCAGTCACATCTTATTAAGTCGTCTCTCGATTTACATACGTAACACTCATTTGGCAAAAATCTCTCCATCTTGGAAGAAGAATTCATATTTTAGAATTTTTGTCCATGCAAAATGTGTCGGCAATCTAAATTTACGAAAACCTGCCAAATAAAAAATTGTTTCTTATCAAATTTTAAAAAAGAACATGTTTATAGTTTAGAACTTCAATAATTTAGTACATACATTATATATATATATATATATATATATTGAAAAATTTCCAAACAATTGAAATTTGCCAAAATATTTTAAAAATAATTGAATAATTTTGAAAAATATCAAAAAAAGTAATCAAATTTTTGAAGAATTTTAATAGTAAATAAATGGACATGATTTTTCCGAAATTTGAAAAAGACTAAAAAAATTAAATGTTTAAAAATTTTAATTTACTTTGTTGGAAAATAATTGAATCTTAAAAAAGTATGATAAAATAATTTTAAGCATTAGTTTTTTTAAAAATACTATTATAATTTTATTTTTCGAAAATAATTAAATTTCTTAAAAGAATTTTTGTGTAATTTAAAAAAAAACAAGTAATTTTTTTCAAGAATTTTAATTAAAAAATTTGAATATTATTGCTTTTTCCAAAAAGTTAAAAATAATTCTAAAAAATTTTAATTTTGTGTGTAAACTGAGAAACTAAAACGAAAATAAACTTTTGTCAAAGTTCCTGGAATAATATACGTTATTGAAAATTAATATAAAGTCACTTGAAAAAATCTGTAGTACCCCTGCTGGAAGTAAATAGATAGAAACCTTTTCTCTTTTAATCCCTTTCTATTGCTAATATAGAAAGAGATATGAATATTGTATAACTTTTAATCTCTTACCTATACTTCTTTATGCCTTTCTATTCCTACCTTTATCAACTTGTTCGCTATTTCTTTTAATCACCTTTTTTGAATAACTTTTAATAGCCATTTTAAACCCTTCTATCTCTTTTTATATACAATCTTATTACAACTTTTTGATATCCCTTTCAATCACCTTTTCTCTATTACTTTTAAAATCCTGTCTATTTCCTTGTATCTCTTTTAATGTTAGACCTTATAGACACTATTCTTTATGCCTATTAATAACCTATTCTCAATACCTTTTAATAACCTGTCTATAAACTTTTATCTCTTTTTATGACAGAAGTTCTCGATACTCTTCTTTCTCCTCATTTATAACCTTTTTTTAATAACTATTGATATCCTATTTATACCCTTCCATCGCTTTTTATGTAGGATCTTATTAACATTATTTATTACCATTATTCCCATTATTTAGATAGAAAAAGATAGAAATGCGAGACTGCAAAACTATAAACCTTTTTTATTCCTTTTTATCATTCTTCTTTTCCGAATGTTATTTCTTTAATCTTCTTTCAATCCCATATTCTATCTCCTTACTTCATTTAGAAGAGATAGGGATAGTTAAGAATATGGGGATTTGAGGAGATATAATAAGATTATCTCTTCTAATCTACTATAGTATATCCCTTTCTATATACATACTCATAAACTTATACGCGCATGCGTCGATCTTCCCAGCTGTTATGTGTCATGGCGTCGGGTCAGTAGATCAGAAAGCGTGTTTTATGCACTGTGCGATTTTACGTTTTTGTTTGAGTTTATAACTTCCATATTTTTAAAGTTTATTGTAAATATATTTAATCAATAAATGTTTATCAGTAATGGACAACCAAAATTAGTTTTAAACTCACACAGCATCGAAACTTTTCTAAAAATTTATTAAAGATTTACTTGCAAATTTTTTATAGTTAATCGTAATGAATTAGAACAACACGATTAAGAAACTCAATTAACAACAATAGAGAAAGTTTTTAATTGAAATTAATCGATTTCTTCTATAAGGGATATCTCCTTTTTTACTTTCCTTTGGATTAGAAAGGATGTGAAAATGGATAGAGGAAGACAGAAATGTATGAATAGAAAGAGATTGAATAGTTCTATCTTCTTTAATTCACCACTTTGCATCCCCAATTTTTTATCTCTTTCTATATATTTTTTTCTATATATTTCTATATCTAAAACTGTATATAAATAGATTAGAAGGGATAAAAAGAGATATAAATATAAAGTTATAGAAAGAGATAAAAAATTTGTATCTCTTTTAAGTATCCATTTTGCATCTCCAAACTATTATATCTTCTAATCTTTTCTTTATCCCCTTTTTTTAATCTCTTTGTATCTCTTTACTTCCAGCAGGGACAATTAATAAACTAAATTTATGACTTTTCAATATAGACAAAAGCACAGAATTTTCAAGAAATATGAAAATATAAAGCAGAAAAGTTTACTATATTTTACTTACAGGTTTAAACTTTCAATTAACTTTTAACAATAACAATAATAGAAAAAAACGGAAAAGCAGCGGAAAAGAACGGAATAACCCAACCAATCCAACATTTAGTGTTTTACAAACATAGAATAGTTAGATAATTGAGAATCAACTCTTATTTTAATATGGACTATAGTCATAAAGAGTAAGGTAACAACATTAAGGGTCCAAGGACCCTTCAAAAAATATGAATTTCTTTATTATGCAGAGAATTTTAACAAAGTTTAATAAATTCTAAAAAAGGAAAAAAACATTGATTTTTCATATAAATTTATTAGAACTTTAATGACAGTCGTAATATTTAAATATTTTTATAAAAATACAATTTTAGTCTAAATACCTATAAAAAAAATACAAATCATTATAATAAGTGATTGAATTTTTAATTCAAAACAGTGTTAAATAAAAATATAAAGTTGATAATCATTCTTTTAAACCGAAGTAGAACTAATTGTATTTATAATACATCACATTTTTTTAAAAATATTTTTCAATTTATAAATTACTGAAACAGTAAAAGGAGATATAAAATAAGAAAGTAATAATTGAATTTTAAATTAAAAAAAAGAAAAGCTGCAAGATTTCTTTTAAATAAGAAATAAAAATGGAGGCATTTTTTAAGGAGGAATGGTATACCTAATCGGGCCAAAAGTTTGTGACACTTAGGGGAATTTGTAATTTTGTTATTTAAGCTACATATAGCAGTTTTTCTTATTGAAATCATAAAAGTAGACATCAATGAATATTAAAAAGTATATATTAAATAAGGAAAAGATAATAAATTAATGAAATTAATTTTTTTTATAAAAGCAGAAAATAATTTTTGTTACTGTCTGTACGAATTTAAAACCTAAGAAAATAAAAGTTACTGAAATTTTCTAAAAATTATTTTCGGATTTATCGAGTATTCCATTGCAAACTTTGAAAAAATGCTATTATTACGTATATATGTGTCTTATTATGCTGTAATATTAATGTTATTAATTATAAACATTGTCAAATAACAATTTGTAATGAGCGTTTAATCGTGACAACCTCGCAATGCAAGTAGTTTGTTTTTTGATCGTTGGTAACAGTGTCAAGTGTTATGATTTGCATTTATATCCTTTCTAAAAAAATGCAAAGCAGAAAAAGCTCGAATTGAAGAAAGTCGAACTCGAAAAGTATCGAAGCAAGAAATAAGCATAGAGAATAAAAAAGAACATAGAAAGCGCACCTCACACTCTAAATGTAAACGAAATAGATGGAGCTGTCTTGGGTTTGTCTGGTTTATCTCAAGAAAAATTTATAAATAAAATTATTTTATTTATAAATAAAATGAAATCATAAATAAAAAAAAGAAGGATATCAAATAATAAAAATATAAAAATTAAAAATATAAAATAGAATTTAATTAAAAATTAAAATAGAATTAAGAATAAAGCAGCAACAAAGTCGACCGCCAAGCGGTCGACGAGGGCTCTTGTGTGGTTAAAAATAATGAAAATTTGTCGTTTTTGGTACCTTTGGCGCCATCTCTTGGTTCTATGTACCACTAAACAGCTGTCACATGTGAGACTTTATATACAGTGTTGCCACGTTTTCTCTGTTTGTCTGTCATAAAATTAGTTTTTGTCTTACCTGCACGAAAAGTATGTCATTTCGGGCACTTAAGGCGGGCGCAAAGTAACACATTACGCCCGGGAGTGGAGGAAGCGGGCGGAAAAGTATTTTGCGCCCGCTTGTATGACGTCAGCGGGCGGTAAAGTATTTTCCGCCCGCTTCCCCTACCTCCGAGCGGGCGGAAAATACTTTACCGCCCGCTTGTTAATTATTTGATTTTCTTCATTAAAATGCGACATTTTCGACTTTCTTTTTATGTTGACTATAAAACTGCAAACATTTTCAACTTGTTTTATTTTGTCTATAAAAATTTGCAATTTTTTTTTCTCTAAAAAAAATAATGAGATATTTGGTTATGTTTCCATTTCGTTTATCAAAATTGTCAATTTTAAAAGTTCCTGTTTCAGTTTTGTTCAATTATTAATTACTACGTTCTAAATAAATACTATGTTTCCAGAATACATTGTTTTTTATTTCTATTTTAAAACTTCTATCATTAGAGACTTCATTCGATATAATGTTTATATAGAGCCTAATTTTTAACTAATATGAGAGTTTAATCGTGCGTGCCATCAATGCCATACTTTCCATGCAGTTAGGACAAAAAATTATGTTCGCATCATGGGCGCAAAGGTGATTACGACTTTGGCGAAATTTCGGGACCTCGGGGACACTTTCGCTCCCTCGGCTTCGCCTCGGGCGCGAAATTGTGTCCCCTCGGTCCCTTTATTTCGCCATCGTCGCAATCACCTATTTTGCGCCCTTGTTACGAAAATAACTATTTCTTCCAGAAACTAATTAATTACTTTTAAACTACTTAGTGAATAAAAAAGAACCTTCGTGATTAATAAAGCTTAAATCTTGACCTTCAAGATACAATTTTTGCAAAAAATTCTGAATGTTTTAAGTATTAAATTTTTAATGATAAACATGCAAATTCGTGCTTTCTCCATAAGAGGTAATGTTAAATTAAATAATTTTTAACTTATAAACTATTTAGTGAAAAATTCTGAAATTTGGTGGGTAACTTTATTATATAAAAGCAAATCATTTCCCAAAATATCAAAAGATTCTGAATGTTTTGAATTTCTATACCATTCCTCCTTAAATATTTTTTTCACACAATGAATCTGTGTCTTTAATTTTAATGTCTTCATAGTCAACAATAACAAGTAATAATTTCTTTATTACCTTTTCCTTTTTATTTAAATTAAAAGAAACATGATCAAGTTTTGTTTGCAGATTCGTTACCTCATTAAGTGACAAATTTAATTGTTTCCGTAAATCTTTGTTTTCGTTTTCAAGAAACGAATTACGTTCGATTAGATACGATTGAGAAGAATTAATTTTATCGTTCTTTTTGACAATTTTTCTTTCTTCGCCATTTGGATCAAAATTTTCCTTATCGTTAGACTTTGAACAATTGTTACTATTTTCAGTTTTCGATTTTTTATTCTTCTTTCCTGCCTCCTCTTCACCGCGTTCGTCAATAGCTGCAAATGAACGTTTCGATGACGATGGAGAAATTGTCACGCGATCTACGGATTTTCGTTCCTCATTCAATTCTTTGCTTTTGTTTCTATCAACAAGAATTTCAGTTGTAGTTGTACCAATATTTTCCCCGTTGATTTCGCCTGTAGCTGTATCACAAGATTTTTGAAGTACTTTGTTCCCTTTTGATTGCAAAATTATAAAATAGTCTTTGTTTTCAATAGACGATAATGTACTGAATGGTGGTTTTAATTGTCCTTTGTGAATAAATCGAAACTTTGCTATTAAAAGCGAGAGCAAATGATGTACTTTAAAAAAATTTAGTTTTGAATCAAATCGCAAAATGATGGGACAATTTAATTCACTCCACTTATCAAATCTTTCGGAATTACATTCATCATTAATTTGAACATAAAACAGAATGTCCGGTTTTTGATAATTTTCATCTAGCATGTAATCGTCGTAAGTTTTTGACGAATATTCAACAATTAATTCTTTTTCCTCTAAATGACAATTTTGACAAAGAGACGTCTCCAAATTGTCCAGATTTTTAGTTGCAGTGATGAGAATTTTTAACTTTTTCATCTGCGGATTGAGATGCAAGAGAAATTCCCAATAATTTTCTTTTGTAATTGCGTGTTCGTAGGAAAGGGCATCGATATGAATTATCAGTTCTTCTGTAATCGTTTCGTATAGTTTTTGTGAAGCCCTATTAATTTTCGAAGCTACGTCCATAAAGTTAATAAGGTCCTTTTTCAATAATCTCGATTTCAAACAATTTTCCTCCATGTCCATTGTATGATATGTGAGTGTAAGTGAGTCCATAACTTGATTTACTTTTTCTTCCGTAATACACGGAAAAGTAGGAGACAGAAATTCCAAGTCAATATTAAATTCCTCTGCTGCGTTAAGAATTTTCAAATATTGATTCATCACTTTACAATTTATACTATGAAGTTTATCTTGAGAATGATTTTTACAAAAACTTGCCAGTGCACAATGGGGACAATTGTTTAAATCTTCATGTTGTGTATTAGAACAATCGAAACAGTTTCGCGGACGGTCAAACATAAAATTTTCTAATGGACTAAAATTTCTTTCCAATTTCTTTTCTATTTCTTGATAAATTTCATCTTGTTTCATCGTCCAAAGGGAGCCACCCACATTTGTAAGCTCTTCATAAATATGTGCCACTTTTTTCTCTTTTAATAATTCCTTAATTACTTTGCAAAAACTTTCGTGAACTGGTGAATGTTTTAATCGATGATCCTCAGAACAATAAGAAATCATGTTGCATTCACATCTTTTTAAATTGTCCCTCGATTTACAAATGTAGCACTCATTTGGCAGAAATCTTTCCATCTTTGACGACTTCATATTTTAGAATTTCTTTCTTATTTCTCCGAAATTTGCGGAAACCTGCGTAAATAAAAATTTGTTTCTTATCAAATATTAGCAAAAATCGATGTATTATAGAAAATCAATAAAAGATACAAAAAAAATTTTAACCCTCTCCCAATTTAAGTAATGAAGACTTAAACATTAATATTTTGTATACCTATAAGTAAAATGGATTCTCTTTCTGTATTTATAATATTAAAATTTATAAACATAACCTAAAATTTTTTGCTTTTTAGGTAACTTTCGTGGGAAGCGCGTCACAATTATTTGGAAAATGAAAGAAATCTATTTCTGCACTGTAACAAATGCTTATTGAATTTTTAATCTAAAGTGTAGTTAAACGTTCGAATTTTATTGCAAAAGTACTTTTGAATTTCCTATTCCCAATTAGTTTAAATTAATAAATTTCATTTATAAATTTTTGATTGACAAACCTTTGAGTTTTTAAGAATTTTCTTACATTTAGCAATTGTTAATATTTTATTGATGACAATTAAAAAACCTCACTTGACACTTGACACCGTCTGACAGTATTTTTACAACATAGAATAGAAAAAGAATAGATCTACAACTATATATTTCTAATTTTGTGTTTATGTTAGGCTCAAAAGCCGAAAACGGCCAATGGCCGAAAAAAACAGCCAAACCTAGTTTTGGCAAGTGCAGTTTTGCCAAAACTGGGTTTGGACGTTTCACTTCGGCCATTGGCCGTTTTAAATTGCCAAAACTAGTTTTGTCAAATCGACATTTGCCAAAACTAGTTTTGACAATTTAAATTCGGCCATTGGACGTTTCTAATTGCCAAAACTAGTTTTGGCAATTTGACTTTTGCCAAAACTGGTTTTGTCAATTTGACTTTTGCCAAAACTAGTTTTGTCAATTTGACTTTTGCCAAAACTGTTTTTGTCAATTTGACATTTGACAAAACTAGGTGAGGCATTTCAAATTGTGAGAAAGACCGCTTCGTTATACAATAGGAATATATTTATTTAAAAATGTGTCATTGATTAATATTATTTACAATAAAATAAAATTTCTCTAACAAAAATCCATTAATATTTTGCACATAAAAGTTAATTAAAAAAACTTTTTTAACACTTATTTATTTTTACACGCGATGTTGGAGTGACATTTAGAGTTGCACTGGCTATTACAAGTTGAGAGCAAAGACTAATTTACCTTGTTGACGATTTCTTATTTCATACACACAATCATTCAATACAGAAACAATACAGAATACAGAAACAATATGCTAATTCTAAACAAATTTCCTATTAATACGGCGGTCTTTCTTTTTCTTTTCTTTCTTTCTTTCAATTTCTCACAATTTGAAATGCCTCACCTAGTTTTGTTAAATGTCAAATTGACAAAACTAGTTTTGGCAAATGTCAAATTGACAAAACTAGTTTTGGCAAAAGTAAAATTGACAAAACTAGTTTTGGCCGAATTTAAATTGCCAAAACTAGTTTTGGCAAATGTCGATTTGACAAAACTAGTTTTGGCAATTTAAAACGGCCAATAACCGAAGTGAAACGTCCAAACCCAGTTTTGGCAAAACTGCACTTGCCAAAACTAGGTTTGGCTGTTTTTTTCGGCCATTGGCCGTTTTCGGCTTTTGAGCCTAACATTTACATGCAATGTAATGTTATCTAGGGTCCAAGGACCCCAAAGGAAAATTAGAATCGTTAGAATTTCTTTATTGTATAAATACAGGACAATTAGGTTTAAAATAATTTCAAAATTTAATTCTCGCTAAACTTTTCGTTTTAATTTTTATGAATATTGACAATAAGAACTGAGTTTCCGCGTAGGTAAATATTAAAATCCTTAAATTGTCCATTTATTTTCACTTTCCATCTTAAAAACTATATAATCTGACTTTCTATTTTTAATAAAATTCTTCAAAATTCAATTATTTTTCGAATTTTTTTTAAACAATTGATTTTAAGAAGAAATTTAGTTAAAAATTCCAAAACTTAATTAAATTTATGACATTTTAAGTAGTAGATACAAATGTTATTTAGAAATAATTCAATTTCTATTTTTTCTGTATTTTAAATCGATTAAAACGATATTCTCTCGGCCAATCAGAGGGCGGAAAAAAAATAAAAGCATTGATTTTTCATAAAAAAAATGTATTAAATTCATAACGACAATCTCTATATTTAAACGCAACGGATTTAAATTTTCTTTTCTTCATATACACTGAATCAGTGTTTTCAAAGTTGACAAATACGCGAAATCAATTCGGTATTACCTTTTCCTTTTTCTTTAATTCAAAACAAACCTGATCCAATTTTCTTTGTAGTTTCGTAATTTCTTTGAATGCCAAATTTAATTGTTTTCGCAAAGCTTCGTTTTCATTTTCAAGATGCGAAACATGTCCGATTACATAGGACTGAGAAGAATTATCCGTTTCATTGTTTTCGAAACTTTCCGAATTGATGAGAATTATTTTCTCATCTCCCTCTTCTATATTCTTCTTTTCCACATTATTCTCTTTCGTATTTTTCCCTTCTTCGCCATTTGGATCAAAATTTTCCTTATCGTTAGACTTTGAACAATTGTTACTATTTTCAGTTTTCGATTTTTTATTCTTCTCTCCTTTCTCCTCTTCACCGGGTCCGGAAATAGCCGCAAATGAACGTTTCGATGACGATGCAGAAGGTTTCACATAATCTACGGATTTTCGTTCCTTATTCGATTCTTTATTTTTGTTTCTATCTGCAAGACTTTTAGTCGTATTCTTACCAATTTTTCCCTCGCAGATTCCGCCTGTTACTGAATCAGAAGATTTTTGAAGCACATTGTTTTCCTTTGATTGCAAAATTATAAAATAATCTTTGTTTTCAATAGAGGATAATGTACCGAATGGTGTTTTCAATTGTCCTTCGTGAATAAATCGAAACTTTGCTCTAGAAGACGAGAAAATGTGTTGTGCTTGACAAAAATTGGAGTTTGAATCGAATTGCAGAATAATGGGACAATTTAATTCTCTCCACTTATTAAATCCTTGAGACGCTCTTTTAATATTGATCTGAACATAAAACAGTACGTCCGGTTCTTGATAATTTTCATCCAGCATGTAATCTTCGTAAGATTTTGCTGAAGCTTCAAGAATGAAATTTCTTCCCTCTAAATGACAATTTTTACAAAGAGATTTTTTAAATCGAGATGGATCTCGAGATGTAGTCATGACAATTTTTAATTTTTTAATCCGTGGATTAAGATGCAACAGAAATTCCCAATAATTAACTATTGCTACTGCAAAATCATAGGTAAGCTCATCGATGTGAATTGTCAATTCCTCTGGAATCGTGTCGTGTATTTTTTGTAAAGCGTTATTCAGTTTTGAAGCAAAGTCAATAAAATTAATGAGAAAAATTTTATCTGATTTTGACATCGGTCCGAATATGATCGTTCTACTTGTTTTGTATGTCATTGTAAGATCATCTATAGCATCAGCTTTTTCTCCAGTAAATGGAAAAGCAGACGATAGAAAATCTAAATCAATATTTAATTTCTCGGCCGTTGTCAATACATTTAAATATGTATTCATTACTTTACAATATTCTTCATGAATTTTATCATTTTCGTGTTCTTTGCAAAAACTCGCTATTGGACAATGTGGACAATTAATTAAATCCTCTTGTTTTGTTTCGTTACAATCGAAACAAATTCTTGGAGAATAAAACATAAAATTCTCCAGTGGACTTAAAGCTCCTTCCAGACCTCTCAGTTTCATTATGATTTCCTTACGGATTTCTTTTCTTTTTGTATTCCACTCGGGACCATATATATCATTAAGCTCTTGATAAATGTGAGTGATTCCTTTTTTTCCAACAATGCTTTTATTGCTCTGCAAAAATCTTCGTGAATTGATAGGTGTTGTTGTCGATGATCCTCTGAACAATAGGAAATCATGTTGCATTTGCATCTTATTAAATTTTCTCTCGATTTGCAAGTGTAGCATTCATTCGGAAAGCATCTGGCACTTTTTAAATAAATAGGCATCTTTACTGGGTTAAACCGTTTTCAACTGGTTTTTCGAAATCTAAAAATAGAAAACAATAAATTCAAGAAAAAAATTTTTCCTTATTATTTTATAGCTAAACTAGCTCTTCAGTAACTATATTTATTATAAAAATGTAGAAAATGGAAATTCAGAAAGTTTTTTTTAAAGTTTGTTAAATAATTAATTTGTGACGCGCTCCCAAGAAAACTAGCTAAAAAGCAGAGGAATCATAGTTTTGTGTTTGTGTTAGATTTATATCTTGACTAAAAGTTCCTTTTTAATTATGTTAATTTGAAACCAGATAATTTTATTCAATATTTTTGATGTAACGAAGAGTTAAACATCAATAATTTGCAGTAGTGATTGAATTTCTTTCTGTATTTTCGTTCCGAAAATTATAAACTTAATCTCAACTTTTTTCTATAGCGTCTAGCCTTTTTTTGCAATTTTTTAAAACTTTTTTTTCTAGCAAGTTTCAAAATATTAATTAAAATACAGGGAAAAATTAATTGATTTAATGTAACGCAGTGATTGAATATTTAAAAACCATGAAAAATGAATTGTGGTTGAAACTCTTTTTCTTTTAAAAAAAAAAAAGTTACCTTTTCTTTCTCTTCTCAAGTTGACGTAAAAATCTCGCTTAAATTGAACAATCAAATTAAGTTTTGTGTATATTTTACTCACATTTTAACAACTTTCATTTATTAACAACAATTAGAATATTATTAAAGTTAAACTTTTCGACATAGAATAATGAATTAACACAGAATCACAAATACATATACATAACTGCAATATTTGAATGTCACAGACAGTAGGGCTTATGGACCCCTAGCTTCTTAAATTGAATTATACGGAGTTGTAAATTCTACGAAAATTTTCTAGAAAAAAAAATTAATTTTTCATATATGTAAATTTATTCATAATATCAGAACATTTATAATGTCAACATCAGTATTTAAATAATTTTATGCAAAGCGCATTTCTAGTTTAAATATAAAAAAGAAATACACAAGCATTGTAAAAAGTGATTGAATTTTTAATTCAAAACAGATTTTTCTGTTAATCAAAAATAAAAATTCGATAAGTATTATTTTAAATCGAAATAGTGCTAATTGTATATATCACATTTTTTTAACAATATTTTTTAACTTATAAATCACTGAAACAGTAAACGGGGATATAAAATAAGAAAGAAATAATTGAATTTTAAATTTAAAAAAATATAAAAACTAGAAGTTTCCTTTTAAAAAAATAAAAATGGAGGCATTTTTTCAATACGGATTAAATGTTGTTGTTTTCACACAATGAATCTGTGTATTCAATTTTAATGTCTGCAAAGTCGACAATGTCGCATAATATTTTCTTCATAAACTCATCCTTTTTGTGTGAATCTAAAGAAACTTTTTCAAGTTTTTTTTGCAGTTTCGTTACCTCATTGAAAGATAAATTTAATTGCTGTCGAAGACCTTCGATTTCGTTTCTAAGATACGAAATATGTTCGAGTAGATACGACTGAGAAAAACTGATGTCCTTGTCGAAACTTTTACAACTGACGCTAATTTTTTTATTTCTCTCTTCTTTCCGCTCTTCTATATTCTTCTTTTGCGTATTATCGCCTTCCGCATTTTTTCCTCCATCTTCATTTGAATCAAGAAATTCGTTGTCGACAGATTTTGAAAATTTTTCATTTTCTTCAGTTTTATTTTCTCCTTCCTTTTCTCCGGGTTCTGAAATAATTACAAAAGAGCATACAGATGACGATGGAGATATTGTTCTACGACCTTCCGATTTTTGTCCCTTTATTTGTTCAGCATTTGCTGGACTTTTATTTTCCACTTCTTCGTTAGAGGGATTTTTCTCGGTTTCAATTTGTATATTTTCATTTTTATTCTTGTTTGACTCAGTGGAAGAAATGGTAACGGCCGTCGAAATAAAATGACACTTGTCCTTTGGTTCTGACTCAGTAACTTTAGAAGCATCTGCAATATTCTCACATTTTAGAATTTCGGATTCAAGATTTTTAACTAAAACAGTTTCAGTCGTGTTTGTCCCATTTTTTTCCTCGGTGGTTTCATTCGTAGCTGCAACGAAAGATTTAGGAAGGACTTTGTTTTCCTTTGATTGTAAAATTATAAAGTAGTCTTTGTTTTCAAGTGACGACAATGTAGCGAATGGTGTTTTAAATTGTCCCTCGTAAATAAATTCAAACTTCGCTGTTGAAAGCGACAGAAATTGTAGTGTTTGACAAAAGATCGAATTTGTGTCAAATCGCAAAATTACGGGACAGTTAAGTTCACTCCACTTATTTCGTTTTTCAGAATTACACTCATCGACGATTTTCACGTAAACCAGAATATCTGGTTCTTGATAATTTTCATCCAGCATGTAATCGTCGTAAGTTTTTGACGAATATTCAACAATTAATTCTTTTTCCTCTGAATGACAATTTTGACAAAGAGACGTCTCTAAATTGGACCAATTTTTGGTTGCAGTTGTAACAATTTTTAACTTTTTTATATGTGGATTGAGATGCAAAAGAAATTCCCAATAATTTTCTTTTGTGATTGCGTGTTCATAGGTAAGGGCATCGATATGAATTGTCAATTCCTCTGAAATCTTTTTATGCATTTTCTGTAAAGCACTATTAATTTTCGAAGCAACGTCAATAAAATCAATTCGATCGATTTTAGATAATTTCGACTCTTTCTTAAAACTACTTTTTGTTTCAACTGTGTTATACGATACTGTAAGATAATCTATGCACTGATTTAGCCACTCTTCGACAAATGGAAAGCCAAATGATAGAAATTCTAAATCAATATTTAATTTCTCGGCCGTTGTTAATATATTTAAATATGTATTCATTACTTTACAATATTCTTCATGAATTTTATCATTTTCGTGTTCTTTGCAAAAGCTCGCTATTGGACAATGTGGACAATCGAATAAGTCCTCTTGTTTTGTTTCGTGACAATCGAAACAAATTCGTGGAGAATAAAACATAAAATTCTCCAGTGGACTTAAAGTTCTTCCTAGTTTCTTTATGATTTCATTCCGGATTTTTTCTCTTTTTGTATCCCATTCGGGCCATTCGGGATCATCATACAAATTCTGAAGCTCTTTAAAAATGTGAGTAATTTCTCTTTCTTCCAACAATTCTTTTACTGCTGTGCAAAAATCTTCGTGAATTGATAGGTGTTGTTGTCGATGATCTTCGGAACAGTAGGATATCATTTTGCATTCGCATCTTATTAAATTTTCTCTCGATTTGCAAATGTAGCATTCATTCGGAAAGCATCTGGCACTCTTTGAATAAATGAAGCTCATTTTTTGTGTCAAACGGTACGTGTATATTGAAATGTTTTTCGAAATCTGTAAAGAAAAAATAGTAGTAAATTTAAAAAGAAGAAATATTTTTCGTATTTTATTGTCAAAGTTCTTTATTATATTATATAAAAATATATAGTCTAAACGTGCCAATTATAACGCGATCTTTGTTTAACTGCCTTTGAAATAGAGAATTTGACAATTATAATGAAAGAAGTAAATTTATGGCTTATTAAACTAAAAGGTCGTGTCATTTAGATAATAAAACATTAATAATAAAACTTTATAGAAATTAATTATTTAAACAAATTAAAGTAATAAAAAAAAATCGTCAATTACGGCGCGATTGAGTCCGAGTTAAACAGTTTTTTTGAGAATATCAGGAAAAATATCTTTATTTCTTATTACTTTCTTTTTTCAAGTTGACCTTAAATTCTTCTTAAATAAGAAACATTTTTTTATTTCGACCATTTTTACTGAATTAGAATTTAAAATTAAAAATAATTTGCATATTAAGAGATGAAATTTTCCTCTTTAGCAAAAGTTCAATTTTTCTGTACAATTATTTTTTGTTTCAAAATATATTAAACAATCAAATTAATAAGTTTAATGTACGTATTATACTTACATTGTATATTATTTATAAACAGCAATTAGAATATTATTATTATTATTATTAAAGTAAACTATCACTGACAATGAGACAAGAGGGTCATTAAGAGCAATCTGACTTGTCTGTTCAGAATTTCAGATTTTTTATAACATAGAATATAGAGCTAATAGAACTACAACAACTATAATATTAGCAATTTTGTTGTTACATGCAAATGTAATTTTATCAAGGGTCCAAGGACCCCCTAAACCGTAATCGTATCCTTTTCCAACTCATTATTCCGCTTGCGTTTATCAAAATATATTTTGACTTATATACTTACTTTTTTTACATTTTTATAAATAATATATTGACAATAATAAGAGATTTGCCGCGTAAGTTAAGAAAATCAGAAAATTTTATCCAAAATAAAGTAAAAATATCAAATTTATATTCAACGATAATTCAATTACCCCAGTACCCAGTAAAAAAAAACTAATTCAAATGAATTGAAACGAATTAACATTTTTGGTAGGCTCCAATTCGTATTTGTCACAAAGCGGGATTCACTCAAGCTCTTTGTATATTCAATTGAATTTAATTCAATATGTACCAATTTGTCCAAACGAATTCGCATTCGAAAGAAATGGCCAAGGAATGCATTGAATTCGTGCTAACGAATTGAAAAAAATTAAAGGCTCAAAACTTGTCCAGTGAATTGGTACGGATAGAAGGTTCGGAAGTTCAATACAGTTTCACGAATTCAGGAAAATTGCATCATGGCTCCAATTCGTATTTGTCACAAAGCGGGATTCACGAAAGCTCTTTGTGAATTCTTTTTAATTCATTTCAATTAGTTTTCGTTTACTGGGTAGCACGTAATGTTCCGGTAATTCTCTACGCAGAATTTCCATTATTTTTAATGAAATTTTAATCGAATTCTTTGATAAATGTAATAATTATCCTTCAAAATTTTATTAAAATTCAAAAATTTGTTAATAAAATTCTTTAAGAATTCAATTTTGAGAAACACTCAAAAAATTATTTATTTTTTAATTTAATTTTAAATAATTGAATTCTCGAAGTACTTTTTAATAAAAAATTATTTGAAAAGTAAATTTCAGTTAAAATTTAAAATTTTAGATAAATAATTCATCGATATTAAAAACACATTGTCGTGGATTTTTAGAAATAATTGAATTTTGAAAAGGTTTCAAATTAAAATCTTTGAAAATTTGAACTTTCAACACTTTTAATTAACAATTCTGTTTAATTAATTTTTTTTAAGAGTTTTATTAATTTTCTAAAAATTATTTCAAGTTTTTATTTTCTAATATATATTTAATTGAAAACTTTCTGAATAATCGTAATTTCGTGATATTGAGTTTGTAAACAAATGAATTTGAAATTTTGAATTATTTTCCAAATAAGGGTCTCTTTTCGGAAGTTTACCTAATTTTTATAAATAATTATTCAAAAAAAATTGTTGAAACATTCGGAAATTTCTTTTCATCTTGAGAGGAGACAATATATTTTTAGTTCATATTTGGAGGAATAATAGAGGAAGGCCTACTGAGTGGAGCTCTTCTCCACTTTTGCAAAAACATTGCGAGAAAATTATTTTATTAAAAATTGAAAGACTAATTTGATTGATAAATACAGATCGGGCTATCGAAAGCGAATTATTATTTAATTTAATAAAAAATGTTTAATTCGTGGATGAAAAAATAATAACTAATTAAACATTTATCTAAGAAAATTGTTAATGTTGTGAATTGTAAAACTATTTTTTATTTTTTTAGATTGAGCCCCACTGGTTTTTGTCGACTTACAGAACAAATTTTGAGAAAAAGATAAAATTTCGACAAGGATTACATTCAGTCATTCAAATTCTGGCCAAAGATCAAGAAAAATTGTTTGGTAAAGTAATTTCTTTATTTTTATAAATTATTAATTATTATTTATTACTAACAAATATTCGGCGCGAAACTTGATGTTCATTTTATTATTATATTGTTATTATAAAAATTACAAAATTATTTATTAATATATAAACATTCAAGTTTTTAATAATTTTCAGATTAATAATTTAATAAAACTTCACGAAAGGAGTCAATTATTTTTTTTTTAATTTTTAAAAGAATTTTTCGAAAGAATTGCAATTATATTCTATATAAGTAATTTATGCAATTATTTTTATAAATAGTAAAATTCTTCGCAAGAATTACATTATTTTTATACGAATAATAAAATTCTTCTTCAATAATTTTTAATTCAATTTTAATAAAAATTCAATAGGTAATCAAATTTTTAATTATAATTATTAACAGATACGATTAATTCTATAAAAAGTTGACAGAAATTCTTTGTTTAATTCAATTACTTTCAAAATTTTCAATTAAAATTATTTTAATTAAAAAAACTTAAAGAAATTCATTAAACGAATTTCATTATTTACAAAAACTCTAATAAAATTATTAAAAAGATTAATATGAATTTCTATTAATAGTTTTAAGAAAAATTACCAGTAAAATTCTTAATTACAATTATTAGCAAAATCGATTACATTCAAAAAATTAATGGAATTTTTTGAAAGACTTTAATTATTAAATATAATTGAATTCTTTCAAATTACTTATATTATTTATAAGTAATATTTATAAGTATTACTTATAAGAATAATTGAATTGTTTAGAAGAATTTTTGTAAATAATTGAATGTTTTGATAAGAGTTTTATTCAAAATTTGAAAAATAATTAAATTTAATCAAAAAATGTTATTAAAACGTTTAAAAATAATTTAATTCTTCTGAAGAATTTTATTGTTAATGAAAATAATTGCAATTCAGCGATGAGTTTTATTATTTATGAAAATAATTGAATTCCTCAAAAGAATTTTATCAAAATTGTTGAAAATCATCGTATTGAATTAATATTTTTAAAAATAATTCTATTCTTTCGATAAATTGAATTAAAATTGTTTATCATTGAAATTAAAAAAATTAATAATTAAATTCTTCAAAAAAATGTTATTATTTATGAGAATAATTGAATTCATGCGAAAAATGTTATCAAAATTTTTGAAAATAATAAACAACAATATTTAATTACGTACTTAATAAAACAATTTTTAGAATTTTTAATCTGTAATTTTTAAATTATATTTCATAGAACTTCTTTAAGAAAACAATGCGTTTTTTCTGATTTTACGATTTTAAAAGTTAATTTCTAAATTTAATGATTTAACAATAAATGTTAATAAAGCACTTGCTGTTTCAAAGATCCCTTCCTTAAAATTATACTTGGAATCATTGCGAAACATTAATGGATTCTTTTGTTGCTTCAATTTTCCGATTTCGTATTGTAAAGTTGCAATGAATTTCACCGAATGCAATATTGGCTTAAAATATTCATCCAAATTGTTTGCTAAAATTAATGTTGCCGGATACTGTTCATTATTTGTCGGTACTTTGACATTATGAAGCGGTGAAAATTTAATTATATTCTCAAAATTTTGTCGATCGTCAGAATTACAGAATTCCGATATTAAATAATCATCAGATGTGAATTTATGAAAACGTAAAATGTCATAGATTCCATTAACAATAACAGCAGCTCCAAATAAATCCGGTTTTTGATTAATGCAAGCGCCAACTACAGAAGCTCCATCAACATCTCCTTTAATTATCAACTTTCCTCTCGAAGTGTATCCATTTTTAATGAGATATTCAGCTGCGGATTGAAAATCATCGATTCCATTTTGTCTATTCTGTAAAATTCCATCCTTGCGCCATTCATCACTAGATTCATCACTTCCCCGAATATGTGCTTGTGCCAAAATTCCATTAAAATTCTGAGTAAAAATTACATTTTCGTCTCGAAAGATTGGTGAGTTTAAGATGCCCAAGCCTCCTTTTACGGAAAGAAGTGCTGGCATTGAACCATCAAGTTTCGCACCCTTTCTCATTACGATTGTCATTGGAATTTTTGTACCATCCTTACTGGGATAGAAGACACGAAATACTTCATAGAGACTTGAATCGAAATTTTGTACTTTTAATTCATGGTAAATTTCCAGTTTATCAAATGATTTTACATTTACTCTGTAGGTTATTGTCGGAATTAAGAATGACGAGAAATCAAAGGTGCACTCATAATGTTTTCTATTTCCACGGATCCTTTCAGAAATTTTTCCAATTCCGACATCAAGTTTTTTTATTAGTTTTCCACTTTTCAAACTGTGCAATTGTAAAATGTAATCTGTATCACAAAGTGCGTAAGTTTTATCACAAACATAATCAATAATGAATTTATCATTATCTACAATTGTCACATCTCTGATGAATTTGTCCGGTTCTTCGGGCACTAAAGTTGTCCAATTCGCTTTTTTGTAATTCAATAAATCGATTGCTATAATTTTCCTTTTCGGAGCATTCAAATTTGTTAGAAAAATTGCCTTTGTACCGTCATTTCCAATATACTGAAAATAGTAAAAAAAAATCATTAATATTTTCCCGACTGTTCTCATCTGAATTGAAATTTCCTTTATTACACTAACCATGTTGTCTATATCCAATGTTATATCGATAATTTGTGTCAAATTAAATTTTCCATTTATTTTCTCAGTCAGTTTTGTAAAATAAAGCAAATCCTTCCCAGTGTAATTCGTCGCCTCAACAAACAACCACTGACCACAGTCGGAAACTTCGGTACGTCTGCAAATTTTAATTTCTCAATAAGAATTTTGACAATTCAATTATTTTCAAAAGTTTATTTTTAAAAATTTTAATTGAAATACAATATTACTTAAATATTGTATTACAATACAATATTATTTAAAAAAAAAATTCTTCACTAGAATTCAATTATTATCACAAATTTCCATAAAATTCTAAAAAACAATCCAATTATTTTCAAAAGTAATATAACTCTTCGCCGAAATTCAATTATGTTTAAAATTTTTTTAAATTCTCCTCAAAATTTTAATTATCTTTATAAATGATTAAATTCAATTACTTTAATGAGAGAAATGAATGGTTAGAGCAACTACTTTTTTATTAGTAAAAGCAAAATTTATTCTCCCGTCTATTTAGTTAGTAAAATCTAGTAATTTTACCAATAATAAGTTTTAATATTTTGCATGTCAAACGTAACTATTTAGAATTAGTAAAATAGTAAATGCATCCACAGAAATAGTTGGCTTTACCATTTTCGTTATTAAACGATAAAAAAAATGTCGGCTTGACATATGACGCATAACATAGTATTGTCCTGTTAGGACGTGTAATAAGTGCAACTTGTGAATATTTTGTATACTCGAAGAAAAAGTGCAGTGTTATTTTAGTAAGTATAACGATAATTACTTTTCTAATTTCTAATATTATTCGCACATTAAAAAATATGTTTATCATGTCTTTTTAGTGTGCCAATAATATTAGATAAATAATTGTTGTTATACACTACCGTCCGTGAGTATCAGGACGCCCCTTTTTTCATGAGTGGAAAAATGCTTAAAACTTAGAAAATAAAAATGACAAAAATTTTTCGTATTTTTTTCCTGAAAGGTAATGAAATTATAAAAAGATTCACATCTGATAGAAGAATTTTCGTTGACTATTCTGTCAGATACAGAAAAAATACTGGATTTTGCATGCTTTTCGTAATTTTTTAATTTCTCGAAAACTAATTAACTTTTTTTAGCGTTCTTGGTCTTGTTTCAATCTCTATTCAATGTAGAATCTAAATTAATTAATGGTATTGTGATATAAATTTTTCCAAAAAAATTTGAAACTGTGAAAGTCGGATAAAAAAATTTTGAAAAACAGATTGACACTTTTTCAAAAAAAAAAATTATTTTTTAAATTAAATAATTAAGTAATTAAAAAGCTTTTTTGAATTTGAGTATATCTATTAAATGAACATATTTTACGTTGACCTTTTTGACACTTTAATATTTATGATAATTTTTTGAATTTTTTTAATCCTACTTTTACGGTTTCAAATTTTTTTGGAAAAATGTATTTCACAATACCAGTTAATAATTTAGATTCTACATTATGTAAATAGAAATTAAAACAAGACCAAGACTAATAAAAGTTAATTAGTTTTCGAGAAATTAAAAAATTACGAAAAGCATGCAAAATCCAGTATTTTTTCTGTATCTGACAGAATAGTCAACGAAAATTCTTCGATCAGGTGTCAGTCTTTTCATAATTTCATTAGTTTTCAGGAAAAAAATACGAAAAATTTTTGTCATTCTTATTTTCTACGTTTTAAGCATTTTTCCACTCATGAAAAAAGGGGCGTCCTGATACTCACGGACGGTAGTGTATATTTATTTATTGTAAAATGAACTAAGTAAATGTACCTATTAGAACTTTTATTAGTGGTCCCTACCAACTAAAATAGTTGCCTTTACTAATAGAAAATGATAAATCTTTTACTACAGTCGAACCTGGATAAGTGGAACCTGAAGGGACCGAAATTTTTGTTCCACTTACAGAGGTATTCCATTTATCCAGTTTTCCACTTATCCAGGTCGTTTTAGGCCAAGTTCCATTTAAAGAGGTATATATAATTTCTTGAATATTTTTGAAGTAATTCGGGTAAGTAATTCGGCCTAAAGAAAATAATTTACTTATAATTTATACTTATAGTCCTGGTAATAAATCAATTTAAATAAAATAAAGACCTAAGTCACTAGAAAACTTTTTTGCAAATGCACAGATAGTAAACAACAAGTACACGTGTCGAGTAAAAAAACAGATGAATCGTAGTTTAATTAAAATTTTTAGATTCCATACTTATGAAGGTACATGAATAAAAAGTTCCACTTATAGAGGACACGTTCCACTCACAGAGGTAAATGAATGAAAAGTTCCAATTATAGAGGGATCGTTCCACTTATAGAGGTAAATTTAAGAAAATGTTCCACTTATCGAGGCCTTATTTCAAAAAATCAGTTCCACTTATAGAGGTAACCTTTGACCTAATATCAGCTAAATCAGCATTTAACTGAACCTGATCAGAAGATAGTTTATTTACTTTTTCAGTACATCTCGCAATAGCTGACATAATCTGGTCAAATTGAGAAGATGAGGACTTTTATTTGTAACTTTTATTTATTAGTAATTTTTTATTCCGTAAAAATCGAAATAATTTGCATTTTATACAAAAAAAATTTGTATTTTGTTGACTTAATTGGAAGAAAAGTCTAAAAAGTCGTATTCTTTTTGTAAATATTCGACAAAATTCCAAAAAGTTTGTATACTTAATTATACATACTTAAGTTTAGTTATACTCACATATATTGAGACGGATTTTCAGGAGATTCGATAACAACAATGTCTTCAGATTGAGACGTTCCGATTCTATGATAATAAATATTCCTATTCTTCTCAATTGAATTCTCTTGTGGAAAACGATTGTAAAAAATTCCTAAATTATTATGCCAAACTATATTATAATATTCTACTTCTTCCAAAATATCAGATAACTTTTCTCCTGTAAAGTAAATGCAACATTAATAAATTTAATGTCCTTTGACAGTAAGTGTGTTGAGTTTGTAAATATTCTCAATTTTGATTGTAAATATTGTTCATTTTAATGAATTCTAATTGAAAATACTGTTAAAACGGAAAGTATCTAAATATAGATTAATTCATTAGTTTAAAATAATTTCTGAAAAATTATTCTTGCAGAAAAATCCAACGCAGAATATAACCGCTCGAATCGTAACTCTTTTTCATGAGAGAGGAAAGGATGGAAATACCTTGTCCTTGTGCAATTCCACGCCACTTCGACAGCGTTTTGGAGTAAGCAAATGGATTTTAATGAAACTCAGGGATTGTAATCCTGAATTTTTGAAAAAAAAAATTTTTAGTTTTTATAAAGTTTTATGGGAGATATAACGATTTCAAAATTTTTTCAAAATTTTGCTATCTCAAAAAGTAGCGAATATTTTGACTTCATTTTTGGTGAAAATATTTCTTTTTATATATAGATTACAATCCCTGAGTTTCATTAAAATCCATTTGCTTACTCCAAAACGCTGTCGAAGTGGCGTGGAATTGCACCCTTGTCTTTCTCACGTAAAAGCTTGCGATTTACGGAAATTTCTTTACGTTGGCCCAAATTGTCCAAATATGTATAAGGGTAAAAAAATTATACTTTATGTCAATAAGAACAATAGAATATAAGTATAACAGAATCGTTTGATGTTAACGAGTACATACCTGTTATTGCATTCAAGAAATGAATCCTAGTTCTACTCTCATTGGATCTCTTTTCGTGGAGTTCGCAAGCAAGTAGACTACCATCTTCACTGAATCTTATGTAAGAATAAAGACGTGTTTCATTGTCTGTTGAGAAAGTTTTAGCATCAAGTAATACTTTTGGTTCATTGCTTTCCAAAGTTTCCTGAACATACAAAACTTCGTTTTTAAAAAAATAATATTTGTCTCCATGTCTTTCGGGAACGATATTGTAAAGAGCATAATATTCTCTCTTTTCTCTCAATTCCTTCAGACGATTTTCTATAGATTCTTTTACACTGGACGATGAATTCAAATAGGAATCTGTTAGTGAATTTTGAGCCTTCATGAAATTTATCGCTTCCTCTGAATTTGAGTCTTCAAGCCAACGATATGGATCGGAAATGTTGGTTCCATGGTAATTATCAACTACATCATCGCGACGTGCTTCAGGATAGTTGAAATTTGCACCTTCAGTTTGAAATATTGTTTCCATACTTTTGCTAGAAATCAAAGTAATCCATAAGAATGAAAAAAGGAGACTTGTTAGGAATCTCATGATTCCTTTTAGTGTTTGAGAAACAAATACACGAACACTGAAGTAGTTGCTCTAAACAGTCCCAAACACACTCTGCGCGCTTAGTCTACAAAGACCAATGGTTATATATACTTCGGGGCGATGATTATTCACTCAACATTCAGCATTAAGGTATTAGTCGCGTAAAATGTTTTTCGTCAGATTTTTTTCAAATTTTGCATACTTACTCCTGAAGTATTTATCTACAGAATGAGACCAATTTCAGTAATTTTGACCGTTTCAAAGCTTCAAAAAATGAATTCAAAGTTCATACATTTTGCATGGAGGGAGCACCCAATAATGCATGTAATGATTTTGTTTAATAATTATTTATATGATAACTAATTGTCAGATTTTGAAATAAAACTACCAAAGTATTCAATTAGATGAAACAAATGAATAAAAAAAACATGATATTTTTTGACCAGCTGCGCGACTAATACCTTAAACCTGTAAAGATGGGGATTTCCATTTAAAGAAGAATAATACCAAAAAATAAATGTAATTTTGAAACAAAGCGATTATTTTCTATAAACATCCGTTTATTTCAATATAATTCAAAACAAAAATATATGCTTACGAAATACTTTCGTAACATTATTTTCTACGTAAAATATTGTATAAATTACAGAAGTTGATATTGAAAAAGGGAGATAATATTTCTCTATGAATTACGCACTGATAAAAAAATTTTTTTTTCTCGTAGACTAATTTAATAAACGATGATGAATAGATGATGAGAATAATGAAAGTTTTATTTTTGTATGTTTTCAAGTCTCCCAACGATTTTAAGGCGTTAAAAGATTGATTCAGTTGGTTAAAGTTATGTACATATTTTGTATTTGCCTGACATTTTTTTAATTTCTGAATTCAATTATTCAAAACTTGAATATTTTTCTCAATCATTTAAATAGTTGTTTATTTTTCCATAGAAATTAAAACTTTTTAAATATCAATTTCAAACCTTCTGAAATTTAATCATTTTCTAGAAGTTATAACTGAACTTATCTTCTCTATAAATCAATTATTTTAAATTTTTAAAAATTTATACTGGAATTCAAGTATTTAAAAATTAAAATACAAAAACTCAATGTTCTATAATAAATTGACTCCTTCATGTATTTTTTTTAATTATTAAATTGAATGAATTGAATAACCATTTAACCGAAAATATTGAAAATACAAATTAAAAAATTGTAGTTAATAATTCCAGAAAATAATTTATTTGTAAAAATATTTCATTCTAAATTGTTTTACAGCTCAAATTTTCATGTAAAAAGTATGACAATTAATTTGTAAATAGAGTGATTATACCTAGTGTTTTATTTAAATTAATTCCCGTAGTGAAACTTTAAATTTAAAAAAAATTCACCCGTAAAGCTCTTCATAATTTTAAGATATTTATGAAAAAGTAAAGTTTACACACACACCCACACATACGGAATGACATTTTAAAAAAATGTAATTTTTAAATTCCTGAAGTCAGAAAACATAATTAACAGGGTGTCTAGCGAACCGGGAAATCGGGAAAAACCCGGGAATTTGGTTCGACCTCAAAAAACCGGGAAAAACCCGGGAATTTTCTATTTATAGGGTATTTTTTGAATTATGTATATAAAAAATTATAATTTTTTTCAAAGCGTAATATAATAACACGGTCACAGCTCAAATCGTCAAGGGTAAATTGATAGTATGAAGCAGAAGTAAAAATAATAACTTAAATTTTATTTAAAACTAACTTTAGTACACGTTATATTATAAAAGTTAAAGGATTCTTACTATTATTATTTTTATATAACAATTTATAGGTATACAATACGTAACAAATTTTAGAAGAAGAAATTAAGAATATTCTGTGATACACGGAGAGAAAATTTATTACATATATTAACACATATCATATATATTTTGTAAAAGTTTTTACAGTTTAGGAAAAAAGTGCACCAAACCGAAATTTTGGTATGAAAAATATTAAACAGTGAAAGAAATAATTTGAAATTTAGTAAAGTTAGATTAAAATTCTTGATATTTGATATTATTATACTAAATTTCATATTATTCCTTTCACTGTTTAGTATTTTTAATACCAAAATTTCGCCTTGTCGCATTTTTTCCCTAAATTGAGAAGCACTTTTACAAAATTTAATATAATTTTCTTTCCGTTTAGGAAAGGCAAAGATTTTACTTTTTAAAACTAAATATGGGGCATTCCATTTCAAAACGATCCCCCTTAAGGTACTCTCTCACCTCTACTGCCTGCCTGCCTGCGCAGGCAGGCGCAATGAGAGTAAGGGAGAAAAAACATTTAATTTGAATTTTCTGACTCTCTTACTCTTATGTGTTACCATGACGACCTGCAGGCAGGCAGGCAGGCAGTAGAGCTGTGCGAGCGCCTTTATAAACAATTGACATTGTAAGGCAATTTTTAAATCATTATTTTTTATATTTATTGAAGCCAAACTTTATTGACTATTAGTGGTTTTAAAACAAAAATTTCTCAACTTTATAATAGTAGAAAATTTTTTTTTAAAATAATAGAATTTATGAAAAAAATTAAGTTTGAAAGATAACCTTTTTGAATATCTCAAAACACGTCGCATCCGATTTTCTTGAAACTTATATGTCAAAATAAAGCTTAAATATTCTAGTTTAATTCTATGTAAACATTATAATGAGCAATTCATGGTTTGAGAAATTAATTAAATTTTACAAGTATTTCAAAGGGTATAATGTATATGTACCGAGCGGAATTTTTTTTCAAATTTTTCTACACTTCAACCTCTGACATCTTTGTAAAATTTAATAAATTTCTTAAATTCCCCTGAATTGACAATTATATTATAAAGTTGAAAAATTTTTATAAGTGAAATTTTGATACAATAATTATAAAAATATAACTTTAATCATTGTAATTTAATAAAAACAATATTTAATTACGTAAATAATGTTATTGATAAACATTTAAATATGTTTTTAAATCCTTTGTGAATATCCGGGAAAATTATTCAAGAACCCGGGAAAAAACCGGGAATTTTAAATTGACGAATCGCTAGACACCCTGATTAAGATATATGTCAAAACAAACGAATTTGAAAAATTTTAGTATTACAATACTTTCTCCATAAGGAAGCAATATTAATGAAATTTGAAAAATTTTATTCAAAAATTAAAAGAAACTTATGTTTTTAAAAAGTTTGTAATTAACGTTTTTTGAAAATAATTGAATTCCCAGAAATAATTTTTAAAAAATGAAAAAATAAATTTTACTTTTCAAAAAATTTAATTCACACTTTAAAAAATCATTTTTTAAAAATATTGTATTTTTTTAAGAATAGTAACTAAAAATTTGTAAAATTATTAAATCTTACTACATTATCGTTGAATTCTAATCAAATAAAAAAGAATTTCATTTAAGATTTTGAAATAAACAGAAATTTAAAGAAAATAATTAACTTTTACATAGAAGGTTTTTAAATTGAAATCTTTTTGAAATTTTAATCGACTTAAGAGTATATGATATTATTTAAAAAAGTTTGCTTAAAAAAATTATATTATTTTTCTTTAGAAAATATTAAAATTTTGAATAATTTTATTCAAAAATTCTCTAAAAAATAATTTATTTTTGAAAAAATTGCAGTTGAAATATTTAGAAAATAATTAATTGAAACTGAGACGGAAAGTATTTTAGGGGTTAAGTAAAATATAAAAAATGATTAATTTAACTTTCCTCACCCAGCGCGGCCGGATTCAAAGCTGCTGGGGCTCTAATTTGGCAAAAAATAAATATAACAAAATATGCGGACGCCAGTTAATTTACACAAATTAACAAAGATCAATAAAAAATTAAATAAAACGAGCAAAAGATCACAGGGAGGGAAACGTCGGTGAATCCACAAAACAATATAAAAAAAAACTTAGCGACTTCCAGGAAATGAGATATTTATTCAAAAAAAGAATTAACACTTATTACTTACTTTTCAGTCCGTCGAATATCGACTCTGTTGTCGAACCAAAAATACAAATTAATATTGTCGTTGATCGTGGATACTCAAACAATAGTTGGACAAAGAGTGAGGATATGGATGGCCTTTTTCGATTTTTGTCAATTTTCTTCTTCAATTATTTTAAATTCAATTTTAATAAAATTTAATAATGAAATTTTTAATTATAATTATTAACAGACACGATTAATTTTATAAAAAGTTGAACAAAAACTCTACTAAAATTGTTAAAAACATTATGATTTTCTACCCAGTAAAAAAAAACTAATTCAAATGAATTGAAACGAATTAACATTTTTGGTAGGCTCCAATTCGTATTTGTCACAAAGCGGGATTCACTCAAGCTCTTTGTATATTCAATTGAATTTAATTCAATATGTACCAATTTGTCCAAACGAATTCGCATTCGAAAGAAATGGCCAAGGAATGCATTGAATTCGTGCTAACGAATTGAAAAAAATTAAAGGCTCAAAACTTGTCCAGTGAATTGGTACGGATAGAAGGTTCGGAAGTTCAATACAGTTTCACGCCCACATAGCACAATAGTATGAGGTAAGGTTATGTTTAGTACTAATCGTAAGGCACATAAGGTTACACAATATTGCTGCGGTAGACCTGAGGTGAACTAAAAACTTCCGCCATGGAGGTAAGGTTACATGTTAGAGTGTGGTAAGTATATATGATAAGGCTATGGTAACCTTACACGTTAAGGTTGAGATAACCTTACACGTTAAGGTTGAGGTAACCTTACACGTTAAGGTTGAGGTAACGTTACACGTAAAGGTTGAGGTAAGGTAATTATTAAGTTGTAAGGTTGAGGTAAGGTTAAGGTAAGGTTGTGATAAATTTACCAGTTATGGAAAATATTGAAAAAATAATTAATAAATAAATATTCAATTAAAAAGTTAGTTTGTTGCTCTTCTCTATTTTGGAAACCTGACATGAAGCAGAAAATTTTGAAAACAAATTTGGGGGGACTGGGAATCGAACCCGGGATCGACGCGCATAAACCTATCATTCTAACTAACTGAGCTAAGTAGAGAACTGGCAGAAGGAAAATTAATGTTGCCTTTAAGGTGAACCAAGAAGATGATTAACTCCTTAAAGGCAATATTAATTTTCCTTCTACCAGTTCTCTACTTAGCCCAGTTAGTTAGAATGATAGGTTTATGCGCGTCGATCCCGGGTTCAAATCCCAGTCCCCCCAAATTTGTTTTCAAAATTTTCTGCTTCATGTCAGGTTTCCAAAATAGAGAAGAGCAACAAACTAACTTTTTAATTGAATATTTATTTATTAATTATTTTTTCAATATTTTCCATAACTGGTAAATTTATCACAACCCTACCTTAACCTTACCTCAACCTTACAACTTAATAATTACCTTACCTCAACCTTGACATGTAACCTTACCTCAACCTTAACATGTAACGTTACCTCAACCTTAACGTGTAAGGTTACATCAACCTTAACGTGTAAGGTTACCTTAACCTTAACGTGTAAGGTTACCATGGCCTTATCATATATACTCGCCACACCCTAAAATGTAACCTTACCTCCATGGCGGAAGTTTTAAGTTCACCTCAGGTCTACCGCAGCAATATTGTGTAACCTTATGTGCCTTACGATTAGTACTCAACATAACCTTACCTCATACTATTGTGCTATGTGGGCGAATTCAGGAAAATTGCATCATGGCTCCAATTCGTATTTGTCACAAAGCGGGATTCACGAAAGCTCTTTGTGAATTCTTTTTAATTCATTTCAATTAGTTTTCGTTTACTGGGTATTAATAGTTTTAAGAAAAATTACCAGTAAAATTTTTAATTACAATTACAGTCAGGTCCCCATACTGTTAGATTCCAAACTGTTATGTCCTCAGTAGTGTTATGTTTTTGCATAACCTCCAAATTCAGAAGTGTTAGGTGACGTCACGTTACGTCACCAATTTTCAGGGCCGTATACTTAAGCCCAAAGAAAAGGGGGCATATACTTCTAGGCCAAACTTGAGGTGTATATATTTACGTTCCTGAAAGGTGCGCAGTAGACATACCATAGACATACTTGAGCACAGGGATGGGTAAAAGTGTTTTTTTCGGAGTTTTCTACGTATAATACATAAATGACGTATAATACGTAGAAAATTGTAGAAAACCTGGTATTATACATGTCCAGTTCTGCGCATGCGTACAAACCTCACAATAATAATAAAAATCATATGTTTGATTATTTTTTATTTGTTTCCTGGTTTTCATTACTAAATTGTTGCTAAAAATACCAAGAAAAAACCAAAAAAGGTTACATATAAGGTAAGTTTACAAAAAAATGCGTATAATATATATTTATTGATTTTTCATATGGTTTTTTACACACATTTTTTCATAACTTGTATTATATATTTATATAGAACAATTTTAAAAAGACACGTTAATTTATTATTTATTTGAAAATAAACGGGTTTCAAATAAACTTTTTCATACAAAAGTACTAAATTATTATTATAGCTGTATTTTGCAATGTTTTGTTGCAAATAGGACACAGGGCAACATTTTTCCCTTTATTATTTTTGGGAATAAAACACAATTCCTCCCAGGAATTGTGTTTCGGCCTTCCACCTCTTTTGTTAATTTTTTTTTATTTTAAAAAAAGCAATATTGTACAACAATCACTGACACATGGCCTGGCACATGGAGATGTATAACCTATAAATGGGTCTGGCGGCAGCAGACAACCTGACCTGACCACGAACAGTTAGAACTTTGTTTGTGTGCTATTTCTTTAAAACATAAATTTTAAAAAAACTTTTCAATGTTAATTAATAAATTTTTAAATTGAAATTATGTTTAAAATTTATTTAATATACTATTAAAATCACATGTTTCTTGTCTAAAATTTAAAAATCCCGCGCGTCACGCAATGTATGTAAAATACATGACATACGTAGAAAACTAAAGATGTATAATACCACGTATTATACGTGTAGAAAACCAGGTATAATACATCATGTATAATACGTACCCATCCCTGCTTGAGCACATAAGGGGCCGTATTCTCGAATCGATGACCCTAGATGTCGCATGCGACAGACCATTCGAGATGGAAAAAGCTATTCTCGAACGCTTGTCGCATGCGAGATTTCATGTCGTATGCGATAATTTCCGAATGGTTCATCTCGAGTGGGTAGTGGCCATTCGAGATGCAAAGTCGTATACGAAATGCTAGTAAAAAATAAGGTTGTGTGTCATCCTTGTAATAAACGTATATAATATAAAGTAGTATTAGTGTACATGAACCGCATGCTAAAGTAGAAAAACTATACAAAATAACCTAAATGTAATGTTTAAGAATTAAAAGTAAACTTGTGAAATAAAAGTTTAATGTAAATAATTTATAATATGCAAAATTTATAATGGATAAATTGCACATGTTTGTGTTATTTTTGTGAATGAATCATGTTAACAATATATTTATTTTATTTTTTATTTTTTTTAATTTTTTAATCTTCGTTTCATTTTTTCTGTCTGTTCACACTTTAAAGTTAGTTTTTGTGTATGCTTTTGTTTTTTTCTTTACAAAATATTGTTTCACAAATTGAAAGTATGGTCTTTTTTAAGATTTAAAATAAAATAAAATTTAAAATTATAAAATTACAAAAAATTTTGATTAACAAATAAATTTTCTTTTTGCAAAAATAGGAAATATATATATTTATTAATTAAAATTATGCATAATATAAAGGGATATATCCCTTTATTATGCATAATTTTAATTTTTCAATAACAATATTGTTCACAAACTGATTCTTTTCTTTAAAAAAAAAATATTACATATTCCAGTTTCTTAACATTTTTGTAAAAAATTCTCAATTTACAAATGCTAATATTAAAACTTTAATATAAAAAAAAATGTTGTTACATTTATTTACGAATTTCTTTAATTATAAAATTATTCGTAATAATATCAGTAACTTCTATTTAAATAAATATTTGATTGTTATTATTTTTTCATTATTTTATTACATTTAAAAATAATTAAATTTTTGTAATCATTTTGTAACGTACGTCTACAAAATTCAATGTATTTAGTGTTTTTAACTAAAATTCTTCTATAAATTCATTATTTTTAATAATTAATTAAATATATATTGCCAAATATAACTAATTTCAAAAGAATTTGAATTATCAAAATTTTAAATTAAATTCATTCAAAATTAAAATTTTATAAAATTTCAAACTGAAACCGCTTAAAGTTAATTTGTTTATAAAAATTGTAAACGCAAAATTGAATTGATTTTGAAATATTTAAATGAACGGATAACTATTTGTATTTTTCTCATATGTCAAGTTCTCTTCCTCCTCAATTATGATTGGCAGATAAGTATTTGGAAACGACGGCAACAATGTATGAATGTCGCACACGGAAATTTTCGAACAACCTATCTCGAACGGTCATTGAGAATAGACTTTCAGAGTCGCATGCGACATTAACCATTCGACATTTTACGCATGCGAGAATTGTCGAATGCTTTCGAGAATACGGCCCCAGAGCTGAGTCTATAGAGGAGTGGGAAATTTCTGGAAATGTAACAGTATGGGGACCCGACGGCTAGGGTTGTGAAGTTTCATGAAACTTTGGAAAATGAAATGTTTCATGAAAGTTTCATTGCTTCATGAAACATTTCAAAGTTTCAAGTTTTAAGCGGGAAATTTCAAATTCAATGCAAGAAAGTATAATAATTAACGCATATTTTGTTGTCAAAAACATGAAGTATTATTACTTACTTTAATATCTTTCTTTAATTTTTATAAATAAAATAAATAATTAAAAAATATATTAATAATTTAATTTTAAGTCACTCGTTAGAGGTAATATTTCAGGTAATTTTTAGTTAATATTAACATAACTACTCTCGTGTTTTCGGATGTAAACAAAAAATTTTCATTAAATTGTTTCGAACTAACCTAAAATTTCTAGAGATTATCTAACCTAAACTGACAACTGCGCATGTGCAAATAAAGCTTAATTATTGGTTCTTCAATGTTTCATGAAATTAATGAAACTTTCGCTTATGAAACATTGAAACTTTCAAATGAAAGTTTCATTGTTTCAATGAAACGTTTCATCACTCACAACCCTACCGACGGCCGACTGTATTAGCAAAATCGATTAATTATTAGAAATCGATTAAAGACTAAAGTCTTTAATTTTAAAAAATAATTGAATTCTTTCAAATTACTTATATTATTTATAAGTAATATTTATCCCAACAAAAACATCTTTGATGCAAAAAGTTCCGCCAAGTAAAAGATTTTGTGACTGTTCAAACAATTAGTGAAATAAAAGTTTACCAAGTAAAATTTATAATTAAAATTTTAATAATGATTGATTTTTAATATTTTCTCTCCTACACAACTCGAAGTACATATTGCAGTTGAAAAAAACAACCCGGGCTTAGCTGTTGTTATTCTACATTGCGGCTTATTACATTTCCGAATTAACCTTTAAAGTGCTAGAAGTGTTGAAAAATCTCGCTCAGTGCTAACCCCGGTCTGTCAGACCGCTATTCCCTTTTGACAGTTTTTTAGTCATTTATAATTTTTAAAAGACAACTATTATAAATATTTTTTACTTTTTAACAAAAAAAGTCATTTCTGTATTATGCATTTATTTATTTTATTTATTTTATAAATGCAGTCTATGAGAACTATCAGTAGAACTAGCTGCGCGTCAAGTTGCGCAGACGTCACTCATGGGAATATACTGGAATATACTTTCACTTAAAGCTAACCCCGGTCTCACAGACCGCTATACTTCAAATATTTATTTATATTACAAAATTTAACGAATAAAAATTTTTGAAAAAGTTGTCTCCTAACAGATTTTCATAAAATATGAAGCTACTAAAAAGTTCAAGTTCTTATTATACTTTGAAAAAAAGTTACAAGCAAAGAAAATTTTAATAGCGGTCTGTCAGACCGGCATAGCACTTTAAAGGTTAAGTCAATGTTCTTCATTGCATTTTGAATTGTAACAAATAAAATTTAACTTTATAATTAACATTAACAAAAAACGAAATCTAATTACTCGTCATAATAAAAAATTTCTATTTCAGCAATTTAAAAATCTTAGCGTCAATAATGCTTCTAACTTGTAATTAATGAAAGTATTGACGCCAAGATTTTTAAATTGCTGAAATAGAAATTTTTTATTATGACGAGTTAGATTTCGTTTTTTGTTAATGTTAATTATAAAGTTAAATTTTATTTGTTACAATTCAAAATGCAATGAAGAACATTGACTTAATTCGGAAATGTAATAAGCCGCAATGTAGAATAACAACAGCTAAGCCCGGGTTGTTTTTTTCAACTGCAATATGTACTTCGAGTTGTGTAGGAGAGAAAATATTAAAAACTAATCATTATTAAAATTTTAATTATAAATTTTACTTGGTAAACTTTTATTTCACTAATTGTTTGGACAGTCACAAAATCTTTTACTTGGCGGAACTTTTTGCATCAAAGATGTTTTTGTTGGGATTTTAAAACTTTTTGCGTCAAATCAACTTTTAAATAAATGAAATTTGTAAAAATATTGTGGTCTTTGATCTAATAATTTAAAATAAAATACAATTAAGTTTTAAATAAGAATTCATTTAAGATATGATTCTTTACAGAAATTTTTACATAATAAAAAAATGAAAAAAGAATAAAGGAGAAAATTGATGTTTTGATTAAACTAAAAAAATTGTTTTAAACATAAATTAAAAATTAAAAAATAATGTATTAAAGTTTTTAAAATAAATTTCAGGCTTTCAATCCACAATAATATTTCAAAATATTTTACAAATCTGTTAAATAGTTTAGTCTCTACGTTTGTATAAATGTCAAAAAATCAAATTTTTTTCAGTTTTCCTAGCCTAAATTCTATAAAACTACATATATAAAATATTGAATAAACTTAACAGAATTCTTTCTTTTTTTATTCTTTATCCAACGAAAAAAGAATGAGACAAATCGGTTAAGGTTTACTCGAGTTATTCAATTTTATCGAAAAACAGCCGATATTTCGAGAATATAATATATTCGCGGTTTTTGCTTTTTACTTGGCGGCGATTCTCTACCGCGAATCTTGATAATTGTATTACTTATAAGAATAATTGAATTGTTTAGAAGAATTTTTGTAAATAATTGAATGTTTTGAAAAGAGTTTTATGCAAAATTTGAAAAATAATTAAATTTAATCAAAAAATGTTATTAAAACGTTTAAAAATAATTGAATTCCTTCGAGATACTTTATTAAAATTGTATTTTTAAAAATAATTTAATTCTTCTGAAGAATTTTATTGTTAATTAAAATAATTGCAATTCAGCGATGAGTTTTATTATTTATGAAAATAATTGAATTCCTCAAAAGAATTTTATCAAAATTGTTGAAAATCATCGTATTGAATTAATATTTTTAAAAATAATTCTATTCTTTCGATAAATTTATTTAAAATTGTTTAACAAAATTAAAAAAATTAATAATTGAATTCTTCAAAAGAATGTTATTATTTACGAGAATAATTGAATTCATGCGAAAAATGTTATCAAAATTTTTTAAAATAATAAACAACAATTTTTAATTACGTACTTAATAAAACAATTTTTAGAATTTTTAATCTGTAATTTTAAAATTATATTTCATAAAACATTTTCAAGAAAACACTGCGTCTTTTTCTAATTCTACGATTTTAAAAGTTAATTTCTAAATTTAATGATTTAACAATAAATGTTAATAAAGCACTTGCTGTTTCAAGGATCCCTTCCTTAACATCATACTTGGAATCAATGCGAAGCATTAATGGATTCTTTTGTTGCTTCAATTTTCCGACTTTATTTTGTAAAGTTGCAATAAATTTCAACGAATGCGATAATGGCTTTAGAGGTCCATCATAAATGTTTGCTAAAATTAATGTTGCCGGATACTGTTCATTATTTGTCGGTACTTTGACATTATGAAGCGGTGAAAATTTAATTAGATTCTCAAAATCTTTTCGATCGTCAGAATTACCAAATCCCCATATAGAATAATCATTAGATGCGAATTTATCAAAACGTAAAATGTCATAGAGTCCACTGACAATAACAGCAGCACCAAATGAATCCGGCCTTTGATTAATGCAAGCACCAACTATTGAACCCCCAGCAGCATCTCCTCTGATTGTCAACTTTCCTCTCGAAGTGTATCCATTTTTAATGAGATATTCAGCTGCTGATTGAAAATCATCGATTGAATTATGTCTATTCTGTAAAATTCCATCCTTGCGCCATTCATCACTCGGTCCATCACTTCCCCGAATATGTGCTTGTGCCAAAATTCCATTAAAATTCTGAGTAAAAATTACATTTTCGTCTCGAAAGATTGGTGAGTTTAAGATGCCCAAGCCTCCTTTTACGGAAAGAAGTGCTGGCATTGAACCATCAAGTTTCGCACCCTTTCTCATTACGATTGTCATTGGAATTTTTGTACCATCCTTACTGGGATAGAAGACACGAAATACTTCATAGAGACTTGAATCGAAATTTTTTAACTTCCATTCACTGTAAATTTCCAGTTTATCAAATGTTTTTACATTTATTTTGTAGCCTATTTTCGGAATTAAGAATGACGAGAAAACAAAGGTGCATTCAGAATGTTTTCTATTTCCACGGATCCTTCCAGAAATTGTTCCAATTCCGACATCAAGTTTTTTTATTAGTTTTCCACTTTTCAAACTGTGCAATTGTAAAATGTTATCACAAAGTACGTAAGTTCTATCACAAACATATTGAATAATGAATTTATCATTATCCACAATTTTGACACTTCTGATGATTTTGTTGGGTTCTTCGGGTACTAAAGTTGTCCAATTGGCTTCTTTGTAATTCAATAAATCGATTGCTATAATTTTCCTTTTCGGAGCATTCGCATTTGTTGCGAAAATTGCCTTTGTCCCGTCATTTCCAATATACTGAAAATAGTAAAAAAATCATTAATATTTTCCCGACTGTTATCATCTAAATTGAAATTTCCTCTATTACACTAACCACGTATTCTGTATCCACTGGTGCATCGATAATTTGTGTCAAATTAAATTTTCCATTTATTTTCTCATTCAGTTTTGTAATATAAGTCAACTCCTTCCCAGTATAATTCATTGCCACAACAAACAACCACTGACCACAGTCGGAAACTTGGGTACGTCTGCAAATTTTAATTTCTCAATAAGAATTTTGACAATTCAATTATTTTCAAAAGTTTATTTTTAAAAATTTTAATTGAAATTCAATATTACTTAAATATTGTATTACAATATAATATTATTTAAAACAAAAATTCTTCACAAGAATTCAATTATTTTCACAAATTTCCATAAAATTCTAAAAAAACAATCCAATTATTTTCAAAAGTAATATAACTCTTCGCAGAAATTCAATTGTGTTTAACATTTTTTTCAATTCTCCTTAAAATTTTAATTATCTTTATAAATAATTTTATAAAATAACTTTATAAATAATTAAATAAATTCAATTACTTTTATAAATACAGTAAAATTCTTTGCAGAAATTCAATAAGTATATCAATACATTTTAAGAAATTTGAAAAATTCTATGTTTAATTTAATTAGGGGCCGTCCATAAATTACGTAAGACATTTAGGGGGGAAGGGGGGTCAGCAAGATCTTACGAACAATAGGAAAAATGGCGCTAATGTATGTAAAAAATCTTACGAAGGGGGAGGGGGGGGGGTCAAATTTACCCAAAAAATGTCTTACGTAATTTATGGACAGCCCCTTATTGCTTCCTCTTAAAGGAAGCCTTATATAGTGATGTTGATTTCCGGATTTTGTAGAATAAATTATTTTTACAAATTTTCAAATGTAGTAGGTATATATTTTACAAATTATAAAATAAACTTGTCAAAAGAATTTAATTAATTATTCAAAAAACTCTAATAAAAATTTTGGAAGCCATTTGTAGATTAATTATTTATGTTCAAAATTATCAAATATTTAATTATTGAAAAACAATATTTGTAACTTATATTTATTAGTAATTTTTTATTCCGTAAAAATCGAAAAAATTTACACTTTATACAAAAAAAAATTGGTATTTTGTTGATATACTTAATTGTATACTTAATTATACATGCTTATAACTCACATATATTTAGGTGGATTTTCAGGAAATTCGATAACAAGAATGTCTTCAGATTGAGACGTTCCAATTCTATGATAATAAATATTCACATTATTCTCAATTGAGATCTTTTGCGGAGAACGAATGTAAAAAATTCCTAAATTATTATGCCAAACTATACTAAAATATTCTACTTCTTCCAAAATATCAGATAACTTTTCTCCTGTAAAATAAATGCAACATTAATAAATTTAATGTCCTTTGACAGTAAGTGTGTTGAGTTTGTAAATATTCTCAATTTTGATTGTAAATATTGTTCATTTTAATGAATTCTAATTCAAAATATTGTTAAAACTGAAAGTAACTGAATATAGATTAATTCATTAGTTTAAAATAATTTCTGAAAAAATTATACTTGAAGAAAAATCAAACGCAGAATATAACTAAAGTGACCATACGTCCCGGATTGCGCGGGACAGTCCCGGATTTTTCCCCTTTGTCCCGCAAAGGCCAGCGTCCCGCAAAACGTCCCGCATTTGACATAAAATGTCCTGCATATCCCGGAAAATAGTTAAGAATATCCTGCATCTACAGATTAGCACAGTAGCGTATATAAGTGTGAGAGAGATAGACTTCGTGATATTTTAAGAAAAATTCGATCGTTAAAAAAATATGTGATTTAATGTTACAAAATAAGCATAATATAAATATGTAAATGTCATAAGATGCGCCTTAGTTTCAATTCCGCTCCAATTGACTCCTACAAATTCCCTGATTCTTTTTTCTTGTGACAAATAACCTTTTTTTTTTTTTACTAAATCATATAAATAAGCGGGCGTCCCGCATTGACACTATTTCCATATGGTCACTTTAAATATAACCGCTCGAATCGTAACTCTTTTTCATGAGAGAGGAAAGGATGGAAATACCTTGTCCTTGTCTTTCTCACGTAAAAGCTTGCGATTTACGGTTTCTTTACGTTGGCCCAAATTGTCCAAATATGTACACTACCGTCGGGAATTATCGGTACGGCTGCACGCGCACGGCCCAAAAACATACCAATCTTTAAATCACGATTTTTTTGTAAATACAAATGTCAGAAAATTAACAAATATACCATTCGAAAGATAATTAAATTCTTCGATTAATAATACATAACTGAACATTTTAATAATTTATACAAAGATGGCAGCAATCGACAAATTTGACAAAAAAATTTTAAAAATAAAATTTTTTTGGAAATTTTTTCAACCCCTGCACATTTTTGAAAAATTGTAGAAAAAATTTGAAACTTATATAGGTGTGATCATTATAATCTCATCTTTAATTTAAGACCAAAAGAGTTCAAAAATCTTAATCGGTTAGGGAGATATCATTATAAACGAAAGAGCATTTTCAGCCAAAAACCGTTCAAAATCGACTAATTCACTGCATTTGTCAAAAAACATGCTCGGACGTTTATAATGATATCTCACGAACCGAATAAGATTTTTAAACTCTTTTGGTCTTAAATTAAAGATGAGACTTGAATGATCACACCTGTATAAGTTTCAAATTTTTTCTACAATTTTTAAAAAATGTGCAGGAGTTGAAAAAATTTCCAAAAAAATTTTATTTTTAAAATTTTTTTGTCAAATTTGTCGATTGCTGCTATCTTTGTATAAATTATTAAAATATTCAGTTATGTATTATTAATCGAAGAATTTAATTATCTTTCGAATGGTACATTTGTTAATTTTTTGACATTTGTATTTACAAAAAAATCGTGATTTAAAGATTGGTATGTTTTTGGGCCGTGCGCGTGCAGCCGTACCGATAATTCCCGACGGTAGTGTATAAGGGTCAAAAAATTATACTTTATGTCAATAAGAACAATAGAATATAAGTATAACAGAATCGTTTGATGTTAACGAGTACATACCTGTTATTGCATTCAAGAAATGAATCCTAGTTCTACTCTCATTGGATCTCTTTTCGTCGAGTTTGTAAGCAAGTACACTACCATCTTCACTGAATTTTATGTAAGAATAAAGACGTGTTTCATTGTCTGTTGAGAAAGTTTTAGCATCAAGTAATACTTTTGGTTCATTGCTTTCCAAAGTTTCCTGAACATACAAAACTTCGTCTTTAAAAAAATAATATTTGTCTCCATGTCTTTCGGGAACGATATTGTAAAGAGCATAATATTCTCTCTTTTCTCTCAATTCCTTCAGACGATTTTCTATAGATTCTTTTACACTCGACGGTGAATTCAAATAGGAATCAGTTAATGAATTCTGAGTCTTTATGAAATTTGCCGTTTCCTCTGAATTTGAATCTTCAAGCCAACGATATGGATCGGAAATTTTTGTTCCATGATAATCATCAACTACATCATCGCGACGTGCTTCAGGATAGTTGAAATTTGCATCTTTAGTTTGTAATATTGTTTCGATACTTTTGCCAGAAATCAAAGTAATCGACAAGAATGAAAAAAGGAAACTTGTTAGGAATCTCATGATTCCTTTTAGTGTTTGAGAAACAAATACACGAACATTGAAGTAGTTGCTCTAAACAGTCCCAAACACACTCTGCGCTCAGTCTACAAAGACCAATGGTTATATACTTCGGGGCGATGATTATTCACTCAACATTCAGCATTAAGCCTGTAAAGATGGGGATTTCCATTTAAAGAAGAATAATATCACAAAATAAATGTATTTTGAAACAAAGCGATTATTTTCTATAAACATCCGTTTATTTCAATTTAATTCAAAATAAAAATATATACTTACGAAATACTTTCGTAAAACATTATTTTCTACGTAAAATATTGTATAAATTACAGAAGTTGATACTGAAAAAGGGAGATAATATTTCTCTATGAATTACGCACTGATAAAAAAAATTTATTTTTCTCGTAGACTAATTTAATAAACGATTCCGTAGTCGGCTCATTAAATATATATATTAAATAGTCATTAGTTAAATAGTTCGTAAATAGATGATTATATTCTGAGAATAATGAAAGTTTTATTTTTGTATGTTTTCAAGTACATATTTTGTATTTGCCTGACATTTTTTTAATTTCTGAATTCAATTATTCAAAACTTGAATATTTTTCTCAATCATTTAAATAGTTGTTTATTTTTCCATAGAAATTAAAACTTTTTAAATATCAATTTCAAACCTTCTGAAATTTAATCATTTTTTAGAAGCTGTAAAACTGAACTTATCTTCTCTATAAATCAATTATTTTAAATTTTTTAAAAGTTCTTCTGTAATTTAAGTATTTAAAAATTAAAATACGAAAATTCAATTCTCTTACAGCTGAAATTGTCAAGTTATAAGTTTGACAATAAATTTGTAAATGGAGTGATTAGTGTTTTATGTAAATTTTTTACCGTATAATTTTTACAATAACAACATTTTCACAGGACAGTAAAGTAAGGAAATTTTATCCAAAAAATATAAAATTATTCAAAATCTTAAAAAGTCTATGAATTTTCTTTTTCAAATTTAAAAAATCTATAAGTAGAGTTACAGTTGCAATTTTTAGAAATAATCATTTACTTTATTTAAAAAAATAGAACATTAATAAATAAATATTTAAATAATTTAATTCTCGTAGAAATATCTTATAAGAATTCATTTGAAAATGAAATTTCAGTTAAAATATGAAAAAATATTTTAAGAATTGAAAGAATTGAAGTTCTATTTTTTAGAAAGAATTAAATTTCAAAAAAGGTTGTATTTTGAAATTTAAATTCCTGCTAGACAAACAAATAACAAAAAAAGTATTCAAATATTTATGAAACAAAAATTAATGGAATTTGAAATATTTTATTCAGAAATTCTGAAAAAATGAGGTTTTTAAAAAAATTATTATAATTGAAATTTTTCGTAAATAGTTGAGTTCTCGGAAATAATTTTTAAAAAATTAAAAAAAGGGAATTATCTCAAATTTTCTTAAAATAAATTTTATACCTATTTCAAAAAAATTCAATTTTCTTACTTTAAAAAATAATTTCTTAAATATTATTTGAATTATCCCAGAATTTTTCACGAAACAATTGTCAATTCATTAGTAAGTCGAACTATGAATATTATTGTTTTTTTAAGAATTGTAACTAAAAATTTGGAAAATAATTAAATTTTACAAAAAATTTATTTGTATTTCACTAATTTGCAATTATCGTTGGATTCTAATAAAATTGATTTAAAAACGAATTTCTGTTAAAATTTTGAAATATTAGAAGCGTAATTTTTAGAAATATACACGGGAAAAAAAGTACGTGAATCCTTCCTTGACAGTGCTTGACTTTTGGATAGGATACAAAATACAAGGCTGTTCCATAATATACTTTTTATTAGAAAATATAAGAAAGTCCTAGAATTATTATTCTAGTACTAGTACGGCCCATACTATAGACAGACATATATCAGGTATCTTACTAACAAATTAAAATAAATATTTAATTGAATAGGGTCATTTGGGGTAAATGTAAACAAGGGGTAAATGTAAACAGTAGATGTTTCAGCTAAATTTACAAATTAAAAAATAAGTACGACGTCAATATTTTTACCTCAGCTCACCTACAAGATGTTCTGAGTATTGCCAATATTTTATTTTGACAATTAGCAATGCCATAGTGTAAGTTATTTTTTAATGCAAAAAAGATTGACAATAAAAATTTTAGTGTTTCAGTATTTTGTCTCGCATTTGCATAAAAATAAATTTAAAAAAGCAAACAAAAATATGTCATTCTTCATTATTAATGCCCTATAAAGGTGGTAAAGGTGATAAGAATAGGTCAAATGGAGTTGGGATTGATAAAAAACAAACAAGACTGGAAGTAAAAAGGGTTGGCTTTGTCGACGAGGGCGTGGGGGGAAATCTTTCGATAGAGGATTTTAATAAGTTTAAAGAGAAAGTTAGCGAAGAGTTGAAGAAGATCAGATTAGAAAAGGTTGAGATAGAGAAAATAAAGATTGATATTATGGCTAAAGAAGTTGAAATTTGTGAAAGATTAGAAAAACTAGAAAAGGTTATGGATGATTGGAAGCGGGAGGAAGGGGAGAGGAGAGAATGGTGGGCAGAAGTTGGTAAAGGCCTAAGCACAACTACTTCGCGAATGTCGTTCGCGAACGCAATGCTTGGGTCAAAAAAGGACAGAGATATATTTGTGTCCTTTTCTAACTCATGCTTTACATTCGCGAACGACGTTCGCGAAGCAGTTGTGCGTTGGCCTTAACCATCATCAAGAAGGAAGTGACAAGGAAATGACGAGAGATGGCGACACCAGTTCAGAAAAGAGTTTTAGAAGCGGAATGACAGGAATAAGCAGAAGAAGTGGTTTGTCGGATAGAGAGGTCTGGAAAATGAAGAAGATGGTTAACGAACAGGATAAAAAGGAACGTATAAATAATTTAGTGATAAAAGGAGTCAAACTAACCGATGATGTAGATCTCAAAACATGGGCTGAACTTTTTATTTTTAAAAATATGGGAATTAAGGTAGATGTAGTCAGTGTTAGGAAAAGTGGCAATGTAGTGATTGTGAAATTAGAAAGTTTTGAAAAAAAGGCCGAAGTTATGAAAAATAAGAATAAACTCGCTGGATCTCAGATATTCATAAAAAACGACCTATCATACGAAGAGCGTAAAAAACAAGAAGAAATAGTGAAATGGGTGAAGAGGAAGAGAGATCTTGGTTGGTCATTAAAAGTTGGGCAAGGCAGAATACTCTACAACGGTATTTGGAGAAAGTGGGAAAGAAGGATGGAAATTGAAAATGAAATGGAGAAATACGAAAGAGAGAGACATACAGTCGAACAAGGAAATGAAGGAGGTGATAAGGATTTTACGAATGCCAGAAACGGAAAAGTATAAAAAGTAAAAAGAACGTTAATAAGGAAGTGATAAATGATAATGGGAAGAGCTTCTTATTTTGGAATGTTGCGGGAGTGTATAATAAAGATAGGGATTTTTGGAAATTTATAGAAAAACATGATTTTGTGAGTTTGTTAGAAACTTGGCTTGGAGAAAAAGATATTAAATATATAGAAAATAAACTTTCAACGAATTTTAATTGGGAATTCATACCGGCAAGAAAAGAAAAAAAGAAGGGAAGGGCGAAGGGTGGGTATATAATAGGCATTAAAAAGGATTAGAGCATAGGAACAAGTAAAATTACTACAAAACTGGAGGAGGAAATCATAGAAACTAAAATAATTAATGAAGAGGGGATAACTGTTGTATGGACAGTATATAATAATGACAGTAATGTTAAAATTTTTCAAAGGATGGAAGAAACCGAATTTCTAGAGGAAAAATTAATTATTGGCGGAGATTTCAACATAAGGATAGGACAATTAGGAAGATTTGCTGGGATCAATGCTGATGGTGAAGATGAAGAAAGAAACAGCAGAGATAATGTGATAAATAATGGAGGAAAGAATTTAGTGAATTTAGTGGAACAAAAAGGATGGATTATTCTAAATGGAGTAGCTGTAGGAGACGAGATGGGTGAATTCACCTTTACGGGAACTAGAGGAAATTCGGTAATTGATTAGGGTTGCATACATTTGTATCAGAATGAAAAGAGCAGAATGACTATTATGTCGAATTCACAAAGGTAGAATCTGTAACTTTACGAATTTGTTTTTATCGAATACAAAATTTAAGAAAATTATTTTCACGAATTAACATTGACATAATTTTTATTTTCACTAAACAATAATTGATAGAATTTTAAAATAGTCGATTTCTTATTTAGTCGAAAGTTTAAAAATCCGAAATTTAATTAAACCTAATTTTATTTTGTCGAATGGTGGTTCAATATAATGTGAATATTAACGAAATTTATTATAGCCGAATTTATAACTAACCTAAATGTAACTGAACCGAAAAGTAATATTACATATTCTTTATTCTATAGAAATTAAAAGTGTTCGAATTATCATTTAATCGAATATTTATTATATAGAATTAATTTTAATCGATATTTCGAAATCTCGAAATGCAAATTAATCTCAACTAATTTTTAAGGAAAATACAACTAAGCGAATTTCTAATTATCCGAAAACTAATTTGGTAGAAAATTTTTGTGGGTGAATTTAATTTAAGCCAAAAAGCAAGTAGCCGAAACGTCATCTATTATAATCTTAAAATGGCGAAAAAGCTATTTGTAAGCATGGTTAAATAGTCGAAACGCTATCTATTCGAATTGTCCAGTAGACGATTCGTAATTTAGCCGAATGGAAAAAACGTCGAATGGACAAAACGTCGAATTTTGAAAACATCGAATTGTCAATTCATCGAATTCTCAAAACATTGAATTGTCAATACGTCGAATGTTTAAAACGTCGAATGATAAAAACGTCGAATGCAAAAAACATCGAATCGTCAAAAGTTCGACAAAATTTGTTTGATCTAAGTAAACATTAACTTAAAACAAAGAAATCTTTACTTAGATCAATCAAATTTTGTCGAACTTTTGACGATTCGATGTTTTTAGCATTCGACGTTTTTATCATTCGACGTTTTAAACATTCGACGTATTGACAATTCAATGTTTTGAGAATTCGATGAATTGACAATTCGATGTTTTCAAAATTCGACGTTTTGTCCATTCGACGTTTTTTCCATTCGGCTAAATTACGAATCGTCTACTGGACAATTCGAATAGATGGCGTTTCGACTATTTAGGGTACAGTCACACGATCAATGCATCTGCATGATGCATGCATGCACAAACATTTGACTGTTCACACCTCAATTTTTCGCTCTCGAAAATCATTTTTCTGGCGGGATATTTAAAATTGATTAAAATTTAAAAATAACGTATTACTAATTATTACAATAAAAAATAAAAAAAATTGAACGTTTATTATAAGGAATTAATTGTAAATAAATTTCTCTTAATTTGTGGCATATTTTAATATTGTGAATTTTTATAATTTAAAATATGCCACTAATTAAGAGAAATTTATTTACAATTAATTCCTTATAATAAACGTTCAATTTTTTTTATTTTTTATTGTAATAATTAGTAATACGTTATTTTTAAATTTTAATCAATTTTAAATATCCCGCCAGAAAAATGATTTTTCGAGAGCGAAAAATTGAGGTGTGAACAGTCAAATGTTTGTGCATGCATGCATCATGCAGATGCATTGATCGTATGACTGTACTGGAGAGTCCACAATAGGTGCAAAAGGCAAGAAGTGCAAGTGCGAACCAATGCTAAATGTATAGGAATCGCACTTGCACTTGGACTTGCTACCTACATATTGTGGACTCTCCATACCCTTAACCATGCTTACAAATAGCTTTTTCGCCATTTTAAGATTATAATAGATGACGTTTCGGCTACTTGCTTTTTGGCTCAAATTAAATTCACCCACAAAAATTTTCTACCAAATTAGTTTTCGGATAATTAGAAATTCGCTTAGTTGTATTTTCCTTAAAAATTAGTTTAGATTAATTTGCATTTCGAGATTTCGAAATATCGATTAAAATTAATTCTATATATTAAATATTCGATTAAATGATAATTCGAACACTTTTAATTTCTATAGAATAAAGAATATGTAATATTACTTTTCGGTTCAGTTACATTTAGGTTAGTTATAAATTCGGCTATAATAAATTTCGTTAATATTCACATTATATTGAACCACCATTCGACAAAATAAAATTAGGTTTAATTAAATTTCGGATTTTTAAACTTTCGACTAAATAAGAAATCGACTATTTTAAAATTCTATCAATTATTGTTTAGTGAAAATAAAAATTATGTCAATGTTAATTCGTGAAAATAATTTTCTTAAATTTTGTATTCGATAAAAACAAATTCGTAAAGTTACAGATTCTACGTTTGTGAATTCGACATAATAGTCATTCTGCTCTTTTCATTCTGATACAAATGTATGCAACCCATTGATTACACTATTGTGAATGAAAAGTGTTGGGAGGATATTACAAGTTTCAAAATTGAGGACAGAGTGGAGTCTGATCATATGCCAATGTGTTTGAAGTTATTTAGTGGAGGTAAGAAAAAGATGGAGGCGATAGGGGATAAATGCATAGAGAATAAAACAGTTTACTCTTGGAGCGAAGAGGATATACCAATTTTCAATACGAGAACTCAAAGACTGGAATCACAGATTAAACCGGATGATAATGTTGAGGATTTGTGGAAGGATTTGAAAACTAATGTAGAAATAGCTGTGATTAAAAAAGAAATTAAAATTAGGAAATGGAAGATCGGTATGAAAAAATGGTAGGACAAAGAGTGTACTAGTAGCAAAAGGTTGGTTAAAAAAACATACAAAGATTGGAAAAAAGGTAAAATAGACAAAAGCGCATATCTGGAAAAAAGAAGAGAATGGCGAACGATTTGCAAGCAGAAAGAAAAAGATCACAAAGAAAAGGAAGAAAACGACCTAAAGAATATTAAAGATGAAAAAGAGGTATGGAAATACTTAAACAAAGGCAGGAAAAAGAAAAGCATTGAGGACAACAATATAAAAGATGAAGAATGGATTGAGCATTTTAAGAATCTACTGGAAGGATCAGAAGTAAGAATTACGGGGACAGCTGGAGATTTAAATAGGGAAGAAAAGGAGGAAGAAAAATTAAGGAAAGAAGAAATAACGAAAGCAATGAAGAATATGAAGAAAGGAAAAGCGGCAGGGATTGATAATATTCCTTATGAAGTTTGGATGTATGGAGGAGTGGATCTAATAGATAGATTTTACACTGTAATTAAAAAGGTTTGGGATGGGGCGGGATTCCCTGAAGATTGGAAGATGGCGATTATAACACCGATATATAAAAAGGAAGATCCAAATGACGTTAAAAACTATAGAGGTCTTTCATTATTGGTCACGGCTTATAAAATTTACACGAAAGTAATTAAGGAAAGGTTGGAAAAAGAAGTAGAAGGGAAAAATATACTACCAGAAGGACAAGCTGGATTTAGGAAAAAGAGGTCAACAATTGATAATATATTCGTCTTAAACCATGTCACGCAAAAAGCAAGAGGAAAGAAAGATAAGGTATATGGGATGTTTATTGACTTAAAGAAAGCTTATGACACGGTTGATAGAGAAAAATTGTGGAATATAATGAAAAAGGTTGGAATAAGTGAATATTTGATAGAAAAAGTGAAAGAAATATATTATGAAACTAAGGTCAGAATTAAAAAAAAGGATGGATTGACTGATGAATTTTGGACAAGTAAAGGGGTGAGGCAAGGATGTGTACTAAGCCCTATCCTTTTTTGTATATATTTGACAGAATTGGAAGAAGAATTTAAAGTAAGGAACATAGGTGGAGTTAAAATAGGAAGTTTGAGAATTTGGACGTTGGCTTTCGCTGACGATATAGTACTTTTGGCTTATGGTAGGGATGCATTATTGGATATGATGGACACACTCAAAAGATTTCTAAAGGAAAGGCAATTAATACTAAGTGTGGAGAAAACAAAAATATTAGTGTTCAATAAAGGTAAACGAGGGAAAAAAGAGGTATGGAAATGGGAAGGAGAAGAGATAGAAGAAGTCAAAACTTTTAAATATTTAGGATTTACTTTTAATGATGAGTGTAACTATAAGGATCACATAAAAGAACTTAAAAGGAAAGGAGTTGTAGCAGCAAAAATAACATGGGGACTTGGAGAAAACAGATGTAGAGGTGATTTTATAAGGAGGAAAATGTTATTTACGTATTTGGTTAAGAGTGTTATGTCATATGGAGTTGAGATTTGGGGTTGGGAAGAAAAAAAAGAGTTGGAGAAAATTCAAATGGATTATTTTCGTTGGATCTTAAGGTTGGATATCTGTACGCCTAAGTATATAGTTTACAAGGAAACGGAAACATACAAGATGAAAATTGATTGGAGCAAAAGGGCGACGAAATACGAAGAAAAAATTACAAAACAGGATGGGAGATTAACCAAACTATGCTGGATGGAAAAAATAAAACTAGGTGAGGAAGACAAATACGGTGAGGAGAGGAAGAAGTTTTACAATGGATTAGGTTTGAGTACACTGGACGTGGAAATGAAAAAGGATATGGGTAAAAATGTACATGTGGAAGTTTGGGAAAGAGGTAGAGATATTGAAAAGCAGATGGTAATAGGAATGATAAATGAATCATCGTTTAACCCAAGGTATAAACACATAATGGCAGAAGGATTACCAAAATATCTTCGGAATTATAATAGAGGGAGAGAATTGGATGTTATTGCGAAAATTAGGTGTGGAAATGTAGAAAGAATAAATAGATACTGGTTAAATGAAGAAGATTGGATATGTAATCTATGTAAGGAAGGTTGGGGTACTTTTGAACATTTACTACTAGAATGTGAAGTAACAAAACAATGGACCGAAGGATTTTTGGAAGGTGTGAATGATAAAATTAAGGTATTAACAAATGAAGATGGTAGGATAGAAGTTAGTAGAGTTTTTAAGCATATTGTAAAACAAATAAAAGTGAAAGAATAATGGATGAAAGGAATGGATAATAATATGTAAAGATGGGTGTAAATTCATGTAAGGCAGTGACGTTAAATGTAATGTATATACGTGTGAATTATTGTGAACGTAAATTTAAATATGATATGATATAATGTAAAATAATTGTAAACCAAGTCCGTTTCTGGGCCAATAGGCTGAAATAAAGATATTATATATATATATATATATATATATATATATATATATAAGTTGTTGAATTTCATTATTAATGCCCTAATAAAAATTGACTTTGATTTTTGATTTTCGTCAATTTAGTTAATAAATAATTAAGTGTTTACATTTACCCCGAGAATTCGAAAACTCGGGGTAAATGTAAACAGAACTTCAACTACATTTTAAAAGAAAATAATTGAATAAATTTGCTTCTATTTCACAATTTCATTAATTTGGCAATGTAAAATTACATAGAAAAGGAAATTAGGTCCTCTTTGAAAAAAAAATTTTATAAAAAAAAAAATTTTTTTTGAAAATTTGACCAATTTTTAAAAATATTTTTAGGTTCATCCGCCATTTTGGAAATTGAAAATTTGACTTCAAATTCGTATTCAGCGACCTCAAAAACCTCCTAGTAGCCAGATTCAAGCAAATTTGATCAATTTTTAAAAATATTATTTTTAGGTTCATCCGCCATATTGGATCCACCATTTTCAAATTTAAAAATTCGATTTTAGATTCTTATTCATAAAAATAAAAAAAAACTTCTTTTTACCAAGTTTAATGAAAATCTATTATTTAATTATTTTTAAAGAATACCACTTTTAATAATACTTCTAATTATTTTTAACAGTTTTAACTTTTAAATTTAAAAAATTTTGATTCTTTTTAAAAAAATAAAGTTGTGAAAGCACCTTAAAGCGGAAAGCATCTCGTAACCTACGTAACGAACATACCGAACTTGGTGTGTGGTACGTGCAGCGGTGCAGTTTTGACATCAACTCCACACCCTGGTAAACAGTGACCGCACACTGTACAGTTACCGCACCGGCGCCATATTTTCCATGTTTATCCGACAGGGTCGATTAAGTGAATAAGTGACTAGAGGCAGGTAAATGAATTTTCCCAAGGCTTTTCTCCAATTCATTATACAACTTTTGTAGGGATAATATTTTCACTCTTTCTGCAATAAAATCCTGAAGTGTTACTTTTCACCTATTTTTTATATAAAACTCACACATCAAGCATCAATCCAAGTGAATAGTTTAGTTATACATTTTGGCAAGTATGGTATTATCAAGACTGGATCTACACTCTCAATTTGACGTATGTGTGGTGAATCACTTTAAAAGTAGCCAAACCCTTTTTGAAAAAATTTATATTTTATATTTGCAAAAATTCTTTTTTTCACTTTGTTTTGTTTCAATTGTCACTCGACTTTTTTTTAATTTTCAAATCGTTTGTATAATTTTTTCAGTTTTAAATTTAATTATATTTAATTTAATTGCCCCGAAGGTTATCCGCCTTGAAGTTATAAAATCTAATAATATATATAAACTCGTGAAACGGACAAAAAATTCTGACTGCAAAATGTTCGTGTGAGTTTTTAAATTATTCCAAACTTAGTTTTTTCTATGGTTCATGGTATGTATATATACTTTATAAAAAAAGTGTTGCTATTTTAAAAATTTTTTAATATTTCTGTATTCTACTTTTTGATACGCTAGTTGATAAGATAATAATAATCTAAGTACAATCTTACCAATTTAATAACAGTCAGAAGGTAAAATAAAATGACCAATATTTTAGGAATAATTTAAATTTAAAGATAAAAAAATTGTAAATCCCACAATTTTTGTTTCATCCATTAAAAGCTACTATTTCTGTCTTTTTTTTAGAATTTTCACTACTTTAAATTCACTAATACTAGAAATCAAAAAACTATTCTCAAAAATTATAATCAAATTCTTTAAAATGATTCAATTATTTTCAATGTCTAGTATTTTCATGAAATTTTGCAAAAGAATTCAATTATTAAAAAAAAATTGATAAAATTCATGGCAAATTCAATAATTTTCATAAATAATAAAACTCATAGAAGAATTTCAATTATTTTTAATACTATTTTCAATATAAAGTTTTCCACAAGAATTCAATTATTTCAAATAAAATTTTCATAATTTTTATTGTATTTCGGGAAAAAATTAATTATTTAAAACAATGTTTAGAAAATTCTTATGAAGAATTCAATTATTTTCAAAAATAATAAAATTTTTCACAGAAATTCAATTCTTTTTGAAAATTTTAATAAAATTCTTAGCAACTATTCAATTATTTTCATAAATAATAAAATTTTTTACAGAAATTCAATTCTTTTTAATACAATTTTACAGGAATTGCTCAAAAAATGTAATTATTCTTAAAAATTTAATTTCAATTCCTCGAAAAAATCAATTATTTAAAAAAATGTTTTTTTTAAATTCTTTAAAAGAATTCAATTATTTACAAAAATATTTGAATTTTTCACTGGAATTCGATTATTTTCAAATATTTTAATAAAATTTTTCGAAAGAAATTAATTATTTTAAATAAATTAATTAAACTAATTATTTAGTCATTTTAATAAAATTCTTTGCAAAATTCAATTAATTTCATAAATAACAATATTCATCACAAAAATTCAATTATTTTAAAAAATTCTAATAAATATTAGAATTATTATTATTATTATTTCTAAATATTTAAATTCTTCCATGAATAATAAAATTCGATGCAGGAATTGAATTTATTAGCAGGATAAGAAAGAAGTAAATATTTTTGATGAAAATTAGGAAAAAGTCAGGAAAATAAAATATAGAATTAAAGTTAAAATGAATTATTGAGTGCGAAGTCTGCAATAGCTTTTAATTTTAATGTCTTAAGGAGAAAAAGTGTAGTTAATTTTAGAAAATAAGTAATGTAATGTAACTTTTAAATTTTGAGTGTAAGATTATTTTTACGTCCATCGATAAAAAAAACAAAATTTGTTTCGTGAATATTTTCTCCCATTTAACATAAGCAATATTGTGTTTCAGATTGAAAAGTACTCATAATGGCAAATCCAGCAGTTGATCATATGGACTCCGTTGAAGATGAAATCGAAGCGGTGTCAAATTATAAACCTCCCCCCGAGAAAAGTATTGAACAAATTTTGGAAGCTGATAAAGAAGATGAGAGTTTAAGGAAATACAAAGAAGCTCTTTTAGGGGATGCGAAGTCTGGAAATGTCATTGTTGGTAAGTTGCACGTGGGATTACGGAGGCCAACCAAATAACAACTTCATGTTGACTTAAACTTTATTCCTTAAGACCCAAAATCAAGAAACTTATTCTTATTTTTAAATTTTACTATCGAAATGCAATCGGTTTTCAATTGTATTTTTTATCTTTTTGTGGTGAATATTCTCATCGAAACAAAGTCAAAAGATGTATTTCTAAAAAGCTTTTTTTGCTTATTAAGCAAAAGAATATTAATAACTATAATTTACTTTTTCAACCTAATTTAGTTTGAAAATGAAAAAAAATTATAAATTTAGTCAAAATTTAAGATTTTAAAAATTTTCTGCAAAAAAAAAAATTGAAAAAATCGACGAATTTCACGATTTTGAAATTTCTTATAGAAAAAAAAGAAAAAAACAATGTATAAATTTTGAAAACTTTTCAAAATCGTTCAAAAACTGATTTTTTTGCGTATAATTTAGTTTAAAAAAATGGAAAAATTTCATAAATTTAGTCGAAATTTAAGATTTTTGAATTTTCTGTATAGAAAAAAAAAACAAAAAAAATCGACGAATTTTAATTTTTGAAAAATTTTCAAAATCGTTCAAAACCTGAATTTTTGCAAATAAGTTTATTAATTAACTAAAAAGGAAATTAATTATTTTTTATTTTACTTTTAGAACCTGATGATCCAAGAAAAGTGATAGTGAAGAAACTTGTACTTCGAGTCCTCGATGGACCCGATATGGAATTGGATCTCACTGGGGATTTGACTAAACTTAAGAAACAAACCTTTGTCATCAAAGAGGGGGTCAGTTATAAAATTCGAATTGATTTCATCGTACAGCGAGAAATTGTCCATGGACTTAAATATGTTCAAAAAACATATCGTCTTGGCGTTCCTGGTAAGATGTTATTTCAATTTTTTAAAATTACTTTATTACAGCCTTTCTATTTTTTTCTCCAAGTCTATAATATATTGTTGAAAACTGTGTTTTGTCTATCAAAACAGCCCCACATAGCACAGTATTTTTCAGGAAGTTTATTGCAAAGTGAAGTTCGGAAATTTTCTTTGTAAACTTTACTTCACCGGATTATTGCATTCAAGATTTCGAAATCGCAATTTTCGCAAAAAAATCTTTTAACTTTAAAGAACTATATTTCCATATTTATAAATTGGTTATATCTTCCTATTTGACTCTAAATTTATTGAACTACAAAATGATCCTAGTTTGATAGCTTTTACATCAATTTTTATAGAAATATTTGAATTTGAAGTGAAGCGAGCATTTAATAGTAATCAGTCCAAATGTACTGAAACTTTGCGACCCGAGTGTATAATAAATAACTTAAATAATACTACTATAGTGCTGAAAATTTACTCCAAATATTTTTCAAAACAGTATAACTCTTTAATTCCATTTATTAGATTTTTATGCGAGAGAATTAACAGAAAAGTCAGAGAAGGTAAATTAGTTAGGAAAATCAGAAAAAGGTTAGGGAATTTTAAGAAAAGTACTGGAAAAATATTACAAGTTCGTAGAGTTCATAAGAAAATTTTTAATTTTACTGTCTAGCAACCTTTGAAAATATTAAATTCTTCTGGAATTTTATTTTTGCTTCTAAACTTTGCAGTCACCACGAATTTTAAAAACCTTCAATTTTTACCTCGATTTTTACTATTTCCGACAATAAATTATTTTAAATAATTTAATTTTTAAAAAACATTTATAAAATTATTAGGTACTTAAAATATTATTTAACGAATAATTTTACTTAAAATTCCAAAACTAATTAACTTTTAGAAGAGTTTCCTTTAGAACTTTTATAAATAAATTGAATTTCAGAAGGTTTCAAATTGAAATTTTAGAAAATTTGCGAATTTGAAATACTTGAAAAGTTTCTTTATAAATATTTTATTATAGAAAAAAATGCTAAAAGTAGATAATAATTTTTCAGAAAAACGAAAAAAAAATTATATTCTTTAAAAAATTGTAGTTCTTGTAATTTTTAATATTTTTACCTATAATATTTTACAATTGTATTCTTAAATAGTGTTTAGAAAATTTCAAGAAAGGTTTGGTGTTAGTTTTTGTAACATAGTATTATTTAAGCTAGTTTATAGCAAAATTACATTCCATCAAAAAATCTCAAAACCACCAGTTAGAAAATTAATGTAAATCTTGATCAATTTTGTTTAATCGTAACATTTAAATTAATTAAAAAACATCTTCAGTAAAAATTCATTTTTTGTTTTGCTTTCTTCTTAATGGAACAGGAATAACAGGTAAATAAATAAACTGAGGGATTTAAAAAAGAATGACCAATTATTACAGAAATAATTTACTGAAAATATTTAATTTAAATTAAATATTATAACATTAACCCGTTGATTGTCGATAAAAAAATGTGTTGAAATCTTTTCAATATAAAACTTGTTTATTTTGGGTTTTCGGGGTCACAGTAATTCTTCGAAATTTTTGAAATTAATTAATTAATTAATTAATTATCTACTTTTTAAAATTCAATTATTTTCAATATTTTTAATTACATATTTCAAAAAATTCAAATACATATCAAAAATAATAAAATTAGAATTTTCTAGAATCACTTTCAACATTTTTTAGAAAACATTCATGTTCAAAATTTTAAATTAAAATTCTTAAAAAAATTACTTAATTCGTTTTTTTTAAATTTAACAAAATTTTTTTAAGAAATGCAATAAATTTTAAAAAATTATATCACAATATTTTTAAGAAACTAATTTTTAGAATTGTTTTAACAATTTTTTAAGATTAAATTCTCTTCGAACAAAGTAAACTAAAATTTCGGAGAAAACATGTTCATATTTATAGTTAAAATTCTTCAAAAATTTAAATTTCTGGTTTTAAATTGACATTGTTTTAATTTTATTTTCCATGGAAAAACAAATTAAGATGTATTTAAATATTTTTTTAACATTAAATTATTTAAATTTTGAATATTGAATTTAGAAATCAGTGAAATGTCAGAGAAATGCAAAATAAAATGTTTTATTTTTTTGGACCGGGAAAAGACAGTGAATTTTGAAAATTTATTTTAAAAACATTGATTATTTTGTTTGAAATAATAGTAAATTTTATTTAAAAACTTATTAATTATATTTCATTAAAAAAGATTGAATGATCTTCTATAGAATCGTTTTATTTTGTCAGGGAATTTAATCAAAAGTACTGGAAAAATATTCAATTTCTAGAATTTATAAAAAAATTATGATAATAATTGAACAAAGTATAATTTTAATAAAATTCGTCGAAAAAATTTGAAAGCGAAAAAGTTTCACATCCTATAAAATATTGTGAAAAATAAATCAATAATTTATAAATTTTTTTTACAATAATATTATTACAAAACAAATTTGAAGTCTTAGTAAAAAATTGAACTAATTAAAACAAAAGTGATACGAAATTTATAAAAATTAATTTTTAAATAATAAATAAAGTAAATAAAGAATAAAAATAAATAAAATTTCTTTCTTAGAAAATAAATTTTTAAAAACCGTATTTTTCATTAATATCAATTCGTTCTTTTTACAATTTAAATAATTGAATTCTTCTAGAATTTTCTAATAAAAATCGATTTATTATTTATGAAAATAATTTAATTATTGCAACGAATTTTATTACATTTTTTTGAGAAATTTTACTACTTGTAAAAAATAATTGAATTCTTGTGAAGGATTTTATTAGGATTTTTGTAAATAATTAACTCGGAGTGATCATCTTCTTCATGTTTTGTAATAATATTCTTATAAGTTGTTGAATTTCAAAAAGGTTTGAATTTGAATGTTTTGAAGAATTTTAATTCCTACAGAAAAATAATAAAGATTAAATATTTATTTAAAAAAGAAGTTATTAATGTTTTCGAATAATTTTACAATTAAAGAAATTCGTTATTAAATGTAATAGAATATTTTTTTGGGTATAAAAAAAAATATTGTTTTGGGTATTTAATAATTTTTGGAGTGAATCAGAATATTCTCAGGGTCAGGGAAAAAGTCAAAATTTTGTCTGGAAATCAGAGAAAAACAAAATTAAATTTTTGTGGCAACCCTGGCGGCAAACTCGAAAATTAAATAAACGACTTTTTTGTATTAAAGTGAGTTAAAACACGGCCATGGAAATTGCTATAACTTTTTTCTTTTGCATATTTCTGAAAACATGTTTTGGGACAGAAATTTTATGATACTAAGGAACATTTTAAAAGCAAAAAACGAAAAATCGTTTTTTTTAATTCCTTGACCAGAAAGTCGCCTTAAAAATAATTTTGAATTTTGACAAACTTATTTCAAATTCGAAATCAGCGAGTCCAAAAACTTAAATGAAAATCTATTGCAATTTTTTTCAAAACATCAAACGATGTAACTTTCTTCGACAGCCAAAGAGTTAATGAAATGTATGAAATGTAATGAAATTACTTTCGAGTCTGTGACATTGTGTTACTGTATTTTAGTTGACAAAATGACGCATATGGTAGGATCTTATCCTCCAAAGATGGAAATTCAGTCGTACACTACTCCATCAGAAGATGCACCTGCCGGTGTTGTTGCAAGAGGTTCTTACACAGTTCAGTCTCTTTTCACCGACGACGATGACAATGAACACCTCAAGTGGGAATGGTCCTTTGATATCAAGAAGGATTGGAAATAAAATCCTCAATCCTACATTTAGTTACAACGACCAAAAGATTCGCCTTAAAACAATTCAATTAAGGATTATTAAATACCAAACAAATTTTCGAAAAAAAAATTTATACTGATTTTTTGATAAATTCAGTATCGCCATAAAAAAAATGTAAACCACCTTTCCTTTCAATTTCTTTCGATTTGTTACCATGAGTGCTATTAGAATATCCCCCATCTCCAAAAAACCTACTGCCTTCAAACATTTATTTTAAGTTCAAGAGCTTAAGTTAATACCAAATATTTGTTCAACTAGAAATACCGTTTACTGTAGCATTTAAAAAATCGCAGTATTAGTGTAATTGTCCAAGTCAATTTGATACGGCAGTTGAACTGTAGCATTTTTGGAAACATTTTTTTAAAGCTTTTATAATTAATACAATTTTTAGTTATTGTAATAACTTAAAGTTAAAAATAGGCAGCATAGAACCCCAGGTTTACACTAGTAGGCAACTCTTCATTGCTATACAATAATAATGATGATAATAATAAAAAAAAATTGTGAATAAGAGGTAGTTATTTGTTTAGAGAAACATTTTTACACTTAGGTGCGCGAAATAAAGTGAAACATGTATGTACAAAGTAAAATTATTATATGAAACTTAATTATTCGTTAAAAATTAATTTTAACACTGAATCTGTTAATATTAAAAAAAGTCAAATAATTTAATTTGATTTAAAATTAAAAATTTTTCTCACAAAGGCCTAATGTTTTTTTGTTTGAATTGACACCGTTTAAAAAATAATTTTTCTGAATTTTTCAAATAAAATATTAAATAAAGAAAACTTGTGAAAAATATTCAATAAACTCATAGAAAATGAGACACAATAAGTAGTTTGTATACTAATAACGTTTTTTGAAAAATAATTTTTCTAGTTGCAAAAATGGAATTAAAATAAATTTTTAAGTACCTGAATTTTTGAAAATTTTCAAATATACCTGAAATCTGTATTATTTTTCTCACAGAAATGAGGAGAATATATTCAATATATATTTCTGATAAGAATATTCGTTTTGACAAACCAGTTATTCATCACATTGTAATAACATTGTACCGCATTAATTTTATTACAATAAAAAAATGCATTTTTACAAGGACATAATACTTCCAATAATTGACAACGAATTTACAAAACATGTCGTTTGTAATTAATATGCTAAAGATTTGGTATAAAGCGTTGATAAAAATAAAGATTTATATATATAATAGTTGTATCTCAAGTGTGTGAGACAAAATTTTAAAACAAAAACTTTTCGTTAATTTTTGAAACAATTGTGTGTTATAATTTTGAAATGTGCTTAAGCTACTCATAAATACTAATGGATAGCATTCTAATTTACGAGTATGCAGTTATAACTATTACAATAGTTTTAGTGTCTATTGTGTATGTTTACACATATTTTATTCCTCTAAATATTTTTAGAAAATGTGCTTGTATGAAAATTGAGAAATAAGGAAGATATTTTTTTTAAATGAAGTGAAAAATGAAATTCATGAATATTACGAGTATTCATAAACATGTGCGTATGTATTCTAATCTATAAGGTCAGTTTGAGCGAATAAAATTTTTAAAAATATTAATTGCTGGTTTTTTTTTGTTTCACTGCAACCAGTTTATAATATAAACTATAAACTATGAAATTACCACGAATTCCAATAAAAAAAACCTTCAATTTTTTTCTATTTCTGACAACAATTTGTTTCTACAAATATCTTACTTCTTGAAAAACTAATATAAAATTAATACTTAGAAATTATTTAATGAATAATTTTACTAAAATATTTCAAAACTCAAAGAACTTAGATTTTTGAAAAATTCAAATTCTTCTAAAATTAGGTAAATTTTTAATATTTATTAAATAATTGTTAATTGAATAATATTTTTATAGAAGAATTTTAGTTGAGAACAGTAAAAAAAATGAATTTTGGAAAAATTACAACTGATTGCAGAAATTATTTTCCTAAATAAATAAAATTCTTGGCAAAATTACAATTTATTATTTTCAAAAATTTTCCTCAATTCGATGATTTTCAATATCTACTATTTTAATTTTTGTAAATAATTTCGAATATTTAGGAATTCAATTATTTTCATAAATAAAATTTTCACAGGAATTTTATTATTTTCAAACACAATTTTCATAAAATTTTTCAAAAAAAATCAATTATTTAAAATGATTTTTATGAAATTCTTCGCTAGAATTCATTTATTTAAAAAAAAAAATTAATAAAGTTCTTCGTAAGAATAATTAAATTATTTTTAAAAAATTTAATAAAATTCTTCGTATCAATTCAATTAATTTGTAAAAAAATTCTCGGCAAAATTTAAATTATTTTCAAAAATTTTCCTCAATTCAATGATTTTTTTTTTAATGTCTAGTATTTTAATAAAATTTCCCAAAAGAATAAAATTATTTAAAAAAGATTTTAATACAATTCTACGCAAACATTTAATTATTTTCATAAATAATAAAAACTTCACGCAGAAAATTCAATTACATATTTACAAATTTTTTATAACGTTTTTTGCAATACTTTAATTATTTTCATAAATAATAAAAATTTTTCGCAATAATTTGATTATTTTTATAAATATAATAAAATTTAAAAAAAAATTATTTTCATAAATAATAAATCTTATTGGGACCATTCAAGTATTACGTATGCATTTAAGGGGGAGGGGGGGTCTAGCTATTGCTTATTTCCATTAGAAAAAATGGCGCTAATGCATATAAAAAATCTTACATGGGGGAGGGGGGGGGGGTCTAAAAACCTGAAAAATATGCTTACGTAATACTTGAATGGCCCCATTGTAGAATTTTAATTATTTTTAATATAATTTTAATCGAATTCCTCGAAAAATGTAATATTATTCTTAAAAATTTTATTAAAATTTGTCAAATGAATTCAATTCATTCAATTATTGAATAAGTTATTAAGTTTTGTATTTAAATAATTGAATTCTATACTAGTGACTTTTCTACTAAAGATTGATTAAAAAATTAAATTCAGTAAAAATTTTAGATAATTAATGAATATTAACAGCATTATAGCGTATATTGAATTTTTAGAAATAATTGAATTTTTAAAAGGTGTCAAAGTGAAATTCTTGAAAATTTGAATTTTTTATAATTATAACTAACAATTCTATGGAATTAATTTGTTTTTAAAAGTGAAATTGTTTTTTTTTTTTAATTATTTGAAGTTCTTATTTTCTAATATATATTTAATTGAAGAATTTCCGAGTAATCGATGAATAATAAAATTCTTTTTAGGGATTCAATTATTTTCATAAATAATAAAACCCATCGCAGAATTTCCATTATTTTTAATAAATTTTTAATCGAATTCCTCAAAAAATGTAATTATTCTTAAAAATTTTATTTAAATTTTTCAAAAAAACTCAATTATTTAAAAATTTGTTAATAAAATTCTTTACCAGAATTGAATTTTGAGAAACATTCAATTATTCAATAAATTATTTATTTTTGTTTTTAAATAATTGAATATTGTCCTAGAATTATCTAATAAAAATTGATTTAAAAATTAATTTCAGTTGAAGAAGAAGAAGAATTTACGAATAATTGAAATTTCGTAAAATTGAATATTATAAACAAATGAATTTGAAAATTGTCAAAGAACTTTTTCGAAAATTATTAAAAATAATTGATTTAAAGAAGAATTTTAGTTAAAAATTCAAGAAAATAATAATTGAATTGAAATGATGAAAATAATAATTTTGAAGATGTTAGAGTAACAAAATTCTTATAATATAAAATAATAATTTTATCACTGGGCCATCTTTAATTATTATTATTATGAAACATGAAGAAATGTTTTATAGTTATAAAAAATGTTCATTTATAGTTTTAAGTAAAATGTTCTCTTATTTGACTGGACCTGGTTATATTTTTATCAGTACATAATTGGTCCGTAGTTTTTCATTTTTGGTCCGTAAAGTCTGTATTTTTAAATACTTTCACTGGTTCGAGCCCTGGTTTTGGGGTTAAAGATTCAGAAGGTTGCAGTCAAGTTAATTTCAACTTTCAGGGTTTTAAAGTTTCAAAGGGCTTTTTAAAAGAAAAGAATATAATACTTTCAAACGACGCTAAGAATTTTTGCAAGAAAAATTTTTTATTTATGCTCTATGACTTCAAAAATGCCCAGAACAAGAGATTTTTACTCTTTTAGGTCGAAAACCCTTCGAAAAAAGTATGATCCAATTCTTATGGTTCTGAGAATCGTAAAAATTTTTGTCGATATATGTGTTACTTGAGAACAAGAGATGTTTAATTAATAATCAGAAATCATACTTTTGAGAACTGAATTAATTTCAGGATTAAAAAATTGATTACCTACTTATAAAGAAAGTTAATCTATAAAATGCGCATAATTATAAATATAAATAAAAACATAAAATACATTCAAAAAGGAGACAAGCAACACATTAAAATGATTTGCATATTATTCAGATTTCATTGCGAGTAAACAGATAGTAGTTACACTGTCCTACATTAATACAAATTCCTATTGTCGACATGTTCATATTGATCACAATTAATCAAAGTAATCGATTAATAATTGTTGATGATAAACATCTCCCTTCTATTTCCAACATTCCTTTTTTTCATTTAAAATTAATAAATTTCTCGAAATTCAATTATTTTGTTTAATAAAGCGTGCGCACTGTTAAATATCGAAAATATGCATAATTATGAAATTAGCTATTCTCGCAAAGTGCAACGCACGTTTCTAATCGTAAGTAAAATGAGTTCGCTGACCGATGTGGTGCATAGGATGTTCGTTTAAAAGTTGTCTGAACTAGTAGTCTGAACGAAGAGACCGTGACAAATCATGACCGACTTGCATTAGATTCATCACGACATACACTCGACCCAAATGCCTATTTTATCAAATATAATGTAGTTTCAAAAGCAATTAATTGGTAAGAAGCAGATGGCAAACGCTCCATTCTAACTTTAATTTAACACTTTCGACTAACAAATGTAATGACCATTTTAAAGAAATAATATACATTCTAGATGTAAAATATTTGCGTTTATGAGTAGCTTGTACTACTTATATTTTTTATTTTATGCAATGCCTTTAGAAATTTCTTTCTCGATTATATAAAGATTTTAGTTACAGTGTTCTCAAAAACTTTTGGCTTAAACTTTTATGCTAGCAAACTCCATTATTTGACAAATAGATCTTGTATTAATTAAATTTTTCTTTATTTTATACCATTTTATTTTAGTAAACATAAGGTATAAAAGAAGGAATAATTCAATATGGCTGATCCAATATGGCGGTCGATATTCCTCAAATTAATGCAATTTTTATGAAATTAAATTATACTAATTATTTAGAAATTTTGTAACAAGTAAGTTCCTCCTTAAAATTATAAAAGAAACATATTTAAACAAATCTATTTTTTTCTGACTCTTAATATGGAAAATTATTGTTAATTTAAAAAAAGTTGCGTTTACTATTTTCATAAATAGATAAACTTCAAAAGGTTGTAATTTGAGATTTTGTAAAATTTCAATTTTTAATGAATTAATTAAATAATGAAAATTTCACAGGAACTCTATTATCTACAAATTCTATATAAATTTTTTTATAAATTCAAATTATTTTCATAAATAATCAAATTTTTTCCGATTCAATTATTTTCATAAATAATAAAACTCATCGCAAAATTTCAATTATTTTTGTATACAATTTTAATAGGATTTCTCGAAAAATGTAATTAGGTTCTTAAAACTTTTATTAAAATTCATCAAAGAAATTCAATTCTAAAAAGCCTTCCTATAATTTATTTATTACAATTTAAGTATTATTGTCAATACATTTTTAATTAAATTTCTTGAAAGAATTAAATTATTTTCAAAAATTTTAATGAAATTCTTTTTTTAACAATTCAATTTTTTTTTAAAATAATTTTAATAAAATTCTTCCTAGAAATTTAATTAATTTCAATAATTTATCAAAATTCAATTATTTTCAATATCTACTATTTCAATAAAATTTCACAAAAAAATTCAATTATTTAAAAAGAAATATTATTAAAATTCGTTTCAAGAATTCAATTATTTTCAAAAGTAATAAAATTCTTGTCAGAAATTCAATTATGGTCAAAAGTTGGAAAAAAGTTCTCTTCAAAATTTCAATTATCTTTATAAATAATCAAATTTTTCTCCAAAATTCAATTATTTTCAAAAATTTTAATAAAATTCTTGGCAAAATTTCAATTATTTTCAAAAAATTTTCTTAATTCGTCAAAAGATTAATGAATGTTCAAAAAAAAAAAAATTCTCTTCAAAATTCCAATTATCTTTATAAATAATAAAATTCTTTATGAGAATTCAATTATTCAATAAATTATTTATTTTTGTATCAATTTAAATAATTGAATTCTCGTTGAATTTTTTAATAAAAATTTATTTAATATTGAATTTCAGTTAAAATTTTAGATAACAATTGAATATTAAAAATAGTATATCGTTAATTTATAGAAATAATTGAATTTTGAAAAGGTTTCAAATTATAATATTTGAATGTTTGAATTTTTTATACTT